TCAACGATGTGTGTTTATACGTATGATTTTGGGAGGAGTATGATTTTCAAGGAGGAGTAGTCGGCGCAGCCTGCTTAGAGCTGCACATTTGCCAGATACGAGATAGCTGACAGATACAAAATGCATAAGCTGCTCAAAGTTTAATCGGTTTATGTGACAGCTGAGAGGGATTTCCAGGGGGTGACACTCTACTAAATCACAAAGGATTTGCAAGCCATAAACTGCCATGACCAAAAGCGGAGAGACTGCAAAATAAACGCAGCATCAAGTGGCTGTCAATGCGTTTTGGCTAGTGCTTAAGATAGGATGCACTTCAAGTTTCCTCGGGATTAAAACCAAAAATTCTAGAGCCCTATATCAAAAAAAAAAAAAGCAAGAGACGCAGAGCGAAGAAAACGCACCAAAGGACAATTAAGCAATGCTGGGGGAAAACCAAGGGAAATGAAAACAGAGTCGGGGGAAAACCAAGGGAAACCCTTGTGTGGTTTTTGCGGCTTGATTAAGAAGTTTTTGGGTTATAAATGATACAAGCGCCGGCAAATTATTCAAACTAATTGGTTTAAACACTGCAGGGAATCCGCTCCTTTCGGGCACTTTAAGGAAAGTTGAGAATTAATTCTTGAGGAAAGCCAAAGAATTTTTCGGAACTTGTTATGAAAAGAGCAAATAAGAAAGTTTCAAGAGGTTTAGCCGAAATGGCCAGCAAAGAAAGTGTCAATTTGTCTTCTTGTAATGAATGAGCCGAGTTGGGAAACCCAAAAGAAAATGGGAAAGCCAATTCGGCTTTTTCTTTAACATTTTATGTGTTATTTTAATAGAAAATATAGCTCTTTCCTTTTAATAATATAAAATTACCAATCAAAATCTGTAAAATTTAATTGGAATTTATTCCACAAATGTATTTCAAAATATGCAAAGCATACCAAACCCTTCCCGTTAATTAGCTTTAAAGATTTGCGTTTACTGTTTCAATCAATAATAAGCCACATTATGCAGTGTGAAATTGAACACCAAAATGATATTTTCGGAGTTGAAAATTAATCATAATCAAGCTGAAGAAAGGAAAATCAAAAGTTAATCCAGCGAAAGCGGAAAAATGCCGCTGAATTGTGCATAAAACTTCAGCGAGTGTCTTCATTAGCATACACTTAACAATTTAAAACTTTTAAAGTCACTAAATTAGCCGAGAGTCTCGTTCAATGTTTCGTGAATTTTCCCGAAATATGCAAATTATCCACACTTTATGCCGATGACTCTGCCATCTAATTAAAAACTTTTGCCAGGCAAAAGGCGTCTGGCAAATTGCTTCCAATCCGAAATTGTTGCCGAAAGGTCAGGGCTCTCAACTCGATGACTTTCTGAGGGTCTAAAAACAGTGTTTCAATGTTTCGGCTTTCGGGTCAATCCATGGATATCGATAGGCTTTTGTCCCTCTTGTTTTTATTTTCTGTTTTGTGCGCCAGCCCTTTTGAAAGATAAATCTTAATGTCTATCTAATCAATAAATAATTGGCATGTCCTGTTGATGCAGCCTAGCAAAATATCCATTTCACTGTAATCGAAATCTATAGACAAATCTGAGATAAGCCAATTGTAAACAAAACGGCAAAAGGTTTCCCCACACAACCTCATCTCGAATAGAAAAAAAACAAAAAACAATATAAAACCCAAAATTGTTTGAAACAATTTTTAAGGAGAATCAGCAGGACAGAAATGAAACGAAATACTTTCGATTGACATATACGAATTTTGTTGTGATGGAATCCATTGTTTACAGGACTCGAAATGAACTTGTTATTCGAGTGGAGGGAAAAACAAAGAGAAAAACAAAAATAATGCATTTGTCTGCGGGCGGGAGGTGGTGTGGAAAATTTCGTTCGTGCGGAGTTCAGCAGGAAAAAGGGACGAAACAGGATGAGTTCTGTCCCGTCACGACTCCTTCGACACAAATTTAATATTGTAAATGGAAATGGAATGCTCACTCCGCAAAAAAAACGTACGTATTGACGGCTTAGAATGTTTAGAAAACTTTAAGAACCTAAATATATTTAAACAATTCTGTATTTACTTTCACAAGCATATTATTTTAAACATTCTTTATAGAAAATGTATAATCCCTAATTTAGTAGGGTTTTTCAAATCACTTTTGAAAGTGCCTAAAAGTATGCTGTGAACTAAATTTCTTTAGTTTGTTGCCTAATTCTTGACATCTTTATAAATGGATTCTAAATTGGTTAATTAAATAGCCTTTCAATGATAAATCTTATTTTATAAAATATATTTATTTTTAAGTGTAGACCCAGGGCGAGTGGAAAATTTCGCGTAAAGTGTCCTGGCACTTAACCGTTCAATTGATTTTCGACAAACACCTCACCTTTCGCTTGTTTTCGCAGCTGACGGCTAGTGTCAACATTCAACGACAGGAATGCCAAATGCGAATCGCGAAATCAAACTATGCAAATGAAGGCTGGCTGGCTGGATGGCTGAATGCCTCGTGACCCGCGAATCGCTTTAATCAAAACCGAAAAGGTGGCCTGTCACTAAATGAAATAAATGTAAATTTCATAAATGAAGTGAGCACACACATCCATCCATTCATTTGGCAACTGGCGGCATCAATATATCATCAATATTAAAATGCAATTACAGGCTGCCGTCTGCCAGCTGCCTGCTGGGTAATCACATAAAAAATTAACCAAAGAATTGCGCTAAACGCTGGGCTCGACCCGCTGGATACCTTGATTTTCATTTCATTCATGGCCGCAATTTTCCCGCAGTTTTCCCTACCGTTTTTCCCCTGAGCCTGAGGAAAAAGCTAGCCTGAAAGTATGCCACGGAAAACTCAAGCCACTCCGTCGGGCTTTTCACCGCTACTTTTCACGGGGCCAAAGTTTTCCCCACCATTCGGTATCAGCGGTTCTAGTTGGGTTTTTCGCGTAATTGTCAGGTTGTCACTCTTCGTGCTGGGTAAACTTTGATGGTAATTCTCTTTGGGTATTTCGCTGGAAAAGCTTGCAAATCTCTGGCTTTTCAACTATTTTCGGTTTCATTGTTAACCAAAATTGGAAAACTGTGGGGTCCCGAAAAACATCTAGCCTCGTTTGATCGGAAAATAATAAAACAATCGCCATGGTTGGCCAAAATATTTGTATTATTATTATTGCCAACAAGCGAACAAATTGAAATACACTTTAAAATAATGGGATCATGGATTTTAAAATGTTTTTGTATCCTTTTGTTTAGCTATTTCACCATACTACTAAAAACAAACTATAAAGAACTTCATAAACTCCATTTTTTACCAGAATATACGCTCCTTTGAATTTCCTTTGCCGCATTAATAAATAAATAAAAGTGCACAAAAACTTTTTCAGATGAAAGAGTGCAGAATTATGTATGCATTTGACTGTTAAAGTTTGGTTTAGATTAGTTGCCAAAGAAAGTTAAATTTAAACACCTGCCAACTAACTTTTCATTCTCCAGTGCCTCGGACATAATTCAAGCGTACATCTGAATTTTAAATCAATTTCAGGGGCAAAACAAGAGCTCCGTTCTTTCTTTTCTATTATGGGAATAATCTAAAAATATCTTGTTCTTATACGAAATGCGAATAAATTGAGTGAAGTTTGAAAAATGTTTCTCCTATCTGCACAATATCTCAATCAATTCAGGCTAATCCGAATACGACCTGTTTCACATTTCCGCTTGATCAACCGGTAAACCAGAGCCCACCGCATTTATTCAGATACCCCTTAACTAACCGCATCGAGTTACAATTACCATTGCCAGAAACCATTACAATCGATTCAATATTTGTCAGGGAAAATTGACATTAATATATAACGAACCAGCGGACGAGTGTGTGTCTGCGGCAGAATCGTCCAATTTCCAGGGAGGCGAAACTGAGACTCAGGCTCTGATTGCCCGGCTAATAATAAAGATTCAAAAAATAAAAGCTCGGCTCACAGTTAATCTAGTTGGAGACCAGCAGCCACTAGCACTTTACTCTTTTCTCGCTTGGTTTCGCCACTCTAACCGTTTCTTCACCCCCTTCAAGCCACCTTTCTCGCATTTCTCGCCACACGTTAAAAAAATACTGAAATTGTAAATATTTGTGCTATAATATTGCCCTTATAGTTTTCAAAAATATCACAATAACTTATACTATAAAAATCGGAAATTTACAATTGAAATATAAATGAAGAGATAAGTGATAAAGGAAAAACGGGTTTTTAAAAGCATTCTATTGTTCAAAAGAGGGGTAAGGATATGAATAAAATCAAAATAAATTATCATCTCTTATCACCTCTTAAAGAAAACGGCTTCAAGCTCTTAGAAAAGCATGCTTATAATCTTTTCGTAACAACATTTATATTATTTTATTTTAGTAAAACATGTTAGTGTGCACAAATGAGAGAATAATATTTTTTAAGAGGCATACAAAAATTCTTTTTACGCCTGTTATCTAGTTAAATATTGCTGAGTTTTGACAGAGGGCTTGTCCTAATATTTTTTCTACCCATCCCAAAGTGGAAAAACTACATGTTATCGTTGTAATAGGCAATCATTTTTTTATGACCCATAATCAGGGCAATACGACTTACTAAACAGCCAATTACTATTGTCTGAATGGTTGATTTGACACCTTTGAAGCCCAAGTGACCATGTTTGCTTACTTTTGAGTGTGAGAAAGCCTGTCAATTTTTGGTAATATTTTTCTCGGTGCAAACCTCTCACCAGAGCTTATGTATAATGCATGGCATCTCTCGACTCTTGGCTTGTAAACGTAGCTAGGCAACGTAGGAGCCAACAACTCTGACTGGTCTTAATCGCTGGCAAAGGAAAACCCGAGGAAAAGCGCCGGGGTTTCGGGGTCGCTGAAAACTGAAAACTGTCAGCGTCATTTTGCTATTGATGTCCGTCCTCGCACTTGGCTTTTAATATTCAAAATAGCAAAACGGCAATGCCAAAAAGGCAGCCAAAAAAAATAGAATAACGAACCTAAAATCGCCGAATGCACAGAAACAACATTGTGCTGGAAAATGCCGCTGTCGCTGACAGTTGACGCCAGGAATTTATATTTATATTTCACGGTTGGCTTTCCTTGGCTGCTTTTTATTTATTACATGTATTGCCTGCTTTACTTTTTCTCTCGAATTTTGTATTATTTCATCTTTTTTTTTTGACAATTTCTTTTTGTTGGTGTCGGGGGAAAATTGTCGGCACTCGAGGCACTGAGACACACTGAGATACTGGGAAAATATGCGGAGATGCGGAGATGGCGAAGAAAGGACCGACGCGAGCGGACGAGAAAAGCGGGAGAGACTGGCTTGTCGGGCAGTCAAAATTCAACTGAATCCGCTTTTCAGACAGCCAAAAGCCAAAGAGACCGGACCGGCAGAGCCACCCGCGCCTCCAGCACCACCTGAACCACCAGCACCACCCCCCAGAAACCGCACCACTCGCTCTTTTTCAAGAGACTCACAGCTTTCTTTCATGCAAAATAGCCAAATAGCTGAGCATTACACATGTCCGAAGAGAGCAGGTTTCTCTGAGGAGATTCCCCAAAGAGAGAGCTTTTCCAGGCCCCCTCACCTCATACCAGGGAAAAGGAAAACTGGAAAACTCTGCAAATTGTCGGCAAAACGATATAGTAACCGAGTTTTTCCAGCACAACAAAAAAGCTCTCAATGATTACAACTTACACCAGAGAGAGATGGCCAGAGAAGAGTGCGAAAGAGAGAGAGAGAACGATAAAGAGAGAGGGGGCATAATTTTTGACTTGTAATTGAAATTTCATGGATTATTAGTTCACCCAGACAAAATGTGGGTGGATAGTAAAAAATTGTTTGAGCGCAAATCTCTGCTCTTCTTCCGCAAAAACAAAAACCACCAACAAACCAACGCAACCCGATTTTGGCCACCCGAAAGAACCAACTGTTGATTTTGAGGCCAGTTCAAAATAGCTTTGGTTTTAGGGCCAGGATGAGGATGAGGATGAGGGGATTTCCCCGTTTAGCATTGGAATTTTTGCTCTTTTCTTTTTTGGGGCTTACTCCGAGTTTAAGCCTTCTATCGCAACCCATTTCGTAACACCCAACCCCCTTCGAAAAAGTCTCTGGTTAATGAAGCGCTTTATTGGACCATCGCCAAGGGCCGAAAAAGAGGTGAATGGAGACCGAGACCCGATTTACACTTGGTTGGCTGAAGCTGAAGCTTCAGCTCTTTGCCGCTTTATATGGGTCTTTTGTGCCAAGTGTTGAAGGTCAGGCCCTCGGGGGCCGAGGCGATACTTCTCTTTCCGTTGTTTGGCCTTTATTGGTTCGGGTGTCTGTGCTGTTATTGCAATAGCAAATTTTGGTAATGAAATCGAAACAAACGCCGAAAGTGGCAATAAAGTGGTTCCCAAAGCGTCGAAGCGATTCGAAAGTCTTTAATAAAATACAAAGGTAAACTTATAAAAAAAAGTAGTAAATCCAAAGATTTTATATTTAATCCACATATTTTTCGCTTTGATTTTAATCCATTGAGGTTTTTACTAAATATGAATATGAAAATATTACTAACAATATTAATAACAATTGAACTTAATTTTAAAAACGTTTATTTTTTTTTTACAAGAAAATATGGGTTAAAAATAATATTTTCTGCTTGATTGAATGTTGGATTTTTTTTATTTAATTTAAATATTTAATAGGAATCTTTGCATTTAATATTTATGTATTTTTTTATCAGTGTAAAGTACTACATAGTGGAAAACAAACTTTTAAAGCTTGAATCGATTAATTCGCTAAACAGAAATATTAATATCTTAAGCAACTGTTCTAATCTCCCAATGTCTAAAAACAATAACAGAAATTTTGTTTACTTCAATTATAAAGGCTATAAAGGGTCAAATAAAATTAATGTAAATAAAAAAGAGACAAGATGTCTTAAGACTGCGTAGAAACAAATCAATTGTGTTACTGATAAGCATTCCAGAGCACTTATAAAAGTAGGACATTATGCCGAAATATTTCAGTTTGCCATCTCAATCGGAACCTAATCGCTTGTTCTGCTCAAAAAAATAGAGTAGCACAAAATCGAAATGTCTATTTGGGGAGCACTTGCGTTATTCTTCTTAGTAAATCCAAGAATCAACTCAGATCTGAGGGAATTCGACAAAATCGGATATAAGTATTTCTACTTCGAACACTCTTCTATGGGAAATTGGTATCTGGCTGAGGAAAGGTGTCAACAAAAAGGCGGACACTTGGCGACCATAGAAAACGAAGAGGAGCTCAACGCCATCAATGAAAAACTCAGGGAAGAACTCAATAAAAACATCAGGTTCGAGTATATCTATTGGATTGGCATCAACGATTTGGAAAAGGAAGGCGATTTTGTAACATTGCCTTCAGGGAGAAAAGCACCTTATCTAAAATGGCACCGATATGAGCCCAGTTACGCCCAGTTGCACTGCGTTTAGATTTTAGTATGCGTTTAGTATTCCCATAAAAACCAAATGTTTGGTGTTCAATAGATTTCTTTATTGCATTTCTTTATTTTTTTAAATTCATATATATACTTGTTCAATTATATATATAAATGTGTATATATAATTAGTTTAATTTTCTTTGTTCATGAATTATTGAGAGAACAATTTGTTTTGTTTAGTTCAAATAGTATACAATTTGCTTAACTATACAATTAAAAAACAGTTTCGAAATCATAGAGAGAAAACGAAAACGATATAAACAATTGTTTTTATCAATTTCCTATAGCTTGCAAATATTTTTAATATTAATTTAGTTCTTATTAATGCTTTGTTCATTGTAAAAACTTAACAAATGTTTTGCAAACTTCGTTTATTTGTTGCCCATCTTCGATCTTAATGTTGCTTAAGTTTTGCATCCTTATTATTCGCTTCTTTTTTGTTCCGCTGTTTGTTTTCAGTAATTATCATGTTTGTTCTTACAAGTATGTAGGCAAAATGCTTGCTGAGAGATATATATGTATATTCAAAATGTACAAGAGAATTAGCTAATGACTTGCGCAAGTAAAATCAAAGGAAAATCGGGGAAAACAATTTGCAAACCTGTTTTGTGTTTGTTTGTTTTTTTAAACCACGCCAGTGAGTTTTTGGGGCTAAATCCACCCACTTAACCCCATAGCAATTTGTAAACTTTTTCAACAAATTCAAGTTAACTGAACGGAACTGTAAGGAATTCCCGCCGCTTCTGGATTCTTTGTTTGTTTTTCATTTATTCAGGGAGGGGTTGGCGTTGGAGTACCAAACAAAATTTAATAGAAATAATTTGCATTTTAACTGGTAGAAATTTGAAATTTTCCTTAAGGTTTCCCCAGCTTGTTGATATGTGAGCCAACTTTACAGGTTGGTTGGAAAAACATAAGAAGCGATTCCGAGTAATCCCGGCATGTAAGTGAGTGATGAGCGAAAAGTGCCAACAGTTGGAAAATTTCGTTTGTTTTTCTTCGACTTCAACTTTTGCGCCGTAAAACTTTTGTGCGTTTTCCTTGAAGAAAATCAGCACCTTTCCTATTTTTAGTTCGTCGAAAAAAAAGTTGAAGTCAACACGTGCCTGGCTTGAATGAATTTTTAAACAGTATATGTACTTTTTGATTGGTTTCTGTTTAATTAAGCTTCCCAAAGCGCGTTTGAGTTGGAGTCCCCCGTTTTATAAATATATCAAATTAAAGCTTTCAAACCGAACCGCCCCACGAGAACTGGGGCAGTCGAGTCTTTACACAACGCATAAGGAACTGGCAAACCGAGTTATAAAGCATCTAGATTTTATATACACTCCTTCGTCGATTTAATATCTAAGGCTTACGGTAGAAAATGGATCGTTAGCAAGCTTGCATTCGGTAAAAACACTTTCGTATGGTTAAAAACTTGTGGTGTTCGCCTTGTCTTGGTTAGCTCTCGATGGTAAAATGTTGTCAAGTCAAGCAATTGGATTATCTATACTTTAGCTAAGGTTATGTTTTTAGGTTCGATATTGATAGGTATGTCGTGATATGGTCAACACAAATTGCGAGTCTAGGTATTTTGCGATCGATCAGAGATGGCTGGATCGTAATTGAAATGTAAATAATTTTATAGGGTTTATAAATTTGTAATTAATGGTATTGCTTTGATTTTTAATAAACTAATTTATAATAACAGTCAAATAAGCGTAGACCTCTGAAAATCAAAGAATACTTTATATAATTCATAGCATCACAATTGATATCTGACCTTTTTCTAATATATGAATATATGATATTCATTTCGATTTCGAGTGATATGATCTATGATCCGTTTGCCATCTCTGAAACACTCCTTCATTGTTCTTAGCGAATACGTATGCGAAGGCTATGTATGATATCGAATAGATATTGCTTATATGGTAGAGCTTGAAAAAATATCGACAGATTGCTATTTCTCGATATTTAAGTTGAGTTTTCCCTTGGAAACATCGATGTAATCGAATCGAAATTGTCAAAATATCGAAAATATCGATAATTTTCAAGCTCTGTTTTATGGGGGGAGGATATGGTTATGGGAAACATAGATAGATATCAGGTGGCTTTCTTCTTAGAGGAAGGCCTTCTTGCTGGTCTCCTGTGCCGTAGTTGTGGTGGTCGAGATGCCCGAATCCTTGCCCACACTCGCCGTGGTGGACACTGCGATGGTGGGTGGTGCTGGTTGCAGTGGTGCCTTGGTGGTTCCAGTTCCTTCAATCGTCACCCCACCGGAACCGGAAATAGGACCGGAACTGGGCGGCGGTGGCGGAGGGGGCGTGGCCGCCAGGGGGGTGGGTATACGGGGCTGGAACGACGGCTTGCCCATCGCCAGGGCAGGATTCAGATCCAACATGGTCCTGGGACTCATGGCCACAATACTTGCGCCCAGCGGACCTGCGAAAAGTTGAGCAACTTTTTGTTTTAACCCCGCCACAGAAAAGGATTATCAATTTCGGTTTCGGTTTTCGGATAGGAAGCAGTAGGTGGAGTAGGTGGAGTTATACAGCCGGAAACAATAGATAGATAGTAGTGGGAAGAGAGTCCAAGGAAGAGTAAGAGAAAAACAGAGAAAGAAAAAGAGAGAGAGAGGTAAATATATTATTTTCATTAAGTCGGTTAGTCAAGCTGGAGTTTCCAAATTCGGTAAACTTTGAATTTCATTATGACAGGTGGGATTTCTTTTTTTTTTCAAAATTGCTGATGGTAATTTACTGGGTGCACTTGGTTACTACGATTTAAGAGGGGGAATAGTGGGTGGTTGGGTGGGCAAGTGTAACACGATTACAAACATCACACACAACTATGGCAACACTAATCACACTCCAAGACTCGGGTCAAAATTCGGGTCACATGCAGCATGCTCGGCAAAACAAAAACACACACATATAAGGCTAGATACAATATATCTGCAAACTACATTTGGCAAAGATTTCCGTTGGACTCAGGCAAAAAACAGGGGTGGGGTGGAGGGGGTCAAACTTTGTAGAATCAAATGCTGGGAAATCGGATTCGTGAAGGTGGCTCTAAACTCTAGAGTTTCTGCTTGCTACGAACTATAGTTTCAAAGTTTTTCAACTATTTGACACTTTTAGTTGGGAATTTTTTTTGTCGGGTTGGAAGAGAGCGAGAAAGTTGGAGGTTGTTAGGGGTAGATAATAATAGGTTTCTTAACCAACACACACCCGCCCAGCAGAGTCCGAGTTTTGGTTAGCTGATAAGTAGTTAGATGATAGATGAACGAACCGGGGATTTCTTATTTATATAACTGAGGTTTCGTTTTTTGATTTCGTTTCGATTTCGATTTTGTTGCTGAGTTTTTTCTTGTTTTTTGTGTCTTGAGCGGGCTTAACAAATTACAAAATATCTTTCTGGTTCTGTTCTGTTTTCTGTCTTAGTCGAAACTGAAGGCCATATCTGAAATACAAGAGTTCGAGATAATACAAACGTTTTTTTCACACATTTTTCAATTAATGTTACATGGCTAAGGGATCTCTGATTCGGGACTAAAAACCAAAAAAATCACAAAAATACACACGCACACACAGAGAGAGAGAGAGAAGATACGGTTACAGATCTGAATATATGTAGTATATCTTATACACTGGTAACGAAGTAACGAACGAGCCAGAACTGAGGAACAACACACGTACACGATATATAATGTATATATAGTATTATTTGTAAAGATAGGTGGAGAAATATATAGAGAGAGAGGAAAACACGTAGAAAATTACATATTGTATAGTTATATATACGATTATATAGCAGGTTGAAGTGGTAGTAGTAACAGTAGATGGCGGCAGCAGACGTCGCCGACACGAGTAAACGAGTAATCATAGTATTCATAGGCATATCAATGGCTTCCAGAATCTTGCTCTCGATCCAACGTACCACGATCTCTATCCAATATATGGTCTTTGTCCAGTCCTCTCTAATTTTCCTTCGTTTACTCATAGATCAGTTTGCCAAATTCTTATATAGAAAATATCTTCATCATCATCATCATCATCTCTCATTGCAAGTTTTCGCTTGGAAGTAATGGTTTGGGGGATTATTGGTTCTTCAGCCGGTTCTGTTGTGGTTGTTGTTTTGTGGGTCATGTTGTTGTTGTTGCTGCTGTTGCTGTTGTTGTGTTCTTTGGCTTAGAGCAGCCTGCTCTTTTTGCCATCGCGCGGTTTGCCAATCATTGTTGTATATTCATCTATTTACACAAGATTTTTGGGGTTTGGATTGGATCGTTTTATCAATGAAATTAAATTATATTAAAGTAAACAAAAGTAATTGGAGCAAAGGTATAAAAAAGAAATCAAGAAATAGAGTCCCGTATCTGGGTATCAAAATCGTTGAAGAAAGGGTATATATATTTATATATTGGTACGATACATATTCTTGTATTTTGCTGACTCAATGGAAAAAAGTACATCCTAAACTGATTGGAGGGCGATGACTTTGAATATACAAGTATGCCTTCGATAGGTGGAGAAAAAGTAAAGGGCTGCAAATAAATTATATTATGAGGAAATGACTTGAATCTTTGGCTTTATGATTGGAGTTTGGGAAATTCGTGGAGTTCTATAAGATTGCAAAGGGAAACTATTTTAGATATTTTGTAAATATTATATAAGAAGTTTCCTTAACATTCCCATCGATTTCCCACTTAGACTCCATAATTCGCCATTAAAAATTCCTTTGAATGACTTGCGTAAAATGAAAGCTAAGCTCGAATAAATGGATAAATTGGAATTGGAATAAAGAAGCCTTAAATGCATGGTAATTACAAAGAGTACATATATACACGTACACGACGAATGATATGTTATATAATGGATATAGTATAGCCGAAAAGGGGGAAGCGCACCCAAAATATGGAGACGTTGTATTTCTAGTCTCTCTTAGTATAATATCAATTACTATCAATATTCATTTGCCAGGAGAAACTGCGAGACGGCACAAAGGATAACGAGTATTTATTACTGGGTTGTGTTTTATTGCAAAGTTAATCCATTGAACTCGATTACTTTCGAACTGAGGGTGCAGCTGTGCGAGCTTTTTAGGTACAGGTTAAGAACTTGGTTGGCTTGGTTTAGCTGGTTTACTCGTTTTTTTGTACTTTTAGTGGTATATTTTTTGGGTTTTGGCGGTGCCTTTTTTGAAGCGCAGCTCGATTTTACTTGGTTTACTTTTTTTTTGCTTGGTGGCTTTAGCTTGAGGCTTGCATTTTGCTTGGTTTGTGGCAGTCGGTGTGGTGTTACTCGTTTAAGGACACACAAGGACTCACCTGACTTGGGGCTGACCAGGTCCTTCGTTTTATTGTTCATGCGACGTGGTCCAGTTCCTCCGGATCCCATGGGACCGGAATGGGGACCCGAGCCCGGGGTGCCGCAGCCACTGACACCGCCAGGGGCACCTAAAAATTTAATAAAAAGGATGAGTTTATATTGGTGCGAATGTAGAAATTATAGAGGACTTAATAGATACGCTTAAAAAAATCGTTAATATCATTAAGCAGTTTTTTCTATAAATAATTGATTTTTAGTAATAATCCACGCTTCTTCTACAATAAATTCTAATTCCATATAAATATTAATAATTCCATAATATTGTGTTTTCTTCTTGTAAACTCGCCTCATTGTTAATTTTATTATATACAATTCATGTGGTTTTTGTATACGCATCCATTGTGATTTACGATGTATTTTGAGGTTTCGGGGAAATAATCTTCATTTCAATCAATCATCAAATAAAATTTGATTGCTTTTGAAAATGATTGAAATTACTCTGAAATAATTTCACTTTAATCTTTTCATAAGCAAAATGTGTAAATTAATTGTTATCTAAAATACTAGACAGCCTTTGGAAGTGATTTAAAAACCATATTAATTTATGTGGCATCCCTAAATATATTCAATGTACCTACTGAAGGTAGTTTGACCAATGGTAGTGAGCCCGCAAATACTAGACAGCCTTTTCAAAGCCGCAGTAATTTCTGTGGTACCTACTGAAGATAGTTTTGCAAGGAATTTAAAGCCGAAGTAGTTTCCTTGGCACCCCCAAATATATTTTATGGGCAAAAGATGGCTCGACCAATGGTAGTGAAACCTCATTTCCCAACTACGGTGCTTTAGAGCCACTCACCTGGCAGTCTGGGCTGTCGCGGCTGCTCGACGGGAAGCACTCGTCTCCGCTTCTTTGGCAGTTTAGCCCTGGCTTGCGTGTGCGAGTAGTACATGGCGAAGTTGCTGACGATGACGGGCACTGGCAGTGCGATGGTTAGTACGCCGGCCAAGGCGCACAGGGCGCCCACGAACATGCCGATGTAGGTCTTGGGGGCCATGTCGCCGTAGCCCACCGTGGTCATGGTGACCAGGGCCCACCAGAGACCCAGCGGGATGCTGTTGAAGTCGTTGTGCGGATTCGGCTGGATGCGCTCCGCGTAGTAGACGAGGCTGGCGAAGATCACGATGCCCAGGACGAGGAAGAACACCAGCAGGGTCAGCTCCTTGGCCGAGGCCCGGAACGTCTGGATGAGGATCTTCAGGCCGGACGAGTGGCGCGTCAGCTTGAACAGACGCATGATGCGGATGATCGAGAAGAACTCGAGGATGTCAGCGTTCTCCAAATGCGATGCGAACCGCTGAAGCACTAGATCGATATAAAAACTAAGCGTCGCTATGTAATCTATGATGTTAACAGATGACTTGATGAATTCACACTTGTTGGGCGATGAGATAAAGCGCACCTGGAAAAGTTTAAAAAGTTATAAGGGGGTTCTTTAGGATTTCAGATTACTTACCAATATTTCAAAGGTAAACCAGGCATTGCATACGCATTCGATATAGAAGAAGGCTATGTGCGCATTGGTCTGGGTCTTGTCCAAAAACCAGCCGTTACTTCCGTTCGCAGTTTTCACCGTAATATTCCGTACGATGGGCACCCGCATATCGGGATGGGTCTTCAGGCAGAACGACAGGATCGAAATGCAGATGAAGAACACCGAAACCACGCCAATGGTCTGGAATTTAAATACGATATTTGGATAATCTTCTAATTAAAATGAAAAAGTTTATATAAAATCCAGATGATTGATGTCTTAATAAGCTTTGATATACATTCACTTAAAATAAAAATAGATGAGACGATGTATATGTATTTTCAAAGCACTTTTGTAATTATTTAGTAGATTGCTTTTAAAATGCTATTTTTATGTGGGTGTTCTTGCTACTCATTCGTGAAATTGTTGAAATTATTTATAGCTTAATTGAAAAGTGAATTTAAGTGCTTTCGTCTGACAAATAAATTTATATAATTAAAATCAGAAATCTGAAAAATCACCTTTGCGGCATTGGAACTGTAGGGTTCATCGAACAAGGACCAAATGCGCGGCTTCATCTCCTGCCACCAGGATATGGTGCCTTTGTAGTAGTCCTCCTCGAAGCCGAATTTGCGTGCCAATTCCTCTTCGGACGGTTTTTCCGTATCCAGATCGAGACGATCCAATACGGCCAGGGTTTCCTGGGTGTCGCGATGCTACAATGCATACACCATCGATTAAGTTAAATATAAAATTATAATCAAGAAGGTGACTTACCTGTGTATAGGTCATCCAACAGCAGGGCTCCACTTGGTTCGAGTCTAGGCCCCAAAACTCCAATTCCTCCTCGAACAGCGGTCCACACACATCTGTGGGATAATGCAGCTTACCGGTTCTGAAAGTTAAATATATTTTAAAATAAAATAATCAATCAGTAGGGTCCAGAAATCGTTAAAAACAATGTCTTAAAGGATGCAACATTATATTTCAAGTCGGGAAGGAAAACGTTGCATACTTTTAGACACCTTTGAAAGAGATTCGAGCTCTCACCTGTAATAGTTGAGCACTTGTGCGAAGACTCCCGGATGCCGATCAAAGAAGTACTCATTCAATATCGGATCATAGTTGGCCAGGGCCTCTGTCAGTCGCGATAATCGCGTTGCCGGAATCTTTTTCAGCGTGGCCTTGTAGGTTTCGTGCCGAATGCCACCCACATTGAGCACCACCCGGTTCTCTGAGTCCATATTGATCAGATTCATGGCTGCATGCGCATAGTGTTGCATTTTTTTAGGTATATAAGTCATTGTCTCAATCAGGAACTCAAAAGTCAATCATTTAGAATGCAATTATAAATTAAATAATATATAATAAAATCTAGATTATTAAACAAATTATTTAATTAAGATGAACTTATTGGATTCTACGTGCTTTCCCAAATTAAAAATTATTTATTTTCCGCTATTGGTGGGTGTTTCGTGTGGGCTTTGTGAATACTTTTTATGTTCTGTTGTTTTCTGGGTATTTCTTTTTTTTTCTGGCCAACCTGTATGCTTTTCGTTGTCCTTGCCCACGATTTTTCAACTTGGTCTCGTGCCACTCTCTCCTTTCACTTCTTGCGATCCACTCTTCGACACCCACGAGGGATCAGGTCTCAAGACCTCGGACCACCACTTGAAAATATTTAACCAGATGTTAGGAACACCCCCAAATGATGCTCGGTAATCAGCTACTCACTAGGTTGGGGCTGGATTGGACAACATGGCGCTGAAAGAGAGGAAGAAGTTGTTTGGATAAGTTAAAACAATTAAGTGTGTAAGCCATACAAATTATTTTACAATAACAAAGCTATTTTGAACAATTGCAAGGAAAAACTAAAGCTATTTTTGTGGTCTCCTTGAAATAATTACACATTCTCATCGGGGAGACTTATGAATGTCAGTACTGCTTATATGATCCCTTTATTTTAATGGTTCATAATTATGAGTTTATGACCTAGACACATGTGGTGAGTAAAAGTAAAAGAGTCGGTTCACAGAGGCCATTATGTACGCACGCACAACTATTTTAAGAACACAGAAATTAGAGGGTGTACATGGAAAATGTAATAATAAGGAATTTTTTGGTTTAATTAAAACGATTTATCAATTCGAAAATCGGATAAATAAAAGTAAACAATCTTCAAAAATAATATTGATGGCAATAAATATGATTGCCCCATAAACAAAATCATCCGACCTCGCCTTCGAATGTTAAGCATACAAATCATCGATTCTAAATCAATATTTTCTGTATACAAATCATCGAGAAGTTCATATGTATTTTATATCATTTCAGGTGAGGGGCACATCTTCACTCTGAAATTTTGTTTACTTTTTAGGATAAAGAATATGGATCCGTGATTCCAAGTTGAAATGATTCAGTTACTTGCTAAAGTGTGCCGGATGGAATCGGTTGAGGTAAGTTTTTACCCGTTCCTCTAATTGATGTATGCATCCGATGATTCAATGCCTGGATTCACTTTATTTAGCGAGTACTTCTACGCCGCATAAATATTCAAAATCAACAAATTCAACGCCCGAACTAAGACCATTTATTTGGAAAATAGGCAATGATATTCGCTTCGATTGAATTGACCCATTAGCAGCTCGTGAAGCGCATCCCACTTGCGATTATTTAAATTTTTTCCCAGATCTAACTAAATATAGTACAACCGTATCATCAATAACGTCATCAATTTTTGGAGAGTGGCACGAAGACTATATTGTAGAAGGTATATAACAAAATAAAACAAAAAGGAGCTGAACGTAACGGAATAATGAAATTGCTTTTCGTGATTTGCACAAAAGGCAAATATTTGTTCTTAAACAATATTTAGTTTTGGCGCTGCATTGTTTACACTCTCGCACGCACAGATACAAATGTATCTAAATACGGGCTGGCACAGCATAGGTCGGGAAAATAGTAAACGAATAACGGGAGAATAGTAAACGAATTAAAACGAATAAGTTAAATTAGAAAAATAAAGTTTTTAATATTGAAGGTTTTTTAAATATACCTTTATTAAACAAATTTAATTAAAGTTTTTTGAAGGAAAACTGTGGAGTTTTTTAAATCATTTATAAAGTTGCCTAAAAGTAGGCAGTGAAAAAATACCTTGAAATTTAAATGAATCCTGGGTTATTCCGGATATATTGTTGCATACTTTTAGACACCTTTTTAAGTGATTTCAAAATAAAAGTTTTTAGTTGGACAATGGTAGTTAATACTATGATATTAAATAAATATTTTAATATCAATAGGATATTCTTGCTCTCACTTTCTTACACATATCTTTATGACAAGTAAGTGTATTTTCATGAGACCTTCTTAGGCAAACAGCACTATTTTTTTGCCGCACAACTGTTTGTACATCATGTACACAAAGTGAGCAACAGCGTCCTGTCCGTCTGCCTTTTCTGGTCCAACTGTCTGCCCGTCCCTGTCTATCCCTGTCTGTCCGTCCAGGCTGTTCTTTTTCTGTTGTCGATTCTCATCATTGTCCATTGGATGTTTACTCGCAGCAGCCGGCTGCCCCTCAATTTCGATTCTAGATTTTTGAATCAGCGCCATAAAAATACAAAACAACTCACACACAATTTTCATGAGGCTTTATAAACAAAACAAACAAGCCAAACACACGCTGAGGGCAGTTTTCCTGTCCGTGTCCGGGAAAAGTGGTGGAATTCAGTTGCAATTAATGCTAATGATTATGTTATACACACTGCCGTGCTGCCGAAACTCTGGCTTAATATTCATGGGTTTAAAGTGTACATAGGTAGGTGGTATATGCATATTTAACCGCATTATTTATTCACTTCTAATGAGCGGGGTCCTAGGAGCACACAGAACCAGAAGTATTTAAAATGAGTTTCGGCTTTTTTCTTCTTCCTTTCCCTGTATATATTTTTTTATGCCGAATTTCCTTTCCCCCGCAGAAAGAACATTACACGCAAGTAGAGTAGTTAGAAGGTGGCTTAACTGCCTCTCGGGGGGGCTTGGAAAATGGTAAAAATGGAAAACGGGGGTGCACACACAGTAGGTCAGGAGTGTTTTGTAAGTAGCGTGTTTTTGTTGTGGTATGAAGTTGCCTGCCTGCCTCGGTTAACTTGGCGTATACTTGATATACACACACATAGCAGCAGGACCTACACGTGTGTGTTGTCGTCGCGCACGCATCGATTTTTCCGTTTTCGGTGTATCACAAACTTCCTTATTGTCCGCTGATATATATGGATTGACTTTAAAGCGATAAAGCGGAGTAAATATCCTTGTCCTGTCCAGATATATACCTATTCCTATCCCTATCCATATATCCCCATCCCGCCTTCTCCGATTTCTCACCTATTCTCTCATCCTGCGGCCTCGTTGCGCTCTGCCCGTAAACATAGTTCCAATTAACTGCGATTTTTCGGGGACTCGGGACTCGCAGGAAAACCAATGTTTTGGGGCTCGTTGAAAATTGTGGAACACTATAGATGGGGGAGAACTAAACTGTGGACTAATTCACTACTAAACTACACTCGTTTTCTTTTTGGGGGTGTGCGCCTCCTTCCTCTATTTTTCTTTCTTTCCGGGGAGTTGGCCGTCCGTTCTCTTCTCGCGCTCTTTCGTTCCGAACCGTTCGAGGCGATTTTACAAACTGAAAAGGAATCCGAACAAACCGAATCAACACCGATGGCATTTTCACTCTCCGTTCTCTCTGGAGGGATGTTGATATTGTTCTTAATCTCATCGCCTTTTGCTCAATATTAAGTGCATGCGCAGTGTCTTTCTTCGTTCGCAATTTTCTTTTGCCCTGACATTCGCTTGATTGTTGCGACAAAATGCAACACTGCGTATGAGTGATGTGGAAAATATTTTAATAATTTAAAAATCAATTTAAAAATTTATTGGCTTTGAAAATTTAAAAAAAATATAAGAAATATGATATTGATATTTTAAGAAAATATTATTAAAAACCCTCCTTATTTTTGGTTGTTTTACAAATTTGAGGAACATAGTCTCCCAGGACTTTGTGGATAAACTGATTAGGACGGAGGCTCATCTGACTAACCTAGAAAATAAACTGCAATCTATGCAGTCCAAGTTGGACACCCAACTTACAGAAATTAAGAAAACCCTATCTACACTCGATAGAAATTGCATACCTCCTGTTTTCGAGCGAATCGGCGAAAGATACTTTTACATCCAAGAAGATGTCAAGCTAAACTGGACTGATGCTGCGGACGCCTGTCGTCGAATTGGTGGACATTTGGCATCTGTTCAAAGTAGAGAGGAGTTCGACGCCATCGCTGCGAAGCTTGAGGATTCGGAGAAATACTTTCTGGGCATCAACGATCGGGAGGTAATGGGTAAATTTGTGTCCGAAGCCTCCGGAAGGCGAGCTGCCTTTTTCAAGTGGTATCCTAGTGAACCTAGGTCTACAAATGATCGAGAGCACTGCCTTGCTATTAAAGAGCGCTTTATGTTTCTTAACAATTGTACTTATAAGAAGAAATTCATATGTCAAGCAGATGACAAAATATAATACAAAATATATATACAAAAAAAAACAAGATGTGTTCTTAATGTTCGTAATGAAATCTTAGAAATTTATTGGAATGAAAAGAAATGGTGCCAATCTACAAATGATCGAGAGCACTGCCTTGCTATTAAAGAGCGCTTTATGTTTCTTAACAATTGTACTTATAAGAAGAAATTCATATGTCAAGCAGATGACAAAATATAATACAAAATATATATACAAAAAAAAACAAGATGTGTTCTTAATGTTCGTAATGAAATCTTAGAAATTTATTGGAATGAAAAGAAATGGTGCCAATCTACAAATGATCGAGAGCACTGCCTTGCTATTAAAGAGCGCTTTATGTTTCTTAACAATTGTACTTATAAGAAGAAATTCATATGTCAAGCAGATGACAAAATATAATACAAAATATATATACAAAAAAAAACAAGATGTGTTCTTAATGTTCGTAATGAAATCTTAGAAATTTATTGGAATGAAAAGAAATGGTGCCAATCTTAAGCAGACTTCCATATAAACTGAAAATTCTCTTATCAATTGGTTCTTTTTATATTAATTTTGATATTGATTTTTGATATAATTGATTTTCATATTTTAAAATTTGGAATTTAATATTTCAAACAATTATATGACAGATTTAATTCTTAAACATACAACATACATACCTTGTGAGTTTGACTTTCCCATTAGTTGTACTTGTATAAAATAGGAAATACCAAGAAGATTGAAATCTTAGATTTTTATGCTTTCCAAGAACTATAACACAGTCATTCCAATTATAACATGTAAAATACCAAGTTGATTACAAATAAATTATTTTTCTTAATCACGAGCATAAAATCCCAGCCTATGAGTGATAACAGAAACGTATAAAAGCGGACGCTTGAGACCAAATATTTTAGTTCCCTCCTCGAGCTGAGCTAATCTTTTAGAAAATATAACCAAAATGTATAAGCTCACAGGCATTCTGATACTCGCGATAATTACTGGGAATATAAACGGATCTCAAGGAGGACCAGTGAAAAGCCCCGAGGACTTGGAAACCCACTGTAAAGGAAAGGCCTTTACCATGTTGGGAACAGTACTGGACAACCTAGTCGCCAACCAGGATTGCGATGAGCGGGATGAGCTGGAATCCCTGCCAGAAGCTATAGCCAACGCAACGGTTTCTGTGGGATGCGAAAATCTCACAGTTCCAAAGGATTTCACAGAATCAGCGCGCTGGATGGAGAATGCAATAACCCACTTGGAAAGTCAACTAGCAGACCTAATGGTATTACTAAAACTAAGAATGACCTATGAGAAAGTCAATTCGAGATATTTCTATTTCGGACACGATGTTTCGAAAAACTGGACGGAGGCTGAAAGCTTTTGTGCCGAAAAAGGCGGACATTTGGCCACGTTCCAAGACGAAAAAGAGCTTATCGCAGTTACGGCCAAACTGAATCCCGATACTCGATACTGGACGGCGGTCAACGATATAGCCAAAAAGGGGGAGTTCAAATATCTAGACACCGGCTTGCCAGTTTCCTATTTGAAGTGGTCACCAGGGGAACCCGATGATTGGAACGAAGAAATGCACTGCGTTGTATTGTTCCATGGTAGCATGAGGGTCAACCAATGTTATCATGAAAGACGTGTCATTTGTCAAGCCGACAACGAAATTTAATTTAAAAAAAAAAGAGTTTTAATACAGAAAATGTAAACATAATAATAATAAAACTTAATATTCATTGTTAAAATGGAAAACAAATTTTACTAGGTATATATTTACTTTGATCATATGTCCCTTTGCCCACATAAAAAACGGTGCTTTCTTAAATTTATATTTTTTTAAGATTTTTGGGAACGTAAGAACTGAAGTACAGAGCAGTTGTATTAAGTTAGGAAAAAGAGGTTCCTTATTTGGTTGGACAGAATTTAAGTACATTTTTTGTAAATTAAACTATTTATAAAAATCAAATGCAATTTGCTAAGTGACGAAATGGAGAAATGCTAATGACAGATGTGGAAATCGGATGAGTTTTGGTCCTATTAGCGTACATAAAGATGAGTATAAAATAGTAGAGCAGATGCAATATCCAATATCTATGCCTGCTGTTCCTCGTTTCCATCAGCAGAGGTGTGCCACACATGTCCCATTTCCAGGGCCTGCAGTTTCAGCAGCTCCTTTTGGCTGTCCTTGGCCTGAAGGTGGAAGACACTTTGCTAAGGGGGAGATTTAAAAAAATATATTTAAATAAATATATTTAATTCAAATGTATAATACTCACCTTCACCTCCTTGGTGGTCAGCACATCCATTTTGTCGTAGATGATGGCATGCAGACCCAGTTCCTTGAGCAGCTTGATGGTGTCCTTCGAGTTGTTGTCGTCGCCCCAGCAGAACAGCACCAATCCACGCTCCTTGGCCAGATTCACCTAAAAGCGTCCGTAGCTGAGTGATTCACGACTCGTGAGGGGATCATGTTACCTGACTGGGATCTCGCAGCAGGTCCTCCGTGTGCGCCACAACGCCCAGGAACTCCATGGCCACCGCATGCCAGACGGCCAGCTCCATGGAGTTGCCCCGGGGGTCCAAATACTTCTGGTACTTCTCAGTCCTGCCGAGGGTTAGAAACATCACAGGATATCGATTTTGCTTGAACCTTAATATAGTACAGATGTCTGGATCGAAACAACTTAGGACTATCCGGCGATTGCCGGCCTTTCTTAGGATTACATCTAATATACAATCGATGTAGAGATTTCTATCCACCACATGCTCGAATTCCTCCTCCATTTTGCCATCCTCCAGCCGCTGCGACCATTTGATTTCGATATTGAAGCCGACATGGACATCGAGGGCATCGAGTACATCGGCCAGTTGTGGAAAGGGCTGATGCTCCAGCAGGTCATCGTTGTGAAAGGAGCGCGTCTCCCGGGAGAGACCTTCGGCTATGTGGTAGACCTTCAGCTTCCTCAGCTGCTCCAAAGTCAGCTCCCTCATGGGCAAAGCCAGAAAGTCGTGCTCCTGCATGCTGCACTTGGACTTCAGCGAGACGTAGATCATAAAATCGTGATAGACCACCGGCACGAGGTCCTTGCTCAGCTGGACATCGAACTCCACCATGTCGGCCCCGTGATCGGCGGCATTCTTCAGCGAGGTGATGGTGTTCTCCCTGATCACCGCATCCTTGGCCTTGAAACTGGTTCCGGAACCCCGGTGGCCCACATCCAGGCCCGTCCACTTGTTGTTCCAATAGCGCGCATAGCTCACACTCATGTCCATGTGGGCGCACTGCGACGAGGGCTTTACGATGAGATAACCCAGACGCATCATGCCCAGCGGTCGATGGCCCTTGGCGCAGGTGATGGGTAGCTCTAGGTTGCCCTCCGATCGCTTAAACAGATTGGGCAGCACGTAGTGATAGCCCAGGTGATGCGGTGGACCATCCTCCCTGGCCACTCGCGAGCTGTAGCTGTATAAATCTATTAAATAGGCGGTATTTTCAAAATCCCCGACTGTCAGGTGGAAGATGACCAGATCCGTGGGTCCACAGGCCGTTCCAAATTGCTCCTGGTGTCTAATTTCGCACTCATCCGCACTCAAGGTGACCACCTCACTAAAAGCAAAAGCTGTAGACTCGCCACCATTCTCCTTCGTGTCATGGGTGTCGTTCGACAGGGAATCCTCCGGCGGGGAAACGGGCGTCATGGCCTCGCAACTGGCACTCGGAATACTCAGATTCATGGGCGTCACCTTGACCTGAATGTGTCTTCTTTTCATGCGCTGCTTGAAAGTGAAGGGGGCGTAGAAGAACTTTAACTGAACTAAAGTCTCCTTGGTCAGCCAGCCGCGATCCACCTTGTCCTGTCCATTTATTGAGCCGAAAATATCCATGTGTTCCTTGGCGGGCTGCTCATCCAGTTCCCGGATAATTCTAGGCTGTGGAAATAAGACTCAGTTTTAGTTGTTCTATTATCTCAACACTTTGATTCCCATACGAGTGCATACAAATCAAATCCGTTTTCCCGGCTTCAGCTCCACTCGTATAGGGTCATTTGGTAGTTAAGCAATTAGTAAACCTGTAATTGGGTCTCCCAGCGGCGGACCATCAGTTGCTCGGCACTCGGGTCCACGGCACAGACCATGTAGCGGTACTCCGTGTCGCAGTGACGCGGAATGTAGACCTCCGCGGTCCAGAGATTGCTATCCTTATCCTCATCGCCGTCCTCCTTGGTCAGAAGAGCCGCTCCCGAGTGCTGCCAGTTGCCCAGCGCCTCGCAGTTGCCCACTATGGCCAGCTGCTCGTGGGCGGCCAGTTCCTGGTTCATCAGCACCCGAAAGGTCCAAAGTCTGTTGGTGGTTATGTCGCCGAATATCCGGCGGGATCCCATTCGACCTCCGTTCTCCGAGGACGAGGGACAGCAGGAAGGAGCCGCCATCGCATCCTCGTCGCCATCGTGGGAGGCCAACCAGTTCTGCATTCTGTGGGGGTCAAGAGTTCGCATCAGTAAATTTTTTTTATTTACAAATTTTTATAAAAAAAACAATTTATTCTTTTTTTAGTTAGAAAAAGAAAATTTTTTTTTAAATATATTTTTTTTCTATACATTTTTTAGAAACCTCGTTAGGTGGTTTTAAATTCAATGTGTAAAATTTTTTTAAATTATTTTTTTTTATTATAAATTGAATAATGAAATTAGTTAATATTTTTTTTTTAGATCTAGGAACCCAAATAAATACATTTATGAATCTAAGGGGAAAAGTTAATGTGATTAAAATATATATATTTTCCACCTTTCGAGTTCACTTTAAAGGGTATTCACTGTACTCGACTGTTTCAAATGAGGGTCACAAGTTGCTTGTTTTATCGAACTCAAGTAATGCCCATGGATATTAACACAGACGATTGTTTCTTATGTGCAATGCGATTGTTGTTATTCTGTTGTTATTGACCTTATCAATAAGTGACGTAAATACATCTAATCACTTACTTTGCGTGGGTGTGTGTTATAATCAAGGAAAACGAGAAAATGCTTTGTTTTGTTTTGCTTTTCCTTTCTTCTCTTCTTCCTCTTGCTAGTTTTCCCCGACTTTCCTTGATTTTCCTAGCAAAACTATAACAAAAGAAAGGTGCAATCTGAGGAATCGAACGATTTTTTGGTCATAGCAGCTGTTTTTTGTACACGCATGGTTTTTTCACTTTATTTAGGGGTGGGTGATTATCCCTGTTTTAATACCGATTAAAGTTGATAGTACTATATATTATCTGCCCGATTTTAGCGCCGCGGGGGCGTCCGATCGACTATAACTGTGAGTTGCATTATTTTTACAAGGGAAATCGGGTCGCCGGTGGGTTGGAAAAACGAGTGACCGTTATGCGGAAGCCGGATATTGCGGAATTTTAGAAAAATAAATAAAAATAAAAGTGAACGAATCACGGTTTGGTAAACGTTCCATTAAATTAGTAGTATTTTTAAAGATTATTTAAATAATAAATAGAAAAAATATTAATTTTTTTAACTTTTCTACGAATTTTTTTTTATTTTATTATAAAAATAAAATTTCTCCTGAAATTTAAATTTGTAGCTACAATTTATCTTACCAACCAAAAAATATAAAAAAAGCATTTAAAAACTAAAACACTTTTTTGTACAATTTAAAATTTGTTCAAATAAATACTAAAATTAGTGGTGTGATAGTGATTTTTTCGGATTTCTGGCCAAAATTGGTGCTTTACTCACACATCTTTGTGGTTTCCAGAATTTTCTGTCGATCAGATATCAGATAGAGCCGCACCTGTCAATTATCCATTAAGAAGAAAAGACGTGTTAAATTTTAAATTCATAATTAACACGACATGGAGGAATCCGAAGATAATTTTGAAACTTCTGATCTGCCCTATGAAGATATATATGACAACGATGATCCGTATGTTCCGGATAAACCGGTTTTTGCGGATTACCAAACTGGTGCTGTTTCTGTCGAACGTAAACAAAGTTCTCAAAGTATTCCTCCGTATCCACATTCAGCTCGTCTTATAAATGGCAAGCGTACCTATATATTCAACAAGACATGGGCCATGGGCAAAAACACCCTCAAATCAAAACTATGGCGGGAGGCGTATGAAGTGAGTATAGTTTAAATACATTTTTTTTCAGTTTTAAATATTTACTTTTAGATCCTCGACCCAGAGCTGAAGAAGCCGGAGGTTGTTAGGGACCCTAAGCGCAAGGGACACGTGATCACGATGTTGCATCCGTGCCTACACACGGTCAAAGGTCACGTTGATCCGGATGCAGACACCAAGTGTCCGCGGTGCCAAAAGCCCATTTCTACTAGCAACGTTTTTAGAGTTTAAAAATAAGCTGAAATTATCCATGTGCAATTACCTAAAACGAAATACAAATAAATTGCACAACAAATGTGCACAAAGTTTGCATATTTGTGTCTGGTTTATTAGGCACTTTTAACATTTTTCACACGACAACAACAGTTTTAAGAGTATGCGTCATTGCACTTTTTCGCTGCATTTTCGTTTTGGCGGGGAAAACTCTTATCAGCAAAACAGACTAGCCAAACAAAAAACATAAACAAAGCTTTCGATCAGCTGTTTAAATTATATATGCATGACTAGGGTTGTCAAATATTTTTTAAATATCGTACCGATAACACTAATTCACAACTTTAAGTTTTTTTCGAGGTAAGCCTTGAGACCAATTTTTTGTGATTCGTTTTAAGTTGTTTATCACGCTGAACAAACTAAAAAAAATTCCCAAAGAACCGTTCTAAAGATATTCGCAAAAATCCAGACTTTCGGCGCTACTTTTATAAAACCTAACAGATCTCAAATTTCCCCAGAGGCATTAAAACAGCAAGCCGAAGAGGTTTTTCAAAACTCTACCTGATCTTTGCCCACATTTCAGGCCGAAGACCGCATATTGAATGACTTCTGTTATTCACAGTATCAATAGGAAGAGGCTCTGTTTGTTGCATAAAACAAGAAACAAAATAGTAGACAGTATTTACTTAATACAGCACTTTTTTTTATTCTTAATTCATTTTAAAAATGGCCCTTTATTTATCTGTCATTTGTGGGTTAATAACATGTCCTTGAAAGTAAATATTTTCATTATCCCGAATGACATAGGCAAACGGTTGGTTGACCACAATCTCCAGGGGGGCACTTTGTGGCGCTAATACATACATTACTGCAGATTACATTTTTTGTAAGAATTAAAAAAATTTAGAGCCCCTTTAAGAATTTATCAGTACCTGTTGCAGCCGCGTCTTCGGCGCCCTCTTCATTCACCTCCAGGAAGCCACGTTGCTTGACTTTGTCCAGTTTAAACAATCCATCTACCAGGTGTGCAAAGTTAAAAGTCTTTTCGAATACTTTTCGGATGCCCATCTAAGGGTGAACTAAGGGTTAAACTTTAAACTTCACAATCTTAAAAGATCTCACCCACCTTCTTGAGAATATCCTTAAGGTCTGCTGTAAATTCGATCTTGAACTTGGGCAACTTTAAGTCAACCTTCATCGGTACAAAACGCTTGGAAAAGTGGGCGATCGTTTGCTCTAGTTGAGGAAGCTTATTGATTTTCTTGGGCAAAAATATTACCATGCGGAGGCTCGAATTTCTATAGGGTAGTTCGATCACCTGGGTTTCTAGGAAATTTATATAGGATACATTAAAAACTCCCGATACCTGCATCATTTGAACAGGTACTCGTTTTTTATCACTTATTCGAAAGTCGGCCACTTTTGTATGTTTCGGATTAAACTTGAGCTTCCACTGTCCCTTGAAGTAAACAGCATTCAAGATCATTGCAGTTAGATTCGATGAAAAGTCTGAGGATGTAACTAGGTCTTTGATCTTGCCGTTAGTCTGTTGATCAATCCACTTATTCACAATCAATGATGCATTTTCCGGACTTCTAAAATCGATGGTCTCGGCTTGGGCCTTGAACGAATCTTTAAGCCCCTGATTATATTCCGGAACTAATTCATAATAATCGGCGATGAATATGCGATTCGCCAAATGAACAATGGCCACTTTTTCGCGGTTTTCAAGGTTTGTCAGCAAATTCTTATACTTTTTAGCCACTTCTTTTTTATTCCATGAAAGATGTAGAGCGTTTTTTATTTGTTGAGCCGATCTTCCCTCACCACCCATGTACATCATGCTCAATGCGATTTCGAGGCAGAGCGGCGAGGAAATGATATTTTTGCTTGGATTATTCCTGGCTAGATTTTTGTAAAACTCGTCCGAAAATGGACCATTTGGGATAAACTTATCCTTAAATACATAAAAATTGTCCCAAAAAAAATTGTATCGACCAGACACCGAAACGGCCAAGAAAATCAGAGCTGAGAAAAAGTGATTAAATTATTTTCACATTTAATTTACTAACCAGCACAGCTCACCGAAATATCTCATTTTAAACTTGGCTGTGAACTAAAGATCACATTTACTATTTATAAGTTATATTTTAATCAAATTCGCTACGTAGATTAGTGATGCTTTATTTAAGAAAAACTCTTATTAACTTGGAAAAATCTTTAGTTTCAGCTGTTCTTATACACTGATAAACAAATGTATGTTTAATATTCAATTTAAATATTTTGTCGGTATGCTTTTCATCCATTGCATTACATTTAAAATGTAAAGTTAATTTAAATATTTAAAATTACGATTTTAACGTTTAAATTTAAATATTTGGCGCCTTTTCTAAAGCAGTCCCCCTTTTCGACACTATTTTTTGGTATTTTACAAGCAGTGTTTTTGGTAATTTCGTTCCAATTGGAAAAGTATTTTTCGGTATATTTTGAGTTGGCAAATTACAGTGCGACCCCGTGGCAACGCTGGTCTTAAACAGCTGTTCTGTTTTGGCGGGAAAAATCCACTTCCCAAAAATTGTTTACAATTTCCGAGATTTTCTGCCGGTAATTCGGGGAAAGGAAAACCGAAAATGGATCAGTATCCCGATGAGAACGAGGAATTCGAGCTGCAGTATCAAGATGAACTGGAGCTGCTGGAGGATTTGCCGGATGAGTTTGCACCGAGTACTTCAAAACAGGCGGCTGCGAAACAAAAGGAAAACCGGGCGCCTCCTTTGAAGGATGTCTCCCGTTTGGGAAACTTGGCTAACTCCACTCTGGGATCCCCACAGCTGTCGCAGATTACCTTTGGTTCCAGTCAGTTGACAGTGGAAGATGGGGAGGCGGGAACTGCAACCGGAGGTCATGTAAATCGGCGACTCTTTGGAACTCCCCGTGGACCACCGGTGGGCAGGGGCTGCTCCACGCCCTTCCAGCGAATGCCCGCTATTCAGGAGATGGAGAAGCAGCCTACCGCTGTCCAGCAGCTCCAGGAAGTGGGCCTGAAAAACGTGAACAAACGCCGCTTGGAGCGCGATCTCTTCGGGGACATAGATGACCTCTTCCACGAGTCCTACGAGGATCCGCTGGTGAAGAAGGCCCGCACCGAGGAGCAGCGGGATCACGAGGCCATCGACAAGATCCTGGAGCTCCGGCGCAAAGCGCGAGAATCCAGCAAAACCCTGCGAAAAGACGATGTGAGTCGGCTGAAGGAGCTGCACGACTTCAAGATGCGCAATCTCTCGTATGAGATACCCAACTGGCCCTTTCTGGCCATCCAACGCAGCGATCTGGAGCGGATCTATGTGCGCTTTCACTCCGAGGACTACGAGCAGCGGCAGCTGGACATGATTAGCGCCAGGGGCGAAGTGGTGGGCAGTCTGCTGGGCGAGGCGAAGGAGAAAATCTGGCAGGAGGCCAGCGAAATCGTAGGTATTCCTAATCCCCTTAAAACCGATGAATAACAGCCTTTATCACTTAGGTTCTCAGTCGCTTGGAGGTCGAAAAGGAGGCCGATGTGACCCTTGTTTCCTCCGATTCCAGCGATTCCCCACCCGATCGCCTTTGGGTGGACAAGTACAAACCCCGCAAGTACATCGACCTGCTGTCCGATGAGATGACCAACAGGAGTCTGCTCTACTGGCTGAAGATGTGGGACAAGATCGTCTTTGGCAAGGCCTTTCACAGCAAACAGGAACAGGAAGCGGTGGTTGCGGGAGAAGGAGGAGGAGCTAGTGGATCATCCAATAACCAGCTAAATAGCTTTAATAAGCGCACTGGGAAATTCGAGTCCAATGGCGGCTGGCGGCAGCGCAAATCGCGCCAGGCGCTCAACACAAATGTGGATGCCTTGGGGCGGCCCATGCAAAAGGTGGCCCTGCTATGTGGTCCTCCGGGATTGGGAAAGACCACTCTGGCTCACACGATAGCCCGGCATGCTGGGTACAATGTGCGCGAGATCAACGCCTCCGATGATCGCAGTCCAGAGGCCTTTAAGTTGGCTTTGGAGAACGGCACGCAAATGTCTTCGGTTTTAAATGAGGACAAGCGACCCAATTGCATAGTTCTAGGTGGGATTAATAATTATTTTTTATAGCTACATACTTATATTAAATTTAATTTCAGATGAAATTGATGGCGCCCCTCGGCAGTCCATTGAATACCTGGTCAAATTCATCAGCGATGGCATCTACAGCAAAGTGAAAGCCAAGGGCGCCAAGGCGGAGCACAACATCCTGAAGCGACCCATCATCTGCATCTGCAACGATGTCTACGATCCCGCCCTGCGTCCCCTGCGACAAGTTGCCTTCGTGGTCACCTTTCCGCCCATCGATGCTGCGCGTCTGGCGGAGAGGTATTATATCTATCTGTATCATATAACAATTAATTTTAATAGTTAACTCAACTTTCAGATTAGTAAAGATTGCTTATAGAGAACAACTAAAGACAGATTTCGGTTCTTTAATTGCCTTGGCTGAGAAATCCGGAAATGATGTGAGGAGCTGCATTTCATCCATGCAGTTTTTCAAGTAAGTAATCCTAAAATATTTATTAAGAGCTAAACTAATTCATATTTGTTTTTTTAGTGCCCAAAAGCACAGTTTAACTTTGCAGGATGTGCTGAATAATAATCTTGGTCAGAAGGACAGACATCAAGGTCTTTTCGCAGTGTGGGATGCCATTTTCCGGGTTGGTTTTTTTTTTGTTTTAAAATTAAATAGTTTTTTAATTTATCTATTTTATTTCTTCAGATACAACGTCCGCGAAAAACCCTTCAAACAGATGCCAATAAGATTGAGGAACCCGGCCAGGTGACAATGACCAATATGTCGGTGACCACGCGAGTTCGCAATGTTCTGGATGTTGTTCACTCCAGTGGGGACTACGAAAGGTAAGCTTAACTTTTTATAGGAAATATACATTAGGATCTTGAAATTAAAGAGTAGTTAAGCCATGAAAACAGAAACAAATGTAGAATTATAACTTTGAAAAATTAAAATTATATTTTTAATAAAAAACTTATTACATTTAGAATTTCTTATTGTCAATTGTTAATTTTTCATTTAAACTTCTTGTAATTTAATTCTTTATAATATTTTGTATATATTTTTAAATTTAAAATTTTAAAATTATTATAAAGTAAGTAGTCATTAAATTACTCTATTCTGTATGTGTATTTTATGAAATGGTATTTTTAAAAATAAAATTTATTTATGTATATCAAAATGTTATAAATAAGTCATAAAATTACTCTATTCTCTATTGTTTTTTATTTACTTCCCTTTATTTTGCAGACTGACCCAGGGCGTTTACGAGAACTACCTTCAGCAGAAGATGCCCGATCCGAACTTTACGGGCGTGTGCGAGGCCCTCAAATGGTTCTGCTTCACGGATACGGTGCAGCATCAGATTGGCAGACAGCAAAACTACAGTGTGTACCCGTACCTGCAGTACGGCTTTGTCGTGTGGCACCTGCTGTTCGCCACACTGGCCTGGCCGAAAATTGCATTTCCCACGCGTGGCTTTGAGGTGAGCTTCTGGTTCTGGTTCTTCAGAAGGTTCTGAAAAAGTAACGATGACGATGGCGATGAGATGATGGCCCCGGGCCACATTATTTCTTTTCATCGCAGCGAGGCTGCAGCTTCTTTGAGGCAGGCTCATGATTTATGCAGGCGTCATTAGCCGGGGCAAACATCCCCGGCCAAAGGCCTGTGGAAAGTGCATAATCAACACAATCAAGCCATGTAATTTCTTGTCCATTATGTGCCTCAAATGCAATCACAAGATTAATGAGGCTCCTGCATAGATTTGCTTCATGTTTAGAGACCACAGAACCAGACCAACAACCCCTGTTTTTCAGCTCCAGCAGAAGAGCACCAACCAGAGGAACATCTTTCAGGCGCTGTGCAAGGGAGTCACCACCTCGGCTCTGGGCGTGGGTCAGGGCAGGACTCTGCTCCTCGACACGGTGCCGCTGCTGAAGAGGATCCTGTCGCCCCAGTTGCGCTCCGTGGCGGTGCAGTTGCTGTCGCCGAAGTGAGTAGACCTGGGTTATCCTAAAACCAGTATTCGAAAATTTAAACACATGTTAAAAACAGTAACAATTTTGTTTTACAAAAGTGTTAAAATGTTAAAAATAATTGTTAGCACACACAGCTTACTTGTGTTTTTTACACAATGTGTTATTAACACCGACGTGTTTTTTACACACTGTGTTTGTAATAGAGCCCTGCATGAATCATTCAATTTTTGTTTTATCATAGTATGCCATGAAATTTCTGATTTGTTTAATTCAATTCTATGTGAAATAAATTGAATGTTGTTCTAATTCATTTCGAATTGAATGAATCGAATGAATTATTTTATGAATTTTTTGAATTTTTCAGATTTTTTTTGTGTTTTCTTTTGAGAACAAAAAGTGGAAAATTTTTAACAAATCAATGTTACCTGCATAGTAAATAAAATTTAGGCAGATTTTATCACAAAATAATGGCCTTTTCTTCCTCAAAATAAATTGTCGTTTGAATTATTTCGGAATTCATGTCATTCATTCATTCAATTCTATTAAAGTCAAAATTCAAATTCATTCAATTCTATTAAACACAAAATTCTAATTAATTCATTCATATAACCGAAAAAAATTCAAAATAATTCATTGAATCCATTCATGCAGGGCTCTAGTTTGTAAAACAAATGAAAATTACATTTCACTGACATTAAAAAATCGAAGGGAAAATGGATAACCAATATGGGCCACGATATATGTTATATGTTAGTTTTAACCATTTCAATGCATATATGAATTCTTATACTTTAGACTCTACACTTTAATGTCAAAAACTCATTGTGTTAAAAACACGCTGTGTAAAAAACACGTCATGATAATAACACAATTGACATGTGTGTATTATTTATGTATCTAACATATTTAGGATACAATTTTTTTCACACAAGTCAATAACTTTTTTTGAACTTAACACTTTAACATTTAACATGTTAATAACACATGTTTTTTATAGTGTGTGTTATTTCCCAACCCTGCATAAAATCTCTTATTAAATTCTTTTCAGAGAGCAGCAGGACTTGCGGCACACCATCGAGGTGATGGTGGATCTCGGCTTGACCTTCGTGCAGGTGAAGTCCCAGGAGGGGCACTATGTCTTCCAAACGGAGCCGGATCTCGATGCACTCAGTGCCTTTCCAGGTGGGTCTATATTGCAGGAGATCGGAAACTTATTTAAACCTTATTTATTTTTCCTACAACTCTAGGTTACTCTGGCCTGACGCTTCCCTACTTCAGTCGCCAGTTGATTGCCCGCGAGGTGGACCTGGAGAGGATTCGACGAGCTGCCCCCAAGGGTGGTGCACCCTCTGCTCCTGCTGCCAAAAAGAAGGCATCCACTGCTCAGCTGCCCAATCATTTGCAAACATTGAAGCCGAAGCCAATTTCGGCGCCCAGTGTGCACAGTGCACCCAAACAGCAGGTGAATTTGCGAGGATTTGCATGCCTTGCATTTACTTAGCAGCAATTTATTTGCAAATTTTCATCACTCACCGAAAATGCGCATATGCTTGGGGTGGACCAACCTTAGTTTATTTTCCCTCATTCCCCAAATTGTTATTCCTTTGCTCTTTTCTGCTCTCGAAAAATCTCTCAAATCCTCGAAAAGCTAATAACCCATAAGGGGATTCCAGCGGTATTGTCATTGGAGTCGTAATGTGGGATCAGAGCAAACGAACATTTATTGCCCATCTTAAGCGAAAACGACTGAAACAGCTACCTTATACTTATCTTTATGGGGGTATTTACCTGGGGTTTCTTCTTTTTCTTGCCCAGACAAATTTGTTGTAGTTACTTAAACAAATATTTACTTACTGTTTTTCTTATACAATAATTATTTTCAGCTCACCAAGGACTTTTTTGGCCGCATCACCCACAAATCAAGCTCCAAACACTCAGCAGAGGAAGGTAAGTTTTTTAAATCATTTAATTTGTTCTATTTTTTTTAATATTTACCTAATTTTACTAGCCAAAACCGATGCCATCGTGAAGAGTCCCATTTGGTATCGCTATAAGGAGGGTTTTAACAACGCCGTTCGCAAGGATGTTCACCTACACGAACTACTTTAATTTAAGTTCTTAATAATATTTATTTAAAATAAGTGCAAGTAAAGATAATTAATATTTAAATGTAGGGGAGAGTGGGGGAATTTCGTCACAGGGGCAATTTCGTCACCTGCAATATCTCGGAATCCATAAGTCGTAAAAATATATAATTTTTTTGTTTTAGTCCTTCAAGACGGCCAGACACAACCAATGCATTTGTTTTGCACAGAAGGCCAAGATAATTAAGCTATAATATTAAATGTGTTTTAACAGTTCAAAAGCTACATTTAGTTCTCGACGAAATTTTTTCTGTATGCCACAATTTAAAAGGAATAAGATACACGATTTTTTATATAATACACAGTGCTATAATGTGCATTTCTGCGTCAGTGATTTTTAACTTCGCGCCTAATTTCGGAAGAAAAATAATTATTTCTAAAAAAGTACTGTCTGGGGAAATTTCGTCACCCTACGCTAAGGGTAAATTCGCACCTATTTTAAATACATATTTTTATATTTTACGAGCTGGCTAACGAACAGACTACCAGCAGCAGCAACAAATATAGGACGTCAACAAAAATGGTAGGCTTAATCAGTGTAGCATACTTTCAGGCGTAAAGTTCCCTACATTTTTCAGGTGACGAAATTTCCCCAGTTGTGTGGTGATTTTACCCCCCTATGTGGTGAGATTGCCCCAGTATATTGGTTTTACTTTTTAATTTTTTATAAATCACCAAGTTAATTAAAAAAATAGGGGAATGTCACATTTTAAAGCTTGGTGCTAACCGCATTCAACAATAAAAATAGAAATATGATAACGTGTCTTAAGATGGACAAAAAATAGCTTTGAAAAAATGCTGACGAAATTCCCCCACTCTCCCCTATACTGCGAGTGAACTTCAATGGGTCTTCGTTCCCTTATCGCAATTTATTTTTGAAATAATTTATCTGGACCTTGTGTGTTGAAATTTTCGCTTCCGTGTCAGTTCAAAATTTATCTTATGAAATGGATTCAATGTTTTATGGGTAGTTGTGTGGAATGTTGTAATAACATTCTTTTTTGATATTATTAATTTATAAAAAACTAAGATTAGAAGGAGATATCTAAGAATTTTTAGAATTGTTTTATTAGTCAGTTTTAAATTTTTTATTTAAATGTAGACAAAGCACTCTTAAAAAAAATCCGTAAAAATCCATTGAATCATCTAAAAATGTAAATTTTTACGCGATACATCCGGTTGACCCACTGGATTTTAAAAAACCAAACTAGATCAAATCTTCCGGAACCAAAGAGAAACGAGACTCCACTTTTGCAGGCCTTTAGAGTGTATTACACATGATTGTTGTTAGTTGGCTGTGCTTTCCTTATCGCGGGTTTCAGCGGGCATGGGTTGAGCTCGGAAAGTGTTCCCGAGTGCCTCGCTTACTCAGTTGCCCGCCGCCCGTCCAGATGTCTCGACCTAAACCCGCGTCGGTGGTGCTATCGCTGCTGTTGGTGGTGCTGCTGATGCTCGTCCACCACCACCGCACAGACGCCCGATTCGTGGCCTCCGGTGCTCCTCTGATTCCCAGTGAGTAGCCACTTTGACTGGGGTTTCACAGAGATACAAAGGGATTGTTAATCTATTCATTAATCTCAGATTTTGTATTATTGAAAGTAGTGTTTATTAATAGAGGTCGGATTATAAGTGAAATCATTTGTTCACCCTCTGATTTCCCGTGATACTTCATTGGTTACAAATATTTTTTTATAAAATCATATTATTATTATGAATTGTCTTTAATTTAATTACGATTTTAAGCAACAAATTTGTAATCTGTCAAGAATCAATGGAAAACTGGGGTTTTAGAGATATTTTTTCATTTAGTATCGACTCCTACTTGTTAATATAAAATTTGACTTTACAAATGTGAAAAACTGTTCTTTTCTTAGTACTTTTAAAAATATTTTTCTGTGACAACCATTAATTTTCTTTTTATCAGTTATGGAAATAATCCTCAGTGTTTTCCCTATTTTATCCCTAGGTATTTGCAAGAAACCGCCGCCACGATCCGAGGGAGTTTGTGCCACCGAAATCGAGGGATACTATTACGAACCGAGTGATCTGGATTGCAAGATCTATAGGATCGGCGCGTGTCATGTAAAGAGGGGCCAGAGCTTTGGAAGCCTGCAGGACTGCATTTCCACCTGTATCCACGGGCGTAGTCGAAATCATGACTATTATGTGAACGCATAACATAAATAAATATGTAAAATACGTAAACAAATGTTCGTACGAATGAATGAATGAGTTTGATTCGTCGATCAAAGCAAACAAACTGCGTCGAAATGCTTAATCTCAATCTCAGCTGGATGTCAATCATCCGCCCTGTTGACCTGTGACGTAATTGTTTTTTTTTTCGTTTGTCGCACTATTAAAGCGTGTGAGAAATCCATGATTATGGCCTGTTGGTTATTAAGTCTACTTAGTTGAACATTGAAACGCCGCTTACGTTAGCATAATCTTCTGATGCCCTACAAAAGAACGAGTCTTATAACAGGTTGGCTGATAAGTCCCCGGTCTAACAAAGAAAAAAATTTTTTTTTGTCAAAATTCGATTTTATTATTCAACATAGATCCCTTCAAGAGCGATACAACGATTATAGCGACCTTCCAATTTTTTGATACCATTTTGGTAGTACTCCTTCGGTTTTGCCTCAAAATAGGCCTCAGTTTCGGCGATCACCTCATCATTGCTGCCAAATTTTTTCCCTGCGAGCATCCTTTTGAGGTCTGAGAACAAGAAAAAGTCGCTGGGGGCCAGATCTGGAGAATATGGTGGGTGGGGAAGCAATTCGAAGCCCAATTCATGAATTTTTGCCATCGTTCTCAATGACTTGTGGCACGGTGCGTTGTCTTGGTGGAACAACACTTTTTTCTTCTGCATATGGGGCCGTTTTGCCGCGATTTCGAACTTCAAACGCTCCAATAACGCCATATAATAGTCACTGTTGATGGTTTTTCCCTTATCAAGATAATCGATAAATATTATTCCACGCGCATCCCAAAAAACAGAGGCCATTACTTTGCCAGCGGACTTTTGAGTCTTTCCACGCTTCCGAGTCGGTTCACCGGTCGCTGTCCACTCAGCCGACTGTCTATTGGACTCAGGAGTGTAGTGATGGAGAAATGTTTCATCCATTGTCACATATCGACGCAAAAACTCGGGTGTATTACGAGTTAACAGCTGCAAACACCGCTCAGAATCATCAACACGTTGTTGTTTTTGGTCAAATGTGAGCTCGCGCGGCACCCATTTTGCACAGAGCTTCCGCATATCCAAATGTTGATGAATGATATGACCAGCTCGTTCCTTTGATATCTTTAAGCCCTCTGCTATCTCGATCAACTTTATTTTTCGGTCATTCAAAATCATTTTGTGGATTTTTTTGATGTTTTCGACGGTAACCACCTCTTTCGGGCGTCCACTGCGTTCACCGTCCTCCGTGCTCATTTCACCACGCTTGAATTTAGCATACCAATCAATTATTGTGGATTTCCCTGGGGCAGACTCCGGAAACTCAGTATCAAGCCAAGTTTTCGCTTCCACGGTATTTTTTCCCTTCAGAAAACAGTATTTTATCAAAACACGAAATTCCTTTTTTTCCATTTTTTTCACCATAACCAAAGTTGCTTCACAAAAGACGCTCTATCTCACAAACTAATTGACTGACAGACGTCAAATTTTGACACGAACCATTTGAAGGTTAGTACTTTATAAAAATAATATGCATTTAATACTAGCGACGCCACCTATGTGTCAGACCGGGGACTTATCAGCCAACCTATTACACTCATAAAAAAAAATCGAAGAATTTCCTTAAAATCTAGAAAATTCTTTCTTGAATTTTTGCCAAAGGCGACCTCACCTTTGTTTCAAGAAATGGTTTTTTTGAAAGGCACCATTAAAACCAGAAAAAATATTTCTTGTTTTAAGAAATTAAATTTCTTAAAACAAGAAAGGGTTTTTTAGAAAGCCACCATAAAAACAAGAAAAAATATTTCTTAAAACAAGAAAGGCGATTCTTGTTTCAAAGGTGGTTTGTTTCTTGTTTCAAGAAATTAAATTTCTTAAAACAAGAAAGGGTTTTTTAGAAAGGCACCTTTTGAACAAGAAAAATTCTTTCTTGTTTAAATTTCCTTTCAAGAAATTTTATTTCTTGATTTAAGAAATAATATTTCTTGAAGGGAAGTTTTATATTAACACTGAAACCCTAAAAATAAAATGTAACTTGGTTTTTTCTTTTGCATATTTTATTTATTTAAATTTAAAACATTTAACACTGAACATTTAAACAATTTTAAATAACACATTTTTGACTTAAGAAAACATTATTATAACCAAATATGTAGTTGCAGGCATAAAAAATTATTTTCTTCGGCTTTCCTCATCTGGAAAAAAAGAGTTATTGGGATATCAATGATTTGTTTTTAGATAAGAATAGATAGATGTTTTTAGATAATAGATAATAATGTAATGTTAATAATAGCCAAAATACAAACACGTTGGTCAGACGACCGAGAGAGGAGCAAGACAGGTAGAAAATGAAGAAGGAAGGGTTGAAAATCTAATTTCAGAAAGAGCCACATACATACATATATATTTACATACAGTCCTTTGCGCGAAGGGAGACCGAATGTAAGCAGGTCAGATCATGACAATTTTAAGAAGGAGTAGAGAGAAACGTCGCGACGCGTAGGTCAAGCGAGCGAGAGAGAGGAGCAGAATATGAAAGGGTTGAAAATCGGGTTTCAGATCGGGTGAGCCGCGTACATGCATAGATATTTACATGCATACATAAGTATGTCAAACAAATACAACATATTTTTCTTACCTTAGAAGGTTTTAAAACAAAATTACAGCTTCGACAAACAAATTATTTGGCTGTTGCAACTGCAGGTATTTTCACTCTGAAAAATAAATAAAATGCGAGTAATAAGATAAAGTTATTATAGAACTGTACACCCACAAATTTATGTACAAATGTATGTATGTACGTAGCTCTTAGCTAAAAAACAATTCACCTAAATTGGTATACGCTTGTTAAAGAGATTTGAAATGTATCCTTTAATTACATACATACAATTGTACGCCCGCTATACAAAAAATTATATACATATTTACATACCTTTGAATATTCGGAAAAAGGCTTCACCTCTTATCCGCTTGAAAATCACGTCCATCACTCACGAATTTTTTTCACAACTGACGCTCGGGGGATCAGAGAAGTCGGTAGCCGGATAGCAGTCGGGCCGAGTAGGCCCTTCGTCCCACTTCGTTTTTCTTGTCGTTAACATTCGGCAGCCGAAGGAAGTCAATGGCTACTTTCCTATATTCTAGGGTCATTTCATTCATATATTCAAAGGTGATTTTGTCCTAAAATACGTACAAAAATGTTTTGGCTGCGACGGCAAAACAGACATATGAGATTTTCATTTTTCTATTTTTAAGAAAAATTCTTTCTTGAATTTTTTCCATCAAGAAAGGTTTTCTGTATTCAAAGGCCAATTTTCTAATAACAAGAAATTTTTTTTCTATTTTCAAAGGTAGGCCGATTCAATGGCGAGATTTCCAAAATTTAGAAATTAATTTTTATGAGTGTAGGTTAGTTACAGAGTTTAGATGGGTAATATGAATGAAACAAATATTTGGTAATTGAACAATTCAGATAAAATTAACATTTTAGGATTTAAAGCTGCCAGGAGATTTTTTAATTAAATATTACATTTTTGAAAATAATGAGTTGAATATTTAAAATTTAGTAATAATATTGTTATTATTAATTATATGCCCGGCAAACAACAGTGTTCGTTAGTTTCACCTCAATATTTCACTGCTATTAAATGTCATTGAAGTAGATTAAGCTCTTGATAACTTTTAAGCTATTTTCCCAGGGCATTCGCAGTTCGTTGCGTATACGTCACGATGGCCGCATCAGGCGTTATCTCCCTGCTTCGCTCGTCTTAGCCTTCTGCAACAGGCACTCGCCGGATTTAGCCGGAATCCGAAGAGAGCCAACCCCCAGTATGATCACCATCCCCCATCATCAGCAACATTATCGATCACACATGCAAAATCGCAGCGAGACGGCGTAGGGTCGAGTTTTCGATGTCGATTGAAGTCTTATCAAACGAAATACACAGGGAGAACATTTTATTTGGCTTAAAATTGGATACAAAAAAATTTTTAATTATGTAATAAAATAGTTTTGCTCCTCTAATTAAAAAAATATATTTAACTAGCTTATATATGTTAATAAAATTACAAAAATATTTTTACTAGTATTTAGAAATCAATGTTTTTTCTTAAGCCATGAATGTTCATATATAAACTTAAGGAATTATTTTATTACCCATTTTCATAAATTTAAGTATAATTTTTCCGAGTGTAAAATGTTTTTCTCTCACCAGAATCCAAATCAGCGGCAGAGCTGTTGGCAGAGCCATTCCGATTACAAATATGTGCCTTGGATGCCTTTTGTTCGAGGTTTCAAGTCGAGTTCGCAAACTCGCCGTTTAGTCAGTGACCAAGTGTGTGGTGAACCAAATCCGTTTCAGTTTCTTTCTGCCAATTAAAAGCAGCGCATACAAAGTCCAAGCGAAGGAGCATTAGAAGTATCTATCTATCTGGAGTAATCCCTATCTGTGCATCACGAATTGCAACAAAGAATACATTTTTTCGGCTGGGCTCTTGCACTCTAGATGAACTGTGCAGTGCCGACGAGTATAAAAAACCCATAAAATCGAAATCGAAGCAAGTAAGAAAGAAAAGCAGGCGGATCGGCCGATCATCTGTATACTAGAGGCTTTCAATCACTGCGGAATCGGACTCATTCCGTACTGCCTTTTATTTATGGCGACGGGCGGCTGCTGCGCATTTGTGTTTGTCCTGAACCAGATTGACATCATCATCGGTGCCAGAGAGCAAAGTAGAGCTGCAATACAGAGCTGACCAAAGTGAGCAGAAGTACACGAAAATCCAGAGGAACTATTATCCAAAATACTGCAAACAGTATTCCCAAAATGGCCTGCCACAGTCAGTTGAGGTTAACCATTTGGCTTTGTGTTACCTTGGCCATCATCCTGGATCAGCAATTCACCGCAGAGGCTCGCGTGCGTAAGTATTTAATTAATAAATATATTAATACATAATCTCTTAGAGGATAATACACTTGGAAAATGTCTTATCAATGTTGCTCAATCTTTCAATGCCAAAATCCTTAGGGCAATGACTTTAGTAGATTGGTTACTCCTAAAAACTGTATTGAAATTCCTATTAAGTCTATTTGGATTTTTTATATAATACTAAGAAAGTTTTCTAAAAATGTTGCAATTAAATTTATTTAAGGCAAATTTAACGACAAATTCTTCCTTATAAATTTAAATATTCTTCTTACTCATTTCTGGAATATTTATTGAGTCTATTTTTTTGGAAGTTTTATGCAACAGCTAAGAATACAAAAATGTATATATGGAAAAATGACTAATAATATTTAATGAATTTAAAAATAAATGAATAACAATGTGCACCCGTCAGTCAAATTTATTTTCTGAGATTTTTATTGTGTTTATATATTTGATATTATATAATAATACAAATTTCCACTTTCGCTTTCCAGGAGATGCGTGCCAGGTGGTGCCCAGTACGAATGGAGTGTGTGGTCCCACAACCGTGGGAATCTATTATGATCCGGAGACGCAGAGGTGTCAATATAAGGGCTGCAGCAACAGGAGGCTCTTTGACACCCTTGAAAATTGCGACAAGATTTGCAACAATCCGCGACATGTAAAGCGACGAAATCAAGCGAAGGCCAATGAAACTTCGCACTGAAAGCATTTAATATAATGTAGTAGTAATAAACATAATATAAATTTATTTTTTAAGTAAAATGAGCCAATTTAAAAATGTGAATATAAAAATGGATGGTTTTATCCATTGGAGATTAGATTTAACTAACTTATCCATTGTAAATTTAAATTTTTCTCTCTGCTAACATTTATAAATTTCAAAACATTGAATACTGAACACAAAAATTTAAAAATTATTGACTGCTATTTTGTTTATCTGGATTAAACATTTTACTATATTTTTATAGGCCGTAAACTTTTGATAATCTTAAATCTTTGTAAATTATCTATAACTATAGTTAAAGTTGAACGTGAAATTCAAGTGTTAGGATCTAAGATTCATTAAAATTAATTTAATAATCTAAGATTATAACAAATAATACAAAATCAAATCTCTAATATGTAATAATAACATTGTTAATGATTTTTAGTATACTTTTATTCCCCTTTAACATTTTTTTGTAACGATTGTTGACATTTTAGTTAACATTTTCTAAATATCACGGCAGTTGAACTCGCATTCGGCTTTGGTGCTGAATCGGTTGTCATTCCCGCCACATCCGCCGTAGATGAAGGGTTCGCAGTGGCGCTTGATGGGATTGTAGGCATAGCTCTCCACATATCCGAAGCACCGGCCACTAATCATCGGCTGGAGGCACAATTTCACTTGAAAGATATCACTGAATATTATAGTGAACTACTATTTATTGGTGGAATTACCTCTCTTGGAGGCAGCTTCTGAATGGTGTGGCATCATCAGAAGGAGGGCAATCCAAAGACATTGCCAAAAAGCCGGCATCATGTCATCTAAGTAGAGTTACTGATCCACCGATCCACTTGTCTTCCGCCAATAATCAACCGTCACGTTCTTGGGCCAACAGCTCACTGAACCGGGCTCTCTCAGCATTGATTTCTGTGTTTACAAACGCCTTCAAATGCTCATACCCGTTTATTATTTTGCTTTTGCCAATATTCAACATTGACCAAGTTAGCAGGTGGGAATTGGTTTGGCCAAAATGGAAAAAGAGTTACCTACCATTACTATTTTTACTGTTATAATAATGTTATAAACTTAAATATTTTTTGAAAAATCACTGCCTTTCAATATTCTTATTTATGAAAGTATAAAAAATATATAGTTCTATCATAATTGATGATAAAAATTAGCCGATTAAATCTTACATTAATCTTGTAGAATAAATCACAATGGGTGGGAAAATCGAAACTCCCCATAGGATACCCTACACTCGCTCTCAAATTAAAAAAGCTACGCTCGCGGAGATGACGTAAAAAACACTTGGCAGAAGCAGAAGGCAACAAAAACATGTTCCGCATATCAATATGGCAACAAAAACAACAACAAAGCAGCTCTGGCAATACCTAAAAATCAACTACTAGTGTGTTAAGTGTATAGATTGACAACCAGAAAAGCGATTTCAATTTCAATTTGAGTTTAGCTTTCAACTTGCCAGGGAATCCAGTAAAATAGCCACTAAATATAGCCCAATATGGCATTTATTTTTCAGTTAAAATTGTAATCGTTATTTCGACAAGCATTCATTGCAATCACTCTTTTTGTCGAAGAATTTTCCCCGAGCTTCACAGCCTTTCATACTCATGGAAAAGCAACTTCTCTTCGGCGCACTGTACATATATCCGTGAATGATCTTGTTGCAGGATCCTGAGGTTCCACCCTTTTGACTACAACGCACTAGTGAATAGTAGATAAAAGTGTTTAGAAATATTTTACATCTTTTAATACTCAAATACTTACCATGTGCTCCCATGATAAAACCAAAAAGGGATAAAAATAAACAGATCAAATAAAATATCTGCATTTTAGCTATGATTTTAAAGCTGATTTACCGACTAACTGTTTTAAAATCACAGCACTAGTTATATAGCTAATATATTACCCGAATCTAATGCAATTCAACTTAAATTTATGCCATACAATTTTAATGGTCATGCTTTAAAATATATATTTTTTACAAAGTAGAGCCTATATTACCCTATTAATTTGTTTATTTTCCATAAATAATATGTAGCCAAGTTTATGGATTTACCACGATTTTCGAGTAACATCAAACTGCTCGGCTATGTCACTAATTTAGTAATTAAACGCAGCTGAGAACGAGGGACAATTAACGTCTGGCGCTCAATTATTTGAAGCAAATTAAACAGTTAACTGAATTGTCACCCCGCACACATCTGACATTTCGGCCACTCAATCAGAATCAGACCCAAAATGTTCGACCCCCTCATGTGTGTGAATGCTAATGAATAAATAGTCCCCAAACTCCTCGAGTTCCTCGGGAGCATTGGAATTATCGTTACATCATCATCGCCGAGCGATAATTCAATTTGCACTGCGAATTAACACCTGCCATCGTTTTGTGATTCGGCTACTCCTGTGCTGACCATCTACCATCTTGTCTTGTCCAGCACTTTGGCCCTAATGTGGCTATAATTATGAAGTCCTTGCCCAGGACTTTAGTCCATTCCCATCCTGTCAGCACACAATGCAACTTTAATGAGCTCTGTGTGGGTAATAATAATATCATATCTGCCTCTGTGCAAAATGGACATATTAGCCATGGCCCTGAAAGTCGCATTTATTATGCAAATTGTTTGCAGTTTATGGCTCAGTTTAGATTGCTTGAAGTTTGGGGAGCACAAGGGTGAAACTGTCTTGTATTTACATATCCTTATGGTTTGAAAACTCAGAGCAATAGCAGAGAAAATTCTATACCAAAAAGGAGACTTTTGTTTTTCCAAATTCTAATTTTAAATCTGTTGAATGATTATTTCAACAAAACGATATCTAACCATCTAACATTTTTTTCGTATTTAATGTGAAATAAATTGTAAAAGGAATTTATTAATTATTGTTTTCTGTACAATTCCAGATGTACTTGCTTAACCTAAAACCAATTTGCAATATGCTTCACAATCCCTTTCACTACCAAAGAAATTGCCACCACCTATGCATGAGACAGAAGTCAAAATACACCTATTTTCGTTGGGTAAATAGGTATAACCGCTAACTGTCGAGGCACACGAATGTATGGAATAAGCTTTCTGACCGCAGAGGGCTAAATTAAATAAATATTTTAAAGCAATTTTCAAATGTTTTCTTTTAACACTTACCATCTTTTAGGGCCATGACAAAACCAAAATAGCTTAAAAATAGAAAAGCAATTGAGATTGATTTCATTTCTTGAGTATGTATCACTTCCTTCAGTTGACTTGAAGTAACTAATAATCCTGACCAAGCGGGAAGGTTTTAATAGAGCCTAATAATACCCTTCACTAATATAATTCGTTTCAGCCATTAACATTAACCACCGTAGGGTTCCTTCAAAAAATCTTAAACTTTGAACAACTGAAAATAAATTGTAACTAATTTTGTTTTGCTAAAAAAGTGCATAATTTTTTTAGTAGGTCAATTTTTATTGCGAACATAATTTAATTTTATTCCGTACAAATGCAAGTCATAAAACTAATTTCGGTTTTTAGGCGTGTATTTTTAACGAAGCCATTTATGCCAGCATTTTTTTTTTAAACATTTTTAAACTTTGACGAAATGTAGCTTCTAAACTAATGAATGGAACTCAATGCAGTGTACAAGAAAGTTGGAGGGCATTCTATTACCTGTAAAATGAGATTTTTACACTTAAAAAATATTTTATCCATAAAAAAAAGTTTAAGTGCCATTTTCTTAGTCCGAAAGACGTACCTTACCGGAAACCAAAGGATTCATTCATGGTATATTTCAACGATTTTTTTTTGTAAACTGGTGTAAGTGAAACCCCAGGTCAACACTGTACACCTTCCCCTAGAAATAACTTTAAGACCGCAGACCGCTAAAAGAAATAAATATATTATAGCAGAAAATTATTTTTTTTTACACTTGCGATTTTTTAGGGCCATGGTAAAACTAAAAACTTAATAAAGGAAAAGCAACGGAAAAGGGATTTTTGTTATTCCAATTTCGAATTTTTAATCTGTTGAATGATTTTTCCCACAAAAATATAACTTAATCCATCTAAACTTTTTTTCGTATTTAATGTGAAATCAATTTCGAAAATAATTAATTAATATGTTTCTGTGCAATTCAAGATGTAGTGGTTAAATCTTATTCCTTGCAATATGCTTCACAATCCCTTTCCTTACGAAAGAAATTACCACCACCTATGCATGAAAACCCAGTAAAAGCACACCTATTTTCGTGGGGTAAATAAGTATAACCGCTAACCGACCGGGCACACGAATATATGGAATGAGCTTTCTGACCGCAGAGGGCTAAATGAAATAAATATTTTAAAACAGTTTACAAATGTTTTCTTTTAACACTTACGATTTTTTAGGGCCATGACAAAACTAAAATAGCTTAAAAATAGAAAAGCAATTGAGATTGATTTCATTTCTTGAGTATGTATCACTTCCTTCAGTTGACTTGAAGTAACTAATAATCCTGACCAAGCGGTAAAAGGTTTTATAGAGCCTAATAATACCCTTCACTAATATAATTCGTTTCAGCCACCGTAGGGTTCCTTCAGAAAATCTTAAACTTTATACAACGGAAAAAAAAAATTGTAATTAATTTTAGCAAAAAAAAATAAGTGCATAATGTTTTTTAGTAGGTCAATTTTTAATGCAAACATAATTTAATTTTATTCCGTACAAATGCAAGAAAAATGCTCATAAAGTAATATCTTATACTTTGCACATTGACTCACATTTAGTTGTACTAGGAAAGAAATTGCCAAGCCCTCGGCAAAATGCAAAAACCTTAAGACACTTATTTTCTTTAGGTAAATAAGTGAAACCCCAGGTCAACACTGTACACCTTCCCCTAGAAATAACTTTAAGACCGCAGACGGCTAAAAGAAATTAATATATTATTGCAGAAAATTCTTTTTTTTAACACTTACGATTTTTTAGGGTCATGGTAAAACTGAAAAAACTTAATAATAGAAAAGCAACGGAAATTGATTTCATTTCTTGAGAATTTACCACTTCTTTCAGTGCACTATGGGGAATTTGACCACTTTTTTTGGCCAATATTAATAACTCCATCAATTTTAAAGATATCAAAGTAAAACTTTAGCAATCGTTATTATTTATCACAACGCATATTCTGCATGAATATCTTTCGGATCAGACAACTATATCATATAGCTGCCATAGGAATGATCAGATCAACTTTGCTATTTTTAGAGATAAATGCATAAAACTTGATAAGTACTGTTTTAATACAGTATTAAAACCACACAGAAAATTGTGTTAAAATCGGAAGAATATTTCTTTTAGTTTCATAGAACCAAAAATTCTCAGAGTTTACATGCCATTTCTTTCATTTTTTGATACAGTTATAGCTTTATTTTTTTTTTTACAACCTCCTAAGTCCGCTTTTATTGTCAAATGGTAGCGATAAGTGTTTTTGCCTTACTTTAGAAGACATTTCAAATGTATGTCTATTGATATCTTTCTTCCACAGTGCAAACAAAGGGGCAATTGCAAAATTTGAGGTTATGATCTAAAAAACTAAATTTCTCCAAGAATCGAAAAAAGTGAATTTTCTGACTACATTAATTTTAAAGAGAATTCCTTACTCTTTAATTCCCTAAGGTTTGATGGATGGACTCCGCTGGACTCGCTTTGTATCTCTATTTAAAAATTGGTTTTCTTTAAAAATATTCATGTTAGACCGGTCACAAAAATAATCGATTACAAGAAAACCACGATTAATTTAGATTGTTTAATCACACAAATACTTAGTGCACACTACCCTCCCTTGAATTAATTCAAAAAACTCCACTTAAATTGCTTTAAGACTCTTATTTTTAGCAATTAAATAGTCTCAGCATTGCGTCAAATTTCTGAGGCGTGAAAATGCAACATACAGCAGCTGATCTAACAGCTGTAAGTTAGCAGAGGGGGCCTCTATCGAAATTCCTGAAACGTAACATTGAAGATTGGTCTTCTGTTAAAGTATTCTAGAAAACACAATTTTAGTTTAACGACTTTAAAAAAATGGGTTTTGGCCAAAAAAAGTGGTCAAATTCCCCATAGTGCAGTGGACGGGAAATAACTAATAATCCTGACCAGTTGGGGAAAGGCTTTTTTAGATCTTATAAAGACCCGTCACTAATGAAATCCGTTCAATTCAAAAAATTATAACAATCTACCAGCAAACAAAGATTAAATTTTATTTTCTTTCATGCAGTAGACAATGATTTTTTATAAGCTGTATTATGTTAAGTTTTTTTGTAAAAATTCCAATTAAAAGAAATCCTACAGGATTAACTTGATCCTTGAACCTTACATTTTTCTTCACATTTCCACATAGTATGGAAGAAATTGCCACTTCCATTGCAATAAGCAAACGTATTAACACACTTATTTGATGAAGCTAAATAAGTAAAACCGAGGTCTTCGCTTTTACACTCCCCAGTGGAAATAGTTCCGGTGCCGCATACGGCTAAAAGAAATAAATATATTATAAAGAAAAGTTTTTTATTTTAGCACTTACGATCTTTTAGGTATACTAAGTTTACGGCCATGGCAAACCCAAATAAAGTTATCAATAGAAAAACGATGGAAATTGATTTCATTTCTTGAGAATTCACTACTTTCTTCAGTTGACTTGAAATTATTAGAAGTCCAGAACAAATGAGAAAGTCAATACACACGTATAACCAACATCGTATGACTGTTCGTTCCTCTAGATCTTAATTAAATATGGTCTGGCCTAGTCTGGGGCTAAAGTTTTCCTTATCAGTGGGGCAAATCGAAACCCGTCTACTATTTATTTGTATTTGCTACACTGAGTAAACAAAATGACAATTTAATTGGCGGGTGATCTGTGCCAACATAGCAAATAAGTAAATCTTAAACGACATAATATTTTTTAGTGATGTTAATTTTTTTTAGTAACATTTTTTTTAGAACGTAACATTTCCAAACATTTTTCTTCACATTGCCACCTATTAGGGAGGATTGCCACTTCCTTTGCAAACGTATTAACACACTTTCTTGCTATAGCTAAATAAGTAAAACCGTGGTCTTCGCTTTTACAATCCCCAGGGGAAATAGTTCTGGTGCCGCATATGGCTAAAACAAATAAATATATTATCGAAGAAAAGGTTTTTATTTTAGCACTTAAGAAATTTTAGGTATACTAAGTCTACGGCCATGGCAAACCCAAATAAGGTTATTAATAGAAAAGCATACTATAAATTTGAATGCATGTTCTGAGATTGATTGATGTTGAATTCCAAATTTTACTTGCCATATACAGTACCATATAACTGTTTAGTTTTATTGTGTGCTTATGACTGTGAATAAAATATAGTGATGTAAGCTTTCTTTAAACACTTAAAAGGGAATTCTTTTTCACTAGTTTCTGAATGCTGCATTATCCTTGCATTTGGCTTCGCATTCATCCTTGCTGCTGAAGTGATTACCATTTAGTAAGCAACCCTGCCAGAATACGCATTCATTTTTAACCTTCATATAGGAATAGAGGGTCATTACTTCCAAACATGGACCTTCGACGAATGGTTCAAGATGGCAAATTACTATAAATACAGGATTATTAATATAATCGGGTTAATCGGTCTGTAAAGCACTCACTGTCTTTGAAGCCCCGTACCAAACTCAACATTGCAATTATTACCCAAAAGAATAATGCTTTCATCCTAGAATTATGAATAACTGATACTGAAACAGCCTCAAGAAACTAAGCAGAACTAAATAATATCGGATGATACATTTTTCTGTATTATCCAAAACCAATTTTATTATACATGTCAAATGGCAAATTGATTCCTTCTTATTTAAAAAAAATTATAAGTTTCTTGCGTAGCTTTTTGAGTCGTACAAATAATTATGTCTTTAATTCATAGGCTCTTGAAAATTCCATATAAATAATACCGGGAATCGCAATAGCAATTCTTGATAATTAATATTTTGTTGCTCGCTATTTCAGGAAATTCTGAGAATTTCTAACTTAAGTCTGGCTCTTAAAATGGAGACATTTGACCCAAATATTTTGGGAAAATACAATAAGAAAACAAATAAGAATTAGAGTGCCTTGGGATCGATTTGTAGCCTAGGACATACCAATGACTGATTTTAAATTTGTGTACTAATCTATATTAAATTATTTGTAATTAAATTGCAGCATTCAGTCTCTAAACTACTTATCGAGGGGAAACGTAGAAGTATAACTAGGAAATTTAAACTATGTCACTTTTTTTGTAATTAAGCCATTTATTTATTGTGTAATATTTCTCAGAGAAATGCCTTAAGTGGAGTGATCTTAATTTCGATATATAAAGTTATTGAATAATATTTTAAAGGCAAGATGCTAGATGCCAGCAGAAAAAATTATTAACAAAATTTGGGGATTCTGCCTTTCTGCCTTCACAATGATATTTTAATAAAATTAATTATTATAAATTTGATCTAAAATGTAAAATAAACGATTACACGTATATGATAAACTTTGATATTTATTGGTAGAAAATTAAGTTTCAATAAGTTTGTAAATATTTTAATCCTAAATCAAAAAGGTGTTGGGGAATTACATTTTGCACACAGTTTCGCAAATCTTTTTTGTTGTAAACTTATTATCGTTGCCACCACAGCCACCATATGAGAATTCCAAGCATTCATTTGTATCGGGATGATAAGAAAACCAATTCGAATAATGAGCACAAGACGCAATCATTCCAAAGCCATCGACAGCAGGTTCTTGCTGACAGGCGTCTATAAAACCGAAATATTTTTATTTTTTACATGATATTGGTGTTTAAATTATACCAAATTACCATATGATAATCCCTTGGCAACCAGTGCTAGTAAAATAAAATAATAAAATACGATAACGGACCTCATATCCACATTAAAAGCTATATTTTTCACTTGACTAGAATCGATTGAAGATTTTAGGGAAATAGAAAACTCAAGCTACTGGTTTATTTAATCGTAAATAAGTGCTTTGATATCTGTGACTAATTTTAAATAACCCTGCATTTCTATTTCTTATAAAAAGAAGGAACCTTACAGTTTAGAAATATTTTTAACAAAGGGAAATTATAATATTATTTTTACTAAAAATACAGTATATTCTTTACTTGGTAAATGATTTAAAATTATTATTTATTTATTAGTTTTATATTTAAATTTATGCAATTTTTTGTTTGTCTGTTTTTATTTTTTGCTGTCTACTTGCATCTTTGAGAAAGTATGTATGTTAATATTAAGTGTGATCTATTTGCTCTGTTTAAATCAGATAATTAATCTCGACTGCGCTCAACGCGTCGTATGCGCAATTCGAGCTAAAAACTCACACATGGCTGGGCAGAGAGTGAGCAAGTGATTTAATTTGAACTCAACTCATCGGCTTAGGCCCAGAATATAGAACTAGAATATAGAACATTCGGCTCAGTTCAGTTCACAGTCGGTGCTTTTAACGTTCAGTTATCAGGTTTCACTCTCAAAATGCTACTACGGATGACCCAGTTTCTTTGCCTTGGAGCGCTTTTATTGCTAAGTCTTATGCAACTTTCGCAGGCCGTGGCCACTCCCAATAATAACAACAATAACATCAAACCGAAGCCTGTGGCTCAGGTGCAGCCAGGAAATCCGACTGGAAATAAGCCTACGATTGCCACAACAACAATAAGGCCACAGAGATTAGTGCAAGGTAAGTTTATTTATGTAATAATCAGTAATTATCATTTTTTTTAAAACTGAACCCTTCTTTTATAGATCCCAAATGTCTGCAGCCCTTGGAAGTGGGTCCTTGTCGAATGAATCTAGAGAGGTACTATTACAACAAGGATAAAAAGATCTGTGAAACCTTTAAGTACGGCGGATGTCGAGGAAATGACAATCGCTGGGGATTCCGGCAAACTTGCGAGGAGGCCTGTCTACCTAAAAAGTAACCAATCGATGGCGAACTAAATATTAAGGATTGTTTAAACCAATTTAAAAATATAAATGAAATTATTTTTAGTAAAATCTATAATCTACATTCATGAAGAATGAAAATGAAATCACTTTATAATTTTTAAACATTTGTATTCATTTTAAAATGAATATTATAAAAGTTAATCTATTTTTAAAATATATATTTCCTGCTATAAATCTATTGCAATTTAAAATCTAGCTAGAACCACTCATACCAAAATTTTTCGGATATTATAAAGTCGGATAAAGTCACTAACTGTTTGAAACAATTTATATTATGGGGAAAATATCTTAATTGTTTAAATGACAAACAAACACCTTTGAGATTTTGTATATACAATTCTTCTGAAATACTTATCCATAAACTGTTTAACATTAGATTAAATTATTTTAGTCGAAGACAAACACATAAACCATTTAATTAAGCAGCTATCCAGTTTATAGGTAGTTAAGTTAGATTCCCATTCCGCCATATGAACGTGATGGGGTTTGCTAAAACTATAACACCGATCCGGAAACAAGTTGGAATATGAGTTAATGTTAATGGCCAGCATTATGATTGAGTCACCTGGTGCGTTGAACTGCAACCGAAGGTTGGGCCTACGATAGCTTCTCGAAGGCGGACGGTGCCAGGTGGATATGGATATAGATATAGACATATAGCTATGGATAGAGACGTCAGAGAGGCACCGCCGTGATTTACATGCGATGTCGAATCAGTTGGACAAACAAGCTGCCGCTCCGATAAAAAAGGCACACAAAAAGGGGCAAAAACGGTGGTGGGTAAAAACCCGAACGATTCGACTACGTGAGTGTGGGATCAGTTCGAACGGATAGTATTTAAGCCTCACTTCGCCGACGATCCGAATTCATTCGCAGCCACTCAACGGAATCGAAATGTGCTTCAGATATAGCTTCAGCTTCATTATAATCGCGGCGGTTCTGCTTCTGGCAGCCGGAATTCGGGCAGCTCCCTCGGATGTTGTGGTGGAGAAGGCGGAGGATCCTAAAATCCCTCAACCCCTGCCAGATGGCGACCTCAAGGTTCCCGAGGACTGTCACCAGCCCAAGGAAACGGGCCGCTGTTTCGCCCTCTTCTACCGATACGCTTACAATGTGGATACCCAATCCTGCGAGGAGTTCGTCTACGGCGGTTGTGCCGGCAACAAGAACAATTTCGAATCCAAGGAGCAGTGCGAACAGGCCTGCTTGGGAAAGTCCTCCTCGGAGTCCCCCACCACCACTGAACAAAGCGGCGATGCGACCACCGAAACTAGCACTTCGGCTTGATTTTATTTAGTTTCTTAGTATTTAACTTATTTGTCATACCCAACTTCATCTCTGATTCAAATGCATTAACATACTGAGTTGATTGTTTTAATAAAAGTATTTGATTTTTTAAATAATATAATATTATATTTTATCTAATATTTTGTTATAAATGTCTAAAATTATGGATATCATTATTCGTATTATTTGTAAAATAGTAATTACAGAATAGGGCCGTAATGAATTAGTGAAAACTTAGAATCTGGAGGAAAAAGCTTTTCTGGACTAATGACGTTTCAATATATGCCCATTCATCTTAAAAAGTCATTAGTTTGGGAGCTGTATGATTAAAAGAGGCAAGATTTATGGGTAGTCTATACAGAAAATAAACTTTATTAATTATTCGAATTGAAAAGAATCCTTCGGTTAGGAAAGTGGGTGTTAAATATTTCAGAACAACACGGAAATTCCTTCCAACCAAAGATATTTGGTCTGTTCCCTACTTTCATAAATCTTTTTAAATAACAAATTCCCAACTTTCTCTACAAAAACACTCAGGGTCTGAAATACATAACAAATACATTATGTACTCCACACTGATAGCGAAAAATAAAATACAATTTGGACAAACCCACTGCCGAATGACCAATCAGTGCTGAAATTAATTTACTTTATTTAGAACGTAGTACCTAAGTTTATTTGCGACCCCTGCTTTATTTCCAACACAAACACTCAAAGTACTCAATGTCTCCGGTGTTTGGCTACCAATTTCACGAGCACTCGTTAATGAACCGTAAGTTCATGAGCACATCGATAAGATCCCGAGTCGATTTGTAGTTCCCGCTCCCGATGGGCACAGCGTATAAAACCCAGTGTCAGACCTCCGATTAGCATTAGTCGTTCCACGGAAGCTGCTGCGAGAGATAGTTTTCAAAATCCAAAATACAAAAATCATTATGAAGTTCATTGCTGCTGTCTGCTTGATTTTTGCTCTGATGGGCCTTGCCTTGGGCCTCAAGGATCGTGAGTTGAAAATGTATACAGAAATATATAACATTCTAATTGAATTTTCCTTATATTAGCCATCTGTGGACAACCTGCTGCTGTTGAGGGCAATGGTATCATCAAGTGCGCCGCCTTTATTCCCAGTTTTAGTTATCATGCCGAATCCAATTCCTGCAAAGATTTCGTCTACGGCGGCTGCGGTGGCAATGATAACCGATTCCCGACCCAGGAGTTGTGCGAGAGCAAGTGCAAGGAATAACTTTGGGAAACCCCTTGTGATTAAAAATAATATTCAACAATAAAAAATATGTTTCAATGAACTTCCGTAGTACCTTATCTTTTTTCAAGCTTTTTGGGTGTTTAGAAAATAGGTTTTCACTTTTAACAATTAGTAAAATTTTTATTAAAATTTTATAAATTTTGAGAGTTTTTAAATTTAAGTGAAAGTTGTACTTTATTAAATTTTGCATAATTTTTATATGGATCTCCACAAACCTTATGTTTATCTCAGATTTATAAATAATATGTGCTTTATCAATTAGAATTTTCCCTTTAGATCAAAGTTTAATATTTTAAAGTAATTGAGTGTTTGCAAATAGTCATTAATTAAATTATACTTTCAACAAGCTGTTATCACAGATGCAATTAATGAACTGCTTCAATAAACAATTATTCATTTACGTCGAATAATTAAATATTTATAGAAAGGAGAAATTCGTTTCAAGTAGCTAATTGTTCTTTCTGGTTAAGTATATCATCGAATGACTCACACAGCATGTGAAATATATTTCGTAAAGAGTTTTCGTCATAATTACTGTGACTAATGTGTGTTAATTCCATTTCCCTTTCGATAAGAGAACCAGTCGATAATTACAGCACAATTTCCACACTCGTTGACACGCTTTGTTTGTAGTGCCCATTGTTTATTATTATTATTTCGAATGATAATACAATTATAATGTGTAGTACCTACTAATGTGAGGGGCTTTCCCTTTCTGGCGGCTGGTAAACAAAGTGAGTTCTGGGAAGCCAAGGAAAGTAAACAATCCGGCACAAATATTTACATAAATCGGTGCGAATTTTTTGTGGAGATTTCCCAGCCATTTGTTAATTTGTTTGTCGTATAATCAGAATGTTTAATGTGCTCGGCGATTAGCTGAAGGTTCAATGGAAACGGCTATAAATTACGCGACTCTGGTCGTTCGGCCTTAGTTTGCTTTTATCTAAGCCAGCAGAAGGTTCAAAAATATTTATCATTATGAAGCTGTTGATCTTTGTTTTTGTGTTCATCGCCTTTGCGTCCAGTGCTTTAGCCTTGAAAAATGGTTTGTGATAATAATTCTTTGAATGCTCTTAGTGTATCATTGCCAAAAATTCTAGCTATCTGTGGGTTTCCCCACTCTCGCAATGGTGATGGCCAAATCTCCTGTGAAGCCTATATACCAAGTTGGTCCTACGATAGTAATCACAACGAGTGCATCAAATTTATCTACGGCGGCTGTGGAGGCAACGACAATCGATTCGATTCCAAGGAAAATTGTGAAGAAGAGTGTTTGCAATAAAATTAAGTGAACAAAAACTAAAAAAAAAATTATTTTTAATTAGAGATTACTTTATTTGTGGCGCAATTTGCTGTATCTAAAGTCTGAGTTCCAGTGACCTGCTATTAATAAGATAAAGCTCGTAATTTCCTGAGATTTATGAAATCGTTCTAGTAAGCAAATATAATTATTAGACATTTATACATATTTACAGAAATCAGTGCGAGGAAATTTGTTTTTGTTTGATTGACTAACAATGAAATATTTCATGTGCTTCTGCGATAAGCTGTAAGTTAACTGGGAAGGGTATAAAATACGAGGCTCTAGTGTTTCAGCTTTAGTTCATTTTTGTTGAAGCAAGCTGAAAGTTCTGAATTTTTTACAATATGAAGCTGCAAGTCCTGCTTTTCTTATTCATCGCCTTTGTGGCCGGTTCTTTTGCTCTCAAAAATGGTACATTAAATAAATTTGTTTTATTATACTTAGAAAAATTAAATTAATTTAATTTGTACAGCAATTTGTGGTCTACCCCATTCTCGGGATGGTGATGTTGAACGTAAAATATCCTGCGAGGCTTATTTCCCCAGTTGGTCTTACGATGCCGGCAATAATAAGTGCGTGGAATTCATCTACGGAGGCTGTGGCGGCAATGAAAATAGATTCGGTTCAAGGAAAAGTTGTGAAGAGAAGTGTTTGCAATAAACATATATGAAATTAATAGCGTCGTGTTTCCGAATAAATTTTAGAAAAATGAAAACCTGTTAAAGTTTTTATTTTTTAGAATAATAATTCTGGTTGTAATGTTTGGCTTTTAAAATACTTAGCACCGTTTGCTCCAGCAAAAGTATTCATTTGTCTACGCCAACTGAAAGTTCTAAGTTTTGTTCACCATGAAGCTAATTTACTTGGTTGTGGGCTTGATCGCCTTTGTGACCAGTTCCTTGGCTCTAAAAAATGGTAATTTATAAACTTTCTATACTTTTTAATAGTTTCAATTGTATACATTTAATTTTAACAGAAATCTGTGGTCAACCTCATTCCTTTCCTGGATTTTGTCGTGCTATATTTTACAAGTGGTCTTATAACTCCGGTAAAAATAAGTGCGTCAAATTTATCTACGGAGGCTGTGGTAAAAATGGCAATAACTTCAATTCAAAGAAAGAATGTGAAGAAAAGTGCTTTGCAAATTACTTAGCAATGTAATGTGGACAGAGTTGTTATGTTTAAGCCTTAGTTGTTTACAGATCTGATATCTACAGATTTTTTTACTATATTCTACTACATTCAGCTACGGAATGAAAATAGAGTTGTCTCACAGAAGAGTTGTGAAAAATAGTGTTCGCAAATACATTTTGATGAAGTGAAAACCACTTAATGTTTTTATTTCGGTAATAATATTTATAAGGCCTGTAGTTGTATTGTTTTTATTGTAAAATTCATTTTACTTTAGTTAAATTTTATTCACGGCAAACGAAAGTTGGAAAAAATTTAAGCCATTAAGATGATACTTTCGGGTGTTTTCTTAGCCGCCGTTGTAGAGAATTCTTTAGGTCTGAAAGATGGTATATGTGTCCTTTTCGATCGTTATCAAAACCATTGAAGTTTATTTATATAAAGGTAATAATGGATTGGTAACTTTTAACATTTTGCAGCAAATGTTAATAACAATTGGGTTAGTGTTTTTAAATTGAAAGATTTCTTTACTTTTGTGCGGAAACTGATTTTTCCAGATGTGACAAAGCCATAAAATCAGAAAGATGACGCAATCTAAGCTTGATAGTGACGGATTGAACAATCCAGACTGGCATATATTAAACTTAATTAATTATTTTTTATGAGCTAACAGTGCTGTGTGCTAATTCCTATCAGCTATCTCCCGACTTTCTATATAGAGTCAGGCTCCGTTGACCTGCTAGATAAGCCAAAGCTATTCCTTCTCCCGATTGCTATATGTACGTCACTATAAAACTGTGAAGTTGCCAAGTCTGGACAACCAGAGTTAAACTGGAGTTGCTTTAAAAATGAAGTGTCTTGGTATTGTTGCCATTGCCATCCTGCTGAGCCTCTCCAGCCATCATTTTGGGGTCCAGGCCAAGCCGGGTAAGTAGGGATCTAGTAAATCTTGTCCGAAAATGGGTCTAAGTTTTCACCCCATCAGAAATGTGCCAGCAGACGCCTTCGAAGATGGGCATGGCCCAGGATGGAGCTGCCTGCATGGCTTACATGCCAACCTGGACCTATGATGCTTCCAAAAACGCCTGTTCCGAGTTCATTTTCGGTGGCTGCGGAGGAAACTCCAATCAGTTCGCCTCCCGAGATGAATGTGAAAAAGCCTGTAAGGACTGAACCAAAAAAAACCCCATATCTGTAACCTGAAAACCAAAACAAATAGCCGGCAATCTTGTTTTGCAAAAATACAAATAAACTATAATATCAAGGTTTGTTGTTTTTGTCGGTGCTCGCAAAAAAGTCAAACAGAAATCGCGCTTGACCCTCGTCGATTGATAAGCAATCCGGTTTGGGCCTATATAGCACAGTCGGCAACTCGAACCTTTCAACAGTTTAGTTCCGTCAGTCGCGATTGAGATCTCAGTAGTGCCAACCTAAATCAATATGAAATACTTTGCCGTTTTCGCCCTGCTCTGCTGCCTTTTGGGAACCGCTTTGGCGGCCCTCAAAAATCGTAAGTATCATCCATAAAAATTGTGAAAAATCAGGAACTAGAATATTGAAAGTTTTTCCAGTAATATTGTCTTAAAAATTCTAGTTCATAGAAAATTTGGTAAATATATACTTTGAGAACTTATTCAGGCATTTGCAAAAAATTCAAAAAATTTTAAAATAGCCTTTCGAGCATTACAAAAAATTCTGAATAAATTTCGAAAGCTACCGGTTTGCTGGTTTGGACTGAGAGTTGATTCTTAGGCAATAGACGTTAGTGTTATTTGTAAAAAACTAAAAAATTAAAATTAGATAATAAATAATTGGAATATACTTTTTTTACTTAATTTTCAGCCGTATGTGGAGAGGAGTTCGGTAAAATTGGAACCTGCAAGGCGCTGCAGGGCAAGTGGACCTATCGCCGAGACACGAACGAGTGCATCAGTTTCCAGTATTCCGGCTGCAAGGGAAATAACAATCTGTTCGAGAGCAGGGCCAAATGCGAGCAGACCTGCAAAAATTAAATACCTATTTACCCATAAATAAATAAAATTAGAACTCCGGTTTTGTTATCCTAATGTGATCATCTTTATTGTTTTCTTTATTAACTCGTTTAATATTAAATAATATTGGTTGTGGCGCTTACGGTAATTAGTGTCCGATTCAGTGTGATTAGGCTAGGCTATATATTTCCGATTTGTTAGCTATCCTCTATATACTGTAAGGGTTTATAATCATGTGTGTATATATGCTGTATTATTTGTTGTAAATATTGTTCATATGCATTCGCGTGTTAATTGATATTGTTAATCATTTGGAATTGTCTTCTTCGGCTGTTGCTGATTATGTTGGGTTCAATCAGGGGTTATCTTGGCTCGTCTTATCTGCCGAAACCAACAACAGCTAACTATTATTCTAATATATAATTATTTTTTATTTAAAGTGCTGCTGTGTTTTTTTTTTAATTTTTTGTTGTTTTTATATTGTGTATGTTCTCTTGCTTGATTAAATTAGGGCTAAACTAGAGCTTAGTCTACTATTTAACTTTTAAATGTTTATTGTTACAAACAGGCTGGTTTTGGGTATTTTATTTCACAGCTTCTATTTGGAGTCCTAAAGAAATGGGAAATAAATTTGTACAAATTTCGAAATCTGCGAAATAAAATACCCTATATGCCCTATACGATAAAATTTTCATTGCACAATCAGTTTGGATTTCCCTTCATTTATTCCATTTTGGTTAGCACCGCATTGCCATTCAAAGAACCCGATCCCGAGATTCCTCCTGAACCGGGAGAACATTCAGCTGCTGCCACCCCCCCCGATGACTGCTGAGTGGGCGTGGTTGGTGGCGATAGTGTTGCATGTTGTTGTTGCTGCTGTTGATATGCCACTGCCGATTCAGCCAGATCTAAAAGAGCTGCTCCTCCGCCCGATCCTGATCCCGGTCCCAATCCATTCATGGTCATGTCCTGCGCCTCGTGCTTCATCCTCATCGTGTTGTTGTTGTTATTGTTGTGATTGACCACATGCTGTCCCAAGGCCGGATGATGGGCGAAGGAGAGGGGTGGCAGGTGGAGGCCCGGGAAGGCCAATCCTGCTGCAGCTGCGGCATGCAGCGATTGCAAGAGAGCCGCCGAATGTTCCTGTGCCTTTCGCCGCAGTTCGGCCACCGAATTGGAGCGCGGATCATGGCCAGAGGGTCCCTGGCCAGAGGACTTGGGCGACTCCGGGGAACTGGCCGCCGAACTGCTGCTCACTGGGATGCTCAATGGAGCCACCACCGAGGAGCCCGGCGGCGGCGGGGGCTTCAAGGAGCAGCAGGAGCAGAGGCTCTGGAATGGGGAAACGCCTGAAAAAAAGCGAGAAGAAATATATATTAATAAAATTAAGGAGAATACATTTTATTAGATTTAATATAAAGGCGAGTAATTTATGAATATTTGTAATAGGTATAAATCAGAGAATTTATTTTAATCAAATTACAAATAAAAATTGATTGGAATTGTTAATTGATTTTAAATCCTTGTCAAAATATATTTTCTAATTCAATTATTAATTTTACATTTTGTCTGAACAAAGGTAGACAAACTGATTTGATTTTGATTTATCTTTTACGAACAGCATCTGTTGCCTTTGGCCCACTTCAAATAATTTGATTAGACTGAAGTGATTTGGATTGATTTTGCCGTTGATCGATTGCCAAGACTGAAACTTACCTTTTAGTCCCGGGAAAAGCGGCTGATGGGTGAACTGGGCGGCCAGGTGGGGCGGAAGGAAAAACGGTGGGTGGTTGGCGCCTCGCTGGGCGGCCGCAGCCGCCGCCGCTCCTGCCACGGCGCTCTGTTCACTCAAAACGGGGCGAAAGCCGCAGTTGCTGAAAGTACAAAATTAAAAAAGAATATTAATAATATTTTAAAATGTTTACTTAAAAATATATATTTATAAATAATAAATATATATAAATAATAATTTAAAATGTTTACTTAAAAATATATATTGAAGTAAATATAAAATTAAAACAAAAGTCAAGCTTATAAGGCTATAACCTTAGCCCCTAACTCTTGTCGACTGATAAGCGATCCGGTTTGGGCCTATATAACGCAGACAGCATCTCGGATTGTTCAGCAGTTTACTTTCGACAGTCGTGGTTGAAGTTTCATCGATCCCAAATCAAAACCAAAATCAATATGAAATACTTTGCTGTTTTCGTGCTGCTCTGCTGCCTTTTGGGAGCTGCTGTGGCCCAACTAAAAAATCGTAAGTATTTTTATTTAAAAAATTATCGAAGAAATATATGGAGAGATGACAAAGCAGACAAAATCTAAAATTTGAAGCTAAACAAAAATATTAAGTTTTATTTTCTAAAAAACTTTAAATATATTTAAATATATATATAACCACCTCATAGTAGCTCTACGGTTTACTAAAAATGTTTTTTTGTTTTTCTTAAATTTTTAGCAATTTGTGGCGAGGAGCCTCGGTCAAATGGACCCTGCCGTGGGCGATTTGAGAAGTACACTTATCTTCAAGAAAGCAATGAGTGCGTCCAATTCTTTTACAACGGCTGCGGGCAAAACAAAAACCATTTCAATACCCAGGAGGAATGCGAGAAGGCCTGCAAAAATTAGTAGATCTCTGACTATTCTACATTAAAAGTTAAAATTAAATTCCCTATTAACTTGTTGATATTTTTTAAATAAATAAATATTATTGTACGAAAATTTACAAAACTCCTTGAACTTCTCTCGCTTTTCTGTCACTGCACCCATTCACACATTCAAGTGCTTTGCATTTCGCCTGCACGCGCACATTAAACGGAACCAATTCAAAGGCAAAATAAAGAAAAAAACAAAATTAAACACCACATCACACAGGGCAAACAAAAACAACAAACAGAGTTTTAATTAACGCTTAATTGAAATAAATTAAAACATTTTTATGCGTAATTGCATTATTATTAATAAACCTAAATATTTTGTATGTGCGTGGTGGGTGGGGCGAATAATCAACACCCAGTTGTCATTTTTGTGAGCGTTTTAATTGAATGAAATATTACGCTTAGTCGCATGTCAAGGCAACCAGACAATAAAAAACATTTAATGCAATTTGAATGTTTTAATTGATAAGTGAGACAACGTTTCGTGGAACTGGTACTCGTAAATTCCTATGACTCTCATAATCCCCATTAATAAAATTATAGAACATAATATATATATACTTTTTTATTAGAAATAATTGCGTTTGATCAACTGAAGTTTATTTGGGAGCCGAAAAAAGTGGAGTAAGTGGAAAAAATTCAATTTCCATTTGTTCAAATTTACTTTAAGCCTCGGGGCGACCAAGGAAATGTGTCTAAAATTTGATAATTTCGGCTAAAGGTGGGGCAGCTGCTGCTCTGTGGTCATAACGAAAAGCTCTGGATATGCTAATCGAGTTGGGGATGTTTTAGGAGGATTTTCGACAGGCAGACCTCGCGAATGGCGACCACAACCGCCGGGAAAAGGGACCACAAACGTCGCGGCCACTGTCGCTTTTAATTCTCTTCGCTTTTCACTTTTTATTTGGCCTCCCCCCTGCCCCAATTTCCTAAGCTTGTCATGTTTTTTGCCTTCCCTTATCCACCCACAATTTGCCGTGATTTTTCCGAGGTTTTCTCGCTTTGTCTGCTCTTGCTGTATTTCTTCTTTTTTCGGTAGTTGGAGAATGCAAAACGCTTGGCCGCTTGAAACAGAATTTTCGATAAGGTAATTGTTTTTTTATTGCTGAAATCCAAAATAATGGTTTTGAAAATTTTTTGTTATGAATTTTAGTTGAGTGTTGATAGGAAAATATTATAATATTTTAGGAACGTTTCAATTTCCGAGCTAGATGCAGAACTCTTTAAAATTCCTATTCGCTTTCAAAACCCCGCCCGGTTTATGGGAAAGCCAACTATTTACCTCCCACACATATATAAATAAATACTCATTTCCCCAACTTTTTCACCCCGTGGCCCCTAATTAAGCTTCGAGCCAAAAAAGCAAAAGTCCAAGCGGCAAAAACGAGATGAGAAAGCTCAAATAGCAGCCATAGCAAAAGCAAGCGAAGGCAAACACTCGGGCGTAGACAGCCCTCTTTCTAGAACCCCCCTCGGTTCTCCTCTCTAGTTGCAAAAAAAACAGTAAACTTAAATGTTTGCGTATAATTAAGCACTCATCCTTTGGTCATAATTAAATTTTGCATGTGCACATCCAACAGATGCCTCGGATGCCCGAGAGTCTGGGGCTTGGGGCTTCGTTCTAGCTACCCCCGTTTCTACCCCCTTTTTCCCATCCCTGCTCCTCCTGATAAACCCCTCTCTTTTTGCCTTGATAAGTCTGTCTCTTTCACTCGTGTTTTGGGGACTGGCAAAAATATGCTAATTGCCATAGGCGACTTTAGAGCACTGGGAAAAATATTTCCAATCTATTAAGAATTTCAATAGTATATACAAAATCGGTTTTTTTAATTTTAAAGTCTCAATTTAAAGTGAAATCGTAAACGAGTACTTCAAAATAAAAAAAATGTATATGATCATTTAGCAATTTAGAAAGATATTAATTTAAAAATGAAATTAAAAAAAAAATTTCTGTACCTATAATTTATTTATTTTTTCCATAATTTTCTTTTTATATTTAATTAGAACTTTATGACTCATTTTTTATCAGTGCAGAGGCGTGGCCATGTCCCACGCCCACTCGACTGCCGCCGCCTTAATTGCTATACTCATAGACCCCGTTCCGGACGACTTCTCCTTCTGCTTTTCCTTTTCCCTCTCTCTCTAATTAAGACATTCACAAGCACGAGTGTTGTCGTTGAGCTCGTTAGTTAGTACATAACTTTTCCTCCAGGCAACTCAGAGATATAAGGAAAATGGCGGGGAAATTGGGGGGTGGCTCTGTCAATGTCAATCTTGTGAGCTCCATCTCAGTTTCCACCTTGAGTTGCCGCAAAAGTTTTTCTTAAAATTTTCGCACTTTTCGCAGATTGCGCTTAAGCAAGGATAAAGTTTTCACGACTTTTAACATGCACATGGAAAATTCACTCCTTTTTCCCGACGTTCTGTACGAGTATGTGTGTGTGTAATTAGTCGGGCAAACATTTTAATGCTTTACGCAATTCTAACAAATTAAACTCAAGCAATCAACACCTACACAGGCTTAGTCCTCCTCCCTTTTCCCCCCACAAGTCAAACTTAATTTCCGCAAAATGTACTTTTTTCCACGAAACTTTTTGGATCCCCAACTCGAACCCCCCTCGAAGCTCCAGATAATGCTTATTATATTAGGCTACCCGAAAAGTTTGCGAGCACGGAGGCAGCTTATTTTAATTGCATGATGAATATTAAAATATTTGCTTAATTTATTATTCAAGCATTCGCATTCGTGCGCGCAGCATAAGCGGTCGGAATACCCGCACTCACCTGAATTACAGGTGAAATGTGTATATACTATAAGTGGGTACACATCATTTTGGGGCCCCGCTATGTGGATTTTGGGGGTAGATTCCCACGGCCGAAATACATATTTAGTTATTTGTGCATAAAGTGGAGTGGAGTTGAGAGATTTTGGGGCTGCTGCCGGGTATTCAATTAGCATATTTAACTGAAAACTTATTCCAGCGAATGATTATGGATTTAGTTTGGGGAGTAGTGATGGATTTATTAAATATTTTGTATTTTATTGTATAGCGGTTATATATAAAATTCTGATTTTTTAACAAATTGTTGTAGTCTGAAACTCAGTTTTCTTTATTATTATTTTGCCCTCCGCATTTCAAGTATCGTCTTGCAGTAAAAACTGCATTTAAGTGTTTTTGGGTCGTTGCATAATTCGTATAATTTGCGATTTTTTTCTTGGTTCCCTCGAGGGGCCTTGAAAAAACCAGTTTTGGCCTGCTTTTGGGAACTCCTCTTACGTCACCAACGACAACGACCTCGCCATCCGGAGACAAGTGCGGATTAGTGCTCTGTAATTATTTATTTAGTTTTTGCCATTGTTCGATTTGCATAAAATATGCGAGAGCGAAAAGAAAACGCCATCGAGTCCATGACAAATGCGATGATAAATGTTTTGCGATGAAACGCTTCACTTCAGATCGAAGATAAGTTCGATTTATGTGTACTGTATACTGATGTACTGATGGATGGGCAAGGACATCCGGTACTGGAATATATTCTATTTGAATAACAATATCTTATAGGCGAGATATCACAAATTCCGAGTGCTCGAGATTGTGAATTGATTTGGTCAACCGTTACAGCAGCAAAAACGACGGGGATTCCTCGGAGGGAAGTGGGGTGAAGTGATTCAGCAATCGGAATCGAAACGCGTGCTCCTTTCTCAGTGGGTTGTCCTTGGTCTCAGCCGGATCCTGTTCTTTTTTATTGTGGTGTAATGTTTGTTGTTCCAGCGCGTTGACATGTGAGCCAATATTTTCGCTCCCTTTTTTGTGTTTTGCCTGCCCACCCATGGCCTCTTTGCCGTCTGATGAGACCGCCCACCGAAAGAGGAAAGTAATTTAGGGGGTGGGGTTCTTAGCACAAACGCAGGCGGGTTGGCATATGGTTGGACCATCCGCAGCAAAAACTCAAACGTCGCAAACAAAACACCCTCGTTTACGCCCAATTTAATTTTCAAGTAGCTTTTTATGGGCTTGTGGCCGGGCATTTTTGAATTTCTGATCTGAGCAGCTAAAAGCAAATGGAATAACGGAGTTAATAATCTTTATGAATCGGTAATAAAGGGAAGAGCGTGAAACTAGATAGACGATAAGATCAAGTTTAAGTGCTCTTGCAAGAACAAGGGAAAATTCAAGAAAAAGAGATTTCAAATAAAATATAATCTTATTTTTGCGACATAATTTCAAACCATTCATATACGTTTAAAGGTTATCGGGGCTTAAATAGATTAAAGTAAGAATCACATGACAGATGGGTATAAAATGGGGCGTTGAAGCCCCAACAATTTAGTTACCATCTCAAAGTGAAAGCTTACTATAAAATAATCGCAAAAATGATTAAATTTTTGTCCGTTCTGGCGTTAATGGCGTGGCATCCTACAGGCTCTCTAGCAGGAATCCCGAACAGAAGCCAATCGGAGGACTTGGAAGCCCGCTGCACGGGGCATTGCTTCTCCAAGATGAGTTCAGTGATGGATTATGTGGCTGCCAATCAAGAAAGATGGAATTCTTGTGAGGTGATGATGACGAACGAAACGCGTGCCGAGCAGAGTAAGATACAAATTAGGCTGACGGCCCTGCAAGAATCTGTTACCCAGGTTAAGACTGCACTGGAGTTGGCGGATCAAAGGATGGTCAGGATAGACAGCCAGCAAATAAAAATCCTAGAGGAATTTGAGGAGAAATTGGGTATGTCGCAGGAAAATCTAAGAGGCCTGGAAAGCAAACTGGAATCCATGCAGACCAAGATAGACAGCCAGCTTACAGCCATTCATGATTCGCTGTCGGGACTCTATAATAAAATCATTCTATCAGATTTTGAATGCATTGGATCAAGATACTTTCACATCAACAATGATGTCAAGGTTAATTGGGATAATGCCCATTCAGCCTGCCGTCGGATGGGAGGACATTTAGCCTCTATTCAAAATAGAGAAGAATTCGACGCCATCGTCGTGAAGCTCGATACTTCGAAGCAATACTTTCTGGGCATCAACGATCGGGCCAAAAAGGGTGACTTTGTGTCCGTAGCGTCCGGAAAGAAAGCTTCCTTTTTCTTGTGGTATCCTGATGAACCACTCTACCAATCTGACGAAGAGAGATGTGTTGCAATAAAAGAGAACAAGATGTTTATGGGTAATTGTAATTTTGCAAAGAGCTTCATTTGCCAATCAGATGATAACATTTAATAAAAATTTTCTAAAAAGAAGGTATATTTTAATACAACGTGTAACTATTTTTGGAAAATAAAAGTACAATATTTCCTTGATCTGCAAAAATTTATAGTAATTGTTGAAATTAGTTATAATTTTTTCTTTTTTAATGTAAGTTTTAAATAAATCCATAAATTGGAAAAAATGTATTTGGCACTTAATTCAAATTCTATGATGAATAAGTAAGTATGTGAAAATATTCATGCTCATTAGTGGATAAGCCAATTACCCCGCTACTGTAGTTGCAACAACCTCAACCCCTCACGATTATGTCCGATTCAGCACCCTCACTCGTTCCGCCCCTTTTTTTTCGGGCAGCCTAAACGATTATAAACCCAACGATCTGCTAATTGCCTGCGTGTCATTAAGCCTCCACTTACAAAGGAATTAGACAAACAAACAATAAAATTTATGGCAAGTGTCGCATTTTGTCATCAAGCTGGGACAAAAACAACTGCCGGGAAAAACGAAGGAGAACTGCTTTTCAACCCCTGGCAAATATTTACAAAAATCCGACAAAACGGGGAAATTGCGACAAAATATCACCCCTAAGTGGGCAGTGCCAGTGTAGCCATCTATCTTTCTTTTTCATCTTTCCTCTCTTTTTAATACCGTCTTATTTTTTCTGGGGACGATGACTAAATTAGCAATTGATTAAGCGGGAGGAGGGGTTGGATTTGGGGGAGGCAGCCAGACAATGACCGCAATGAGAGCAGTAATGACATTAGATGCTTGGCCGGGTGGACAATGCGATTCTTGACTACCGATCCCATGTTTTTCGCATCTTTACTTTGGTTTCACTGGGAAAAATGGGTTATAAAAGTGGCGATTACTAATTAAAACTAATTTAAGTATTAAGGGATTTTTATAGTCTTTAGAAGACATTTTAAAAAATATTACATTACATTACAATAATTCTTAATATTTGTAAAATTATGTCTTTGTTTTTAAAAAATAAAAAAGTAAACATTTTATTTTCCTTTACAAAAATTTTCCCTCAGTGTCTGTGTGCCATCGACTCCTGCTGTGTTTATCTCTTGATTCTCGACTCCCTGTCTTTTTCCCGTTGGATTTTTCCGACTCACGGGTTATTGAACAGGCGTGCGCAGCGGAAGGCGTTCTACTTAATGTTTTGGATGGAAAACGTTTAAATTCCATTGGCGCACTTCCGGTCAACGGATGTCGTGTGCGCCAGCGGAAACATTAAGAGAGCAGTCTCCACCCCCGAATCCCTTTCTATAAGTCCCCGACCATCCTGACCCCCCGCTAATGATGCCGGTCATCATCGATATGGCCGACACGTGCAATCCCGAGGGTGCCCAGTGTCTAATCATCGGCGGAACTCCCGCCATTGTCTCAGCCATATGTGGGATATGCTGGATGGATATCCTGGGTATCCTTTGGTGGACCGAAAGATAAATGACTCGGACGATAGTGCTCTTCGAATTGATTATCGCCGGAAGTTTTGATTCGTTTTTATTGGTTGAGATTGTATAGACTGTAGGGTGTTTCAGTGTCTGTGATTAAATTTAAACTATCGGGAGTTTTTAAAAAAGGAATTTTGATTAAAAATATATGCACATTTAAAAAATTGTATCGATTATTTTTACCGATCAAATTTTAGTGAACTTTGTTGGGATAAAATTTAAATCTTATTTTCAATTTATCTTAAAAATGTATCGCTAATCCAATCTCGATTAGAATTTAATGATTCATATTATTTCTAAATCATTTTGTATCGAATTTAAGTTTGAAGGTATATTATTTTACCCAAAATATATTACTTAACATTATTATTTAATATTCGCAATTTGGCAGATAAAATTAAGCGACTTCTTTAATTTCAAAACCATTATAGCACTTATGATTGACTTACCTATCGCTGGCGTTGCTGCCTCCTCCAAAGCTTCCGAAGATGTGGCTTCCAAAAGCGGCCGCCGCAGCAGCCGAAGAATGCGGCATCTGGGGGGCGTGCGGGGTGGTGGGCGTGGGCGTAGACGAGGCCGAGTTGTTGGAGGATACGGGCATCCTTGAGCCCGTGGTCAAGGACATGGGTCCTCCCACCTCGATGGGTGAGTCGGTGTTCCGTGAGTTTGAGGGGCTGCTCGGCCCCTGACCCCCACTGCCAGCCAGGGGCGTATGCTCCCTGTGCTCCCTGTGCATTCCCGATGGGGATGGCGATCCGGCACTGATGGAGCCCAGCGACTGGGAGGCAGAGTGCGGGGTGGCGGTCAGCTGATTGGAGGACAACGGACGCTCATTGTCGCTGGAATCCAAGTGCATCCCTCCGCCGCCGCCAGGACTGCGGGAATGCGAGTGCGAATGCGAGTGGGAGTGCTGCTGCTCCATTTGCCCGTTGGCCAGCGGACTGTGTGACCGCTGACGAGGCGGTAACTCATCCATGTCGTCGTCTATTTCACCCGTAATGTCTGGCGAAGATTCACGAGAGTCGTGAAGCTGGGGAATAAAAAAAGGGCGCATTTATATATTAATGTTTGGCTTTTTTGCACAATATATAGTGGATCTGGTCCATTAAAGTATTAAAAAAATATATAAAATTTTAAAATTAAAAACCTAAATAAAATAACTTTAAAAAAAAAAACATTGATTAATATTATTATTTTCTAAGAAACTTTGCGACCTATGCCTTAATTATTGGTATTTTCTATAGCATTAGAAAACAAGAATAAAAAAAAAGTTTTTTGGAAAAATAAGTTTTTTTAAAATCGAATTTCTAGTATGAAGTGTAAACCTCCTCAGGGGATTTGAAGTCACCAGACCTTGGACCATTTCAAGGTGTCAACTATGGGTAAGACCCTTCTGTAACCCTTTTATAACTCAATTTACTTACCTTATCCAGTGAGCTGCTGCTCTCTCCATTTTCCCGCTTTCGCTGCTCATCCTTGAGTCGCTCCGCCTTGCGCCACTTGGCCCTGCGATTCTGGAACCAGACCTGCGGGGTACAGGAAAATGGAGCAAAGGGAAACTCGAATGAAATTGAGAAAGTTTTGGAGCACATTGCCATGATATGGCCACATGTCTATTATTATTTATGCCACGGGCAAGTCGCCGGCTGCCAGCCAATGGAAAATTGAAAAACTTTCCCCACACACACAAACGAAATTTTCCACCTCAGAAACTTTAACAATTTGCCATAGCTACCACCCTAAAAAATTGTATTGTGTTTTTCCTTTTTCCCCTTTGTCTTTCCCGGCCAATCTAAGACGTAAACAAACAAAATCTGATTTTCAATTTTCCTAAGGAAGACAAAACAAATTTGGCTTGTAATCAGCGCCTAAATTGGGCTAGGGGTGGGGGTTGAGTTTTTCCAGGCGGAGGGAACACACACATGCACGCTCTAATGAGGCTCAATCAAGACAATGCCCTCGAATCCTTAGACACATCCTTTGGATTGCTTGCTTATGCGCGCGTGTTTCCTTTATCCCCCCCAAATTTTCCCCAATTTTCCTTACTTCCCGTTCGTTTTGTTTGCTTTTAGTTCCGGTTTGCGTTGATTCCCCAGCTTAGAGCGCCCTCTAATGGGATTTCCCGTGCTCTGCCGCCATCTTGAATGAAAATCACTCTCTATGTGCTCGGTTCTCTGTGTAAGTGTATGTGTGTGTGTAAGTAAGTTTCCTAATCAAAATTCAAATTAGACATTGTGCAAAAGTTGGCATTTTGGCTCCATTGTTGTAATCATAACGCAGCGTAAAACAATTTCAGCATTCTTCCCGCCTCCAGGCGAAAAGCCCCAGCCATTTTCTCTCTCTTCTGGCCGCCATGTTGCCCCTGTATCCTGTATTTTTCCCCAACTCCCTTTTGCCTGGGCAAACAATAAATTGCGCACAATCCAACCCCCAAAAAGGGAAGTAAGTCTCCACCCACCCACAACCACCCACAGCGGGCTCTGAACTTTTCCAGTTATCCTCGTTTTTTGGTGGTGACGCCCACCAGTTACTTAATACAATATTTATGCCATAAGCACATTACCAATAAAATATGGCTGGGTAAACTTTTTTCTCTCTCTGTGTGTGTGCACTCTGGGGGTAGAACGAGAGAGAGATGGCGATATGCAGGAAGAAAGAGAGGTAAGGCCAACGATAAAAGCAGCTTCTCCTTCTGACTGCTCCTGTGTTATTATGACAAAAATTGAATAATGAAAAACAATTGTGTGCGTCCGTCTCCCTCCCTCCGGCCATTGCCATCTCACTCCCGCACAATCATAATTTCATGCACAATTTTGCTTTGTTTTATTACACACAAAATTTAACGTGTTCTTATTTATTCAATTCGCTTGGTTTAGTTTCTTGATTGCTTGCTTGGAATTACTTTTGGAAAATGGATGGGGCATTGGATCTCTTCAAATATATCAGGGTATCGTTTGAGGTCTATTATGGAACTGGGAGGGTGCTTTTAGTCAGACTAAGATTCTTGGAATTTCTTAACTTCATGGAAGACTCCATCAAACAAATAAGATTGCTTGTATGTACTATATTAACTTGCTAAGTATACTTTTAGGGGTCTATATACGCCATGTAAATTTACATGGGTAATAGTACATAAATAATTTTAAAGATTCTTTAAAATTGATTCACAAGACCAATTTAAATATTTCCGTCATATACTGTTTTTGTCAAAATATGTCTTGATTTTGGGTTTTTATTAACAACGAGGCACTCTTAAATTTTTCTGTCAACCTAAAACCATATTAATAAACCTCTAAAAACATTTGTATGTAAAATGACTTTCTTCTTTTATAAAAATATGTTTATTTTAATCGTGAATGTGAATATATGTATGTTAGTTATGGAGTTTTGGATGTTGATATGAAGATATCGTGGGCCACAAGGACGTTGCGTCGTTGGGCCTCAGGAGAAAAAACTGCGAGAAGGAATGCGGGGTGGTTATCACTCGGACAATCTTCTGAAAATTCAGACTCTGAACTTTTTCGAGGACCTTGGTTCCTCCCCGTATGTGCTGGTCCTCGAAGGTCATGAAGAAGTCCGTAGCGCTGACCACGTTTGCCCGATTTAAAGGGTCATCGAATATCGCACAGTACTGCTGCACAAATACCTTCCCAATCTCCTCGTAATGCGAATTTAGGGACATTGCGAAGTCCCAATTTTTTAGAAGGAAGTCGATCGTGTCAAAATGATAAGACTTACATTTGTAATTTTTTAAGCTCGAACAAGCTAATACTACTTGCTTATTTTTAAAATTTTTGTTTAACCCACCTAATTATATTTTTTACGATCCACCTATATGCTTACTCAAATATAATGCACCGTTGCACATGTCTCTTCCTATAAGCGCATCCTCAAGGATCCTCTCTAGAACCCTTTCGACCCACTTCAAGTAATTTATTTACCCAAGCCGAACGCCCAGAGCGACAAAAATATAGCATAATTCTCAAAGAACAATAAACAAAACAATTATTCTCATATACTTGGCAAACACAAATTTTGCGGTTACAAGTTACGAAAACCGATTTGCCATGAAAACGAAAACAAATAAGTAAACAAGCGGGGTAGCGTAAACAATACAAAGTTGTAACACAGCGAATTACACAAAAAAAAAATACATCACAACAGGAAACAATGGAAACACCACCCAGAAAAGCCGGGGAAAAATCAGGGGAGAAAGGACGAAGATGCAGGAGGTCGTCTATGGGGTAATTACGGACAAGTGCGCAGCATTAGCTTCCGCAAACAGTTTGTCCCGATCCCGGAACACTCAATGCAAACAACACCCAAGGACCAAGGACCAAGTAGCAACGACCAGAAACCAAAAACCAAGGACCTCGATGACGCAGCTCAAGTGGAATGAATGAACAGATGTGTTAATATCAAACGCATTTCGCTCTCGGCTAAACTGAACCCTTTGCAACAATAATTGGGCTACCGCAGCAGCCAACACCACACGCACCACCCCTTTTCCCCTTCCCCCGGCATCCAGGAATCCTGGAGTTCTTCCCCTGAAACCATACCGCCCATATCCTGAGGCCAACATAAGGCAGACTCGATTCGATTCGACGGCCATCAACTTGGATCAGCATTAAAGGATTACTCGAGCAAATGCAATTATTTGACAGGCAGCCCGGTCAACCAGTGCACTAGGAGAAAATAGGTTGTGCTTAGAACGCACATGTACATTTTAAACTATTGGGTTGGCAATGCTTTTATAAAGCTATAATATATTAATTTAAATTTATATGTTTTTATAAAGTTTTTTTTACATTATTTATATTTAAACCGTATTTATTAAAATAATGGTTCTTAGAATATGTATTTGCTAATGCTTTTAGTGATGCCTAAAATAAGAAAGATGTAATTTATTTATTAAAATTATTTTCCAGACTTTTATACTAATATTTAGATCTTAAGATCTATTATTTTTCTCCAAAAGATAAGATTTTTTCCCAGTGCATCTTCCCTTCATTCCTCATCATCTTCTGCGGCTTTTTTTTCTTGAACAACTTCTCACATCGCCACTTGGGACCTCTGTGATTATAATAAATTATCAATTATTGGCATTATATGCGGTTTGCCAGCCCTTTGGCGGTGGTTTGAGTTACATTTCCGATTGGGCCGCCTTATAGTGGGTGTAGCCCTTTCGAATTGTCATGCTGCAGCACATTAATTCTAATCGAATTAGTTATGTATGAGGTGCGTAGTCGGAAATGTGAGAACCGGTAATCGCAGTGGGTTAACGACTTCATTATTTATCGCCTCAGACTGGCAAATTGATAACTATTGGGACAGTGAGAGGGCTTATTGAAGATGATATTATTATTAATGTATGACTGGGTACCCCAAGGCATTTGATTGGAAATTATCTAGGTAAATAGATAGCCAATAGGGATTTTAATCAAGAATCGTAAAGATTAAAGATTCAAAATATTATTTCTTTAGTCAAAAATAGTATTTCATAAGTAAGCCACTTACAACTTATCACCTAATGGTATGCAAATCTTTTCAACAACATTTTTCACCCCCAGTTTTTTTTTCTCCCCCTATCATCCCATTCAAAAATCAAATTTCCCACTCATTTATCAATCAATATCAGTTATTAGAGAGCTCTACTGCATTAGCTCGACTTCAAAGTGCTTTGTCCTTGTCAGGTGCCCTGTAAATTCATATCCACGGCTATATCCTGTGATCCAGCTGGGTCCCGGGGCCTTAGCCATAAGCTCGCTGGGATATACATTAAGTAAATGATTTTTGCACTGAACCCGAATGCGTTGCGACAGGAGGGCAGAAAAAAGGCAGAGGCTTTGGCCGGGGCATCAAAAATTGACAGACGAAAAAATCCCGTGGAAAATATATCAGGTTACAGGCAAGTGAGCGGCTAAACCGAAGTCAGGGGATGTTGGGGCATCAAGCGGAGTACACATAATAAATTTTATTATAAAATTTATTTCCGCTACGCCGTTGTGTCAAAATGCGGTTGGAAAAAGAGCGGTACTCTGTGCACACCCTCATCAAAAAATTTGGCATTCATTCCATTATCGAAATCCCAGACTAAGCTGTCCAGTTTTTTCTCGTTTTTTCCACAATTTTCGCCGCAGTTTTCTGGACGCTGCAAACTCGGACCACGAAAGTTGGTAACAAACTGACAGCTTCTCCAATTTGGGGGGTGGGTTCGTTTTTTATTAACTTGTAATTTTGTTAGGCTGACAAGTACACGTGTTTGCGACAAGTGTCCCATTGTCGTATATTTACAAATATATCAAATTGCCAGCATTTTTTATATGGCAAATTGAATTGAAAGTATCTGGTTACGCCTGGGAAAAAAAGCTTGGGCTAATTGTGCCGGAAATAGAAAAATGGAGAGGATGTCGTAACGCCACCAAAGTGTTTTAATAGCCACCAAAGTGTGCGTGGGTTTCACGATTTCGCGACAAACGTGTCTAGTTAGTGTGGCATCCTCATTAAGTTTCTGCCTCTGTTTTCCAGCTTCCACTTTTCATGTGCATAATTTGCTTTCGGCCTCAGAGAAACGACGTGCTCGAGTGGCCGGAGATTCGTTATTTCCACCCACCCAAGATCTGCGGACTTGTATTCCATTTCCCCCAAAGTAGATCCGCTAATTGTCATGTTAATCTGACAAATGCAGCTCGCAATATCATGCAAATTGCCCGCGCTCTTACCTATTTCTATTCAGTCTTTTGCGAGTGAACAATCTTTTCCTGACTTAATTTACATTTAGATCCAAGCGTGGTGATAAATTCTAGTGACGTTGTTTAAGTGTCGGAAAGGTGATTCTAATTTTGGCCACAATTGTCAGAAATTAATCATGAATAATGTAAGAAAGTTTAGATAATATAGTTCAATGAAAAGAAAAAAATTAGCTTGGAATTTGGGTTATTTTAATAATCTTTTATTATTTCAATATTTTAAATGTAATAAATATCTACTTTCGTGTGCAATAAATAAAATCTATAATATTTGTGTATACATTCTATAAAGATCCTATTTATTTTGACTTCCTAACAGGCTCTACAGTAAATTTGTATCATAATTTTAAGGGCTCTTGCACTTTTGCTCCAAGCCAAACGAAACTCTCCTCCAACTCTTATATTGAAAATAAATTTGATTTAGCGGCAAGCGGGCTTTATAACCAGAGGAGGAGGGCAATTTGCTTTCGACTTTCCTTTACATTCTTTTTGTTTTTCATATTTTATATTTCTCCTGTTTACGCTTAAGAACTTTGCATATTTTGCTGCTTCGGCTGTTTCTGGCATACAGAAAGTATATAGAAAATATTTTTTAAGCCATTTATTGCATTAGGCTGGCTACTTGCCACCCCAAGATCCCGAACCCCGAACCCGTTGGTAATCCTCGAATCCTTGGGCCTGTTCAGCATGCATATGCATTATTAACGAAGAGTTCCAGATGAAGAGAGAGATATAGAAAAAGCGAGGGCTTTGATCAGAATGCGTGACCCTTCTAGGGTTGTCCTACACTTATATACTTATGAAATTTGATATGATTTTGCCAAGTTCCTGAATTCCCGATTTAATATTCTTCACTCAACTCCTTGAATTTTGCATAATTTTCCCGAAAGAGGTCAGCAAATCAGAGGAAAAGGGGTACATATATTTTTCTTACCTGAACCCGAGCTTCGGTCAGGTTGATTTTCATGGCCAGATCCTCGCGAGTAAACACATCCGGATAGTGGGTCTGGGCAAAGGCCGTCTCCAGTTCCTCCAGCTGCCCGAAATTAAGAATTAAAAGCGGTTTTCATTTTATTTCTGCCCTCCGACTTACCTGTTGCAGTGTGAAGGTGGTGCGATTCCGTCGCTGCTTCCGCCGGACAAAAGTCTCATCGTGGATGGCAGGATGATACGAGTAGCTGGTATCTGAGGAAAAGCAGATTGCAGGAAGCCAGGGGTATTAGCCATATGTAAGGTGTTGCATTAGCCCTATTAACTCAACTAGTTTCACCAAGGTGTAGGGGCATAAGTGCCACTAAGCTGGGATATGTCTTCACCAGCTTCGCCATGAATTAAATAGTTTATGGGGGATTTTTAATTCGGGCATTGCACTATGGGAAAAAAGTCAATTTTTTTGGCATAAAATCAACTTATTTTACAAATTATTTTTAAAAATAAAATATATTTTGTGAATTTACATACCCTAATTAGCCAAGAACAGTTATCTAAGATTTTTTACTAGCAACACTATAAGGTTGATAAACGAACAAAGTCAGCTGTTTGATTGACTTTGTTGTGTGCGTAAATTAGTGAAAAATCTTTGCAAACTTTCAGTGCTTATTTTGTGGAGCAACAAAATGGTTTATTATTTCTGATCATGTCAAATCGTAGCAAAGGTATTTATAAATGTATCTTAGTTTACATGTTTTGATTATTGTGGTTTGTTGTCCAACTGTGAACTGTTTAAAATGTGTATCTTTTTAGCTTAAAACTAACAAGTTTGTTTGTGTTCCGTGGTGTACAACTTATAAATGGCACAAAGTTGCAAAAAGCTAAAAACGCAAAGTTATTACCAAATGTATCCTTAATATCGCAAAACTAATCATTTTTGCAACTTTTTGCACGTTTCTTAAAAAAAATGACTTAAATCCAGCAACTTATAAACATAAAAAAAAATATTTTTTTAAATAAAAAAACAATCTAAGTGGCTTTCATTAATCTTAAAAATTGAATTCATGGAAAGGGACAAGTCAAGTGAAAATCCTGGCTGCAAAGGACTCAAATATAAAGAAGCTGGACCCCCGTTAAAGGTAAAATTGGCATCTGCTCTAAGATAATATTTCACTTTTCTTGTACATGACACCAATTTTTTTTTTTTTGACAAATTTTAAAAATTAACGTAAACCGAAATTATTTTACCGTCTTACCAATACAAACACAAATTTTTTAAAATCCCTGCCAATTAATTTGAATATGCGGCGTGGGCGGTGGATGAAAACAATGGTCCGATTCAAAAAGCAACAAAAACCGAAATTACAGCTTTATCTTAATAGTATATATACAAAATTTCTAAATTGTATCTCTAAAACTAGAGTTTATGCCAAAAAAATAGACTTTTTTCCCATAGTGCATTGGGAAAGAAATAGGTAAAATAATAATCCAGAGAAGAAAATTTAAAAATAACAAAGTTCCAGGTTTTCCAAAAATATAAAATTAATTTTTGAGAAAAACTATTTATGTAAATGAAGCTTTTTAGAAATTTAACACTTTGTTTAGCTTTTCATTCGGTTCAAATTGGTAAATATATTATTTATAGATTGAAAAAAATTATTTAAATAATTTTCTTCGAACCTTTTCGAGCCCCTAACTTATTTATAGGTTAAGATAGAATTCCATTATTTTTTTCTATATCTCCAGTCAAGCTGAAGTTTTCTCTAAATTTTAAATGACCCAACTATAAATGCCTTGGAATTCATTCATGCCAAAACTTTTTCTCCGCTGCTGATGTGCCCTTGCTGGAAGCTCTCCACCCCCTGTCTCCTGAATTTTCCTTGTCCACTTGCCTTTTGCTGAAAGCCAGCTGTTGCCAAAAATTGCTGGCTAATTGAATTTTCTAGCAGCAGCGCCATTTTGTATGCTACGAAATATTTTATAACTGCCTTTTGAGCCAGAAAGATAGAGAGAGAGCGAGATACAGAGGAAAAGGAAAGGCGTTGACAGCCCCACTTGACCTCCGCCCCAAAATGCCCGGTTTTTCCACCACCCCCCGGAAAATGGAAAACCAAAGTCGAAAGTCGAAAGGCGGAAACTTTGTCGGACCTTTTTTGCCATGGACTCTCGGTTCGTTCGTGTTGTAAAATTAATTTTCAATTTGATTTTAAATAAATAATTAGCTGGCAAATTGCAAAATTTAATTTTAATTTTCTTCTTGCCAAAGCCGAGTAAAGCTGCCCGTCTCTTTTCCTCTAAGCTTTTTCGTCTCTTTTCCTATCTGTCTGTGTGTGTGTTAACTTTTTTGGGGGCTCTAATCCGATTAGCTGAAATGTTGTTACTTCGGCATTCATTTTCGCCAGGCCGAAGGTCGTCCCATTGCCACCCCCTTTTTTCCCAATTCCCCAAAGACCCTCTGTAATGCGCACTAATGTTGTTTGCCATGTTTTCCTCGGCCTCTGTCTCTATTTTCCGAGCAAGTGTCGCTATGCCTGCCATCGATTAATATTTAATTATGAAAATAATTACAAAATGTTTTCGGCTTCTTTCGCCATCTCAGGCGAAGGCTCTCAGGTAAGCCCAAAGGATATTCTCCGTATATCCTGCTAATGAAGCACGCATTTGGGGCCTAAATCAAGCAATCAAAGAGGTAGGCAAAAGCTAATCGAATAGTCGATGAGTTGAGCTTCGGGCACTCAGCATAATTTTTCGAGGAGACCGGGAAAAGTTAGGTTCCTATTAGAGGTGGCAGCGTGAGGCGGATGATAATACATTTTTATAATAGTAAATATTATTGGAATTATAATTTTAATAACAACAAGAGAGAACGCTATAGTCGGGTTCGTGTCCCGACTATTTAATACCCGTCACTCACTAGTCGGGTTGGTGTCCCGACTAATAATCGTAACTCAGCTAAAGGGAGTGCGAGGGAGATAGATATAGAAATTTTGATTGCGTATAACTTTTTAATGAATGGTCCGATTTGAAAAATGTGTTCTACATTTCGATAGGTATAAATATGCACAATAAAATTGCATTTATGCTTCTTGGAAACCTTAAAAGGTGTGGGCGCCAGACACATTTTAAAATCGTTAGTGGGCGATTGTGGGCGTTAGAGGGGGCGTGGCACTCGGCTAAAATAAACTTGCGCTGCGTAGGAAGCCCAAGAATATGCGTGGAAAATCTCAACCTTCTAGCTTTTGTAGTTTCCGAGATCTCAGCGTTCATACAGACAGACAGACGGACAGACGGACAGACGGACAGACGGACAGACGGACAGACGGACATGGCTAGATCGACTCGGCTAGTGATCCTGATCAAGAATATATATAGTTTATAGGGTCGGAAACGCTTCCTTCTACCTGTTACATACTTTTGCACGAATCTAATATACCCTTTTACTCTACGAGTAACGGGTATAAAAATCTTGGGAATAAGATAATCTATATTTGAATTTAATAAACTCTGTATTTATTTGTATCTATAATATATTTAAGTTATTCCACATATTTATTGATCTTAAGTTACCATTTAATTTAGTAATTATTCTTCTTTTTCCCAACCCCGTTTCGGATAATCACGAACACGACCTTACTCATCTGCTCATCACCAGTTCATCCAGCTGCAGTGCAATTTTCTTGCTAATCAAATTCTTGGCAGCCAATAATTGCCTAAAATGCAAATGGAAAATGCCCCAGGTTGGCCGGAAAATGCCTCGGGCCGAAAAAGAAGACCAGTGCACATGTTCCACTGACGATAAAGCGGCTGGCAATTAGCACAATTAGGTTTCGAGTGCAAATCCCAGAGCGCCGAGCTGCAAAAGCAGCCCAAAAACCGGGCAATAAGAATTTCATGCTGAAAGCTTTGGCCAAAAACCCGAGCCAATGGAGGATTTCCACCACCCCATTTCCGCATATCCCCCATTTTCCAGCTCGAACATCAAACGTCATGCAGCAACAGCACCGGCAGCAACAACAAGTCAACTAACCGCACTTGTCAGGAAGACAGGATTAACAAATCCTTGTTGCCAAATTGATTCAAAAAGTACGCAAAGGGGCGCAGACAAGCCAGTCAGCCAACCATCTATATCTCCATAAACCTCCCTGGCACCCAAGCAACCCGTCTCATTGTGCACAGAAAGAAAAAATTTCGAACGTTTCTTTATAACGGTGGAAAATTATTAATAAGAATTATTATGTTGTTAGATTTGAACATAATGTTTTATCGAACCTATCCATTTCTATCGACATTTCAATTATTGAATATATCGTTAATCATATCTGTAAGATTATGAATACATTCGGGTTTTCATAGAAAGGACGTAAGAAAACTTTCAAAAAACGTCCAACAATTTCAAGAAATTAAAATAATATTTTTGAAAATATCGATTTCCATTTGAATTTTAGCTCGAAGTTATATCAAAAGTATTCAACTTATATTGTGGCATTATTTTTTCGAGTGCATCGAAGCTGCTCTGCGTCTGCTCGTTAGCTGCGCCGGTAATGGGAGATAATTCAATTTTTAAACATTTGGCATAACAAGCGAAACCATCATTAAGGGATTTTCGGTCTGGGAGCAGAAAAAATAGTCGCCCGGGCTCCGCCCACTCCGCTATCCGTATCCGTAAGATACATGTCTGCAACTTTGTCTGCCGATTCCGTTTCTGTATCTACACACAAGGCCAAAATCAATTCTTATTCGATTTCAGTTTCGCTTACTTAATCTGAGAGCCAGGAATTAGCATTCATTATAGTTTTTCCTTGGCTGCTGCTGGCCTAGTTTCTTTTTCCGGAAGACTCAAGGATTCCCCCTGCATAAGGTCGAATTCCCTTGGAGAGTGTCACCATCTCAATTTCAGTGCTAGAAAGTCCGGGCACGCGTTGGCAAAAATTTTAAATTAGTTTAGCAATTGAGAAGCATTCTCGGTGTCAGCTCTTCTTGGGGTTGCTTTTTCTTGGGGGGAGTGGAGTGTCACGTCAAGGAATCACGAATTGGAATCTCGAAAAAACAGCGAGTAAATTGAATTAGCTATGCAAATGTTCTGGGGAATTTTTTATTTTGATTTGTGAGCTAAATTTATTGGTTATGTCATGACGAAAGGGGAAGAGACGAGCCCTAAGAGGATTCGTTATGGGAATTTTCACTATATTATGTGATTTTTATTCAACTTTGGTATTAAGTGTCATTTGGTGGTGATAAGGAAATACTTTATACTACTAATACTAAAGATTTTTAATTTATTTTTTATTATACCCGTTACTCGTAGAGTAAAAGGGTATATTAGATTCGTGCAAAAGTATGTAACAGGTAGAAGGAAGCGTTTCCGACCCTATAAACTATATATATTCTTGATCGGGATCACTAGCCGAGTCGATCTAGCCATGTCCGTCTGTCCGTCTGTCTGTCCGTCTTTCTGTCTGTCTGTCTGTCTGTCTGTCTGTCTGTCTGTCTGTCTGTATGAACGCTGAGATCTCGGAAACTATAAAAGCTAGAAGATTGACATTTTGCATGCAGATTCTAGGAGTTCCTACGCAGCGCAAGTTTATTTCAAAAGGGTGCCACGCCCCCTCTAACGCCCACAATCGCTTATATACGATTTTAAAAATTTCAATATTTTGGAAAAGTAAAAATGCAGTTTTATTGTGTTTATCAATACCTATCGAAATGTAGAAGCAATTTTTTAAATCGGACCATTCGTTAAAAAGTTACGGCGGATCAAAGTTTTTCTCCATCTCTTTCGCACTCCCTTTAGCTGAGTAACGGGTATCTGATAGTCGGGGCACCCGACTATAGCGTTCTCTCTTGTTTTTAGAATATTGTTACCCATAAGAAAATCTTAACCTAATTTGTTAATTTTAATTATTGTTTTTTTATTCACCCAGAATATTCTGTGTAAACTCGAAGCACAGACTCAAATTATCTCTCCGTAAATTCCATTAGGATGTCGCAAATCAAAAGCGACAGTCCCCTCAAGGACCTTAGACCTTTCGCAGGACCCTTCCCTAAATGGGAGCATAAGTTATCGTCTGTCTGTCTATTCGTCTGTCATATTGAATCAGTCAGCAGTAAATGGAATTTGCACCTGATTAGGATTACAGCGGCGGGGGCAAACGTGCCAAGATGTTACGTAATGCGTTCGTAAGTCTCCATCTAATCCCATTAGATAGCGCACATTCCCTCGGCTCAGAGATGGAAACCCCAGCCCGCAAAATGCACTGCAATTTGTGGCAAGCTTTGGGTTTTTTTTTGGGATACCACTTTTATTTACAGCGGTGCCTTTTATGGTTAGTGGGTGGGAAAAAATCAATAAACTATTCCGATTCCGTCGGCGGGCTGGCGCTTTGATTTATGATTTTCGATAAATGCCTCAGCACTCAGCCTCAATCTGTCGAAATCTGTCGCCGCATTCCGATTCCGAATCCGAATGCCGAGTGTCGAAGGAAAATTTGCATGCCAAAGCATTAACGCTTTGCCATTCGATAATTGCATGAAATGAAATCTGAAATCCAAAATTCCCCACACTCTATATACCCGAGCCCTTTTCGCTACCCAATTACAATTCGAATGGATCGCTTCACTTTTCGACACGTTCACGTTTGCTTGACGCCTGACTTTGCCTTTGGTTTGGCCACTCCTTTGCTCCGAAAAATCCCCCCTCTGCATGCGAATATCGATTGAGTTGCCCATGCTCCTCGCCTGCTTTTTTTTATTCAATTATAGTTATATGGCAACGGGGGCCTCTGTCCCTGGTCCTCCAATTCGGTATTCTGGAGTGCCAGGCAAAGTTTATTCGGGTTCGGATTGGTCGGGATGAGGGACTCGGGGAGTGCAACTGGATTGGGAATGGGACTGGAAATGCGGAGTCCTGGTAGATAGGAAATCAAATTGCTGCGCTGTGGCTTTTCCTTACACCCAATTTATAGAAATGCCGTTTAATGGTATTTTTCTGCGGCTCTGTTGGGGCAAGAAATTTTCTGATTTTAGGAAAGTTATTTATGTACCATAAACCTTAAATTTAAAAAGTTCAACCGATATTCGAGACACTAAGCTTACAAATAAGTTAAATGCTTCTAAAAAAAAATACTCAAATATTAATTTGTAATAATATTGTAGACTTATTTTTTCTCCGCTGAATTTTAATATCTGATACTTATATTAAGGAAGGACTCTATTTACACATTTTTCATTTGTTTCCTATTTTTCTGCATACTTCCTTTTTAATTTCCAATTTATCACTCAGTTTCTGAGTCTCCATCTACTCCCATCCCCATTTCGCATATGCACTTACCCTCTGACCGAGTGCCAAACTTTTCGAGGCAAACAGCAAACTCTCGACATGTGCGACCATGAAATCTGATATGCCGCATAGGAAATGGAAATGGGAAGAGTGCTACCCTGCCTGCAACGTGCTGCTAATAGAATAATTCGTTAATGTAACTACAATATTCCGAGATGCGCCGATAGACAATAATCCATTGACATCAGCAAAGTAACAACAGAAAGCAGCCACGATTATCATTGCCTTTTTATCTAAATTTAATTCGATGCGGACGAGAAGATTGCACTTTTGGCAGTTGGAAATCCATCTGTTCCGGCAGATTACGATCCCATACTTAAATTATTTAATGCAATTAGGGTAAAAGTGAAAAGATACAATTTTAATAAGAAGAATAAAAATTCAAATTTTAATAATTATATTACCATATGTTTTAAAAATTTGTGCTGTATAAATTAAAAGGGGTTACATTTAAATAAAAATTTGTTAAAGGTTTAGACAGAAATATTTAGGTTTAATTGTCTCTTTAACTTATATTCACAAGTTCCTCTTAACAATTAGTATTCTGAATATAACTCAGATTTTATACTATTTGGGTTCCAATCAATTTACAGCTTACAACCTTGGTTCTAGCAGCTCTATATTTTCTCCTAAAATATATTTTATAGATCTACTCACATGGATGGGTGGCGGCGAAGGGATAGTCGAGGGTTGGCAGGCGCGGAGGATGAGGGCCGCAGGGATGCAGGGCTGGAGGACACTGGTAGCAAAACATTCCTCTGCCCGCGGCTGCAGGACCGAGCTGAAATCGAAGTTAAAATCGAAATAAGAAATCAGTATCGAAATCGGAATCAAAAGGGTTACACTCATCGATCGAAATTGAGAAAAAGAATCTTTAAATTGCATGTAATTTTGATAAATTCACTTGCCAATCACGCCGACAACGATGATGATTATTATCATGATCATCATTGTGAACGAACGAGAAACTTGTAATTTAAGTGCACAATTCAATTGGAGACATGCGGGTATATTTTTGTGGGGCGACTTTGCGTCGCCTTTAATGTTGTCATATGCACCTCAAACTCAATTCGATTCAATTAAAGGCAATTACAGACTTCTGACAAATCATCCACAATCGATTTCATATGCTTTTGCATCTCCGTTTCTGTTCTCTGGTTTCTTTCTGTTTCTGTTTCAATTTTCCTGATGCATTGTGTGTCGTCTGCATACAATTAAATTGTCCTCAAACGAATCAATTGATTTAAATTAATTGCATTTGCCGCAAAAGACTCGGCATATAACTATGGCCGTAACTGTAACTGGTCTTGATGAACTCACTTCAGTTATGAGTCGATGGTTTGCGTTTTGCTGGCGCCTTTCTCAATGCAGTTTGCAGCTTAATTAGTCGAGGAATTTCACCCAGCATGCATAACTGAGGGGAAGGGAAAGTTGAATTGAAGAGCTCTACATCTTTGAGATACAAAACGGGCGGAGAAAGGAGTCACGGTGTCAGGCTAGAGATTGCCAGATAACCAAGATGAGTGAAAGATGCTGGGAAAGTACACTTTCCATTAGGAAAATTAAAATTGAAATTGATATGGGTGGGAAAATATATTATGGCAACAGAGAAAGTAGTTGTTATTAATAAATTCTTTAGCTTTACATAATAATAATGTAATCCAAATTCGAGGGACTTTATAGCTCTATCAATAAGTAATTATTTTATACCATTCCCTATACACAATCCCCACTCAGCATTTCTTTATTAATAGATGGACACAGTCCAATTTCCTGCGCTCCTCTTTTTGGGCTATCACATTTTCCATTACATTTCAATTGCAATTAAAATTAATTGTAACTTCTGTATGACACATCAGCCAGTCAACCGAACAAGCGAAACAGTTACACCATCCGGATTGCAGGTGGGACCTGCGCCTTGCTCTGAGCCGACATTTTAATTTATTTGAGTAAATTTGTTGCAAAAAAATTTTATGAATTTTATTTATGGTGCTCGCCACACGACTGTTCGTGGCAGTGGCACCCACAATACATACGTATAGCGCCACCCAACGACCACCACCCACCGCCCAATGCACCACAAGTGTTAGCATATCATGTTACAGACTATTTCCGCCAAATTTACACACGCAAAATAATTTAACGTGCTCAGCGGCAGCGCGTGTCCTGCCTACGGTTGTGACCTGATTGCACTGAGAAAAAACGGTTTCTTCTTATGAAAAATATTATTTAAAAAAATATAAAGTTTTCAAAAATCGAATTAAATTTATTATTTTGAATATTATTTAAATTATGAGTTAAGAGCTAATTATAAGCATTTAAAAATAAGTTATGATTTTTTCCTTTGACACACTTGATACAAGCAAAATGTCCATAAAATATAGTTAAATACCTTTTGTGAAGAACTACGAAAAATTGTGTTATATTTTTATTCGGTAACCTAACATTTTTTTTTATTTATATTATTTTTTCAAAGTGTCCTGATAAAGCCAGCTATTTCCTGGTCGCAGATGTGTCCGCGTTCCCAAAAGTCGAGGCCCGACAAGTGGCGCCAATAAATTTCCATTTAGTGCGGGAATGAGTTGGGCACGCCCCCTCACCTAACCGCCTCCTTTTTGGCCACGCCCCTCTCCCTCCCTCAGGGGCATCCCGGCATTCCATTAGAATTGTGAGAATTTGTAATTTTGCATAATTGTTATATTTGGAGTCCGTCGGCCGCAAAACTCATTTGCCAAATGGAAAATTGCCATTTCGTGTCTAATGTTGCACATGCGGCCTGTTGGCTGTTGGATGCTGGATGTTCTGGCCCTGGGTCTCCACAGGACCAGGCTCTAAAGTTTTAGTGCCATCGGGCCATCAGAGGGATTTCCGTGGGCCGGAGAGGTGGGAAGGTTGGATGGTGGGCTTTTTGGGGCTGGCAGGCCGTTACTGGTGTTGTTAGTGAATTAATTTCCAGTGAATAATTTATGCTGAATTATTTTGGACGTATTAAATAGGCACAGCAGAGGGGCTTTTGCGGTGCCGAGCAGCAGAGAAGTGGAGTAGTGGAGCAGAGTGCCCGGATAATACTCCCATGTGCGTTTCGGAATCGCACTCGAAAGCCCTCCACTTGTGTTTGGACCTTGGGGCGTTACATTTAAATCAAATCAAAATGCTATTTCTGAAATTGATTTTTGAAATTTTAATGTCCCGGACATGGAGCAGCGGAGATTATGGAAACCGACTGTAATGGAATGGTGATATGGTTCAAATTAGTTGGCACAACTACGAGACGCAAATTGGACAGGGCTTTTACTTTGGCCATGAGTTTGCATTAAATGTAAAGCGTTTGTGAAAGGATATTTTGCTAGTAGAAAGGACAAGGAATAATGGTAAGATCAAACCGGTTTCTAAGAAGTCGAGGAACTACAATAAGTTGCATTCCTTAATGCAAATTAAATATATTTAATACGAATTTAAACTTAAAAAATGCTTTTTATAAGGAAAAAGAAATGAAGCAATTATTTCCAGAATTATTTAATCGAAAACTTACCGAAGAATATGATCATAGACTGATACAACATTGGCAGCAAAAATAAATTGTTCTTTTAGTTCAAAGATCTAATTTTCAAGAAACACACCTTATATAAGATGCTCAGGTCAAGTAATTAATGTGGAAATAGGTTTGTTTTTACGACGACTAGTAAATGAAGTTTAAGTAAACTTATGCAAATTTTAGCAATAAGTACAGAAGTGTTTTTAACAAATCGACTTTAGTCTTTTCTAGCCAACTGAAGAAGAGAGTTCACAACTCAACAAGAAGAAAATGAAGTTCCTTCCAACTGTGTCCTTAATGTTTATCGTAATGGGTTTTGCCCAAGGACAAATGGATAGTAAGTACTGATATAATATTTAAATGATCCTTTGTTTTATAATTTCTTTATATAGTACGCTGTGCCTTAGAACCTTTGCCTGTGGGCTTATGTGTCAATCGGATTGTAGGGTATACATATTCGGTTACAAGAACACGGTGCATAGTCTACGAGAGCAGGGGATGTGAGGTGAGGGGAAACTTCTTTGCCAGCAGGAATGAATGTGAGGCCAAATGCAGGCCGGCGACCTCCTTTAGAGATAATCCTTTCACCTTCTATCTCCAAAGATCTTTGACCGAGGCCCGCAATATTTTAGGAAGATTGTTTAATTTGTAGAATCTTCTTTAAATAAGTTGAATAAATTGTACAACAAATAAATTGAATTTATCGCTGATATTTCCTTTTATCTTTTTCTTTAAGGTTTAGAAATATTTGTTTCAGAATTTAGAGAGAAGTTCTTAGTTGTCTCTAAGACATGTCGGCTTTGACAATTTAATTTAAGCTAATGTAAGCACCAATTTAAAGATTGAAATAAAAGTAAAAGAAAAAAGAAACCAATCTAATTATAATTCAAAGTTCTGGCCGAGTTCCTTTTAATATACTTGGTAAAAGGGATTGTAAGTATAAGCCTTCAAAACGATGTTCAATATTACTTTTTTTAATAGCTCTTGTAAAGCACTTAGTGGTTAAAATTAATCTAGATCAATCTATCACACAATTATTGAGAAAAATGTTCTTTAAAAATGTTCCCCAGGACGTTTTCCTACTCTACTTAAATTGCCTACTTTTCGGCTGACCCTAATTGTCATCACCTGCGAATTTGCCCACCTGAAATGGAGTTGTTGTTGTTGCCGCTGCTTCTGGTGTTGCTGTTGCTGCTGCAATTGCAATTGGTGTTGCAACTGTCGCTGGCCACCAGCAACTGGCGACGCCAAGCCAAATGCAATTATCCAATTGCACGAAATGCACTTGGCAATGTTTGTGGCCTAGACAATGCAACACAACTCGCTGTGTGTATGGGTGTATCTGTGTGAGGGTGTTGGCGCGAGTGTGTGAGTGAGTATCTGTGTGTGGATGGTGGAGCAGCACACGCGAAATTCAATTAAGTGCGCACTAAACAGCGCAACGATTTCGATTTGACTGCAGTCCCTAAAACACCAAGCAAAATCGCAGGGAAAAAGCGCTAAGCTGAGAAAAATATTGTACAAATATTTTAAAGCTAAAACCAAGAAATGTTTCTTGTAATTACTTCTTTAAAAGCAATTGATGATTTCTAATAGATAACTAATATATTTTACAGCCCATTTTTCTTTAACTTTGGTCCTTCGAGCCGGATATTAACTCAATTTTTATTAAACTCGAAATCATAGATTGTTAATTTTCTTTCAGTGCAGGGAAAATGGATGGAAAATGCTGAATAGGGAGAGGGAGGAGTCGTGAAAGGGCTGGCAGATTGGTGGAAATCTGTGTGGTAAGCCTTTGTTGTCCAGTCGGCGCTCGGACATGGGGTTTAGTAATGGAAGCTTGCGCTAGTTTCTGCCACGAGCCGTCGCCAAAAACGGGGAAATTCAATCAGAGCGGGAGGATTACGATTTGGAGGGGACTTTACAAGGGGGCAGTGTAGAAGCGAAGCGGATGTGGATCCAGTGTTCGCACAATTGCATTAGGTGGCAGAGAGAAGTTGGAGGAGACACAGCTTGAAAGGTCGGAAATGCAAGGGAATAGGGCTGTTGAACCACTCGATTTAATGACAATTAGAATTGTCTTTTTCATCAGGAAAGAAAAGAATAAATGAGAAACTCTTGTTTATTTATTTGTTTATTTATTTAAAAAAAAAAGTCAAATTACTTTAATAACTTCCCAAAAATGTTTTTTATCTTTCATGAAATCAAAGCTGATTTCGATTTCATTTCCATAAGCCATCCCCCCATCTATTGAGTTGTGCCATCTGAGTGCCTGAAGTCCGCAAAATAAAATATACGAAATTAACTCAAAATTAATTAAAACGCATCAGAATATAATGCAATTTGCTGCAGCGGCAGAAGCGACAACTGCTGAGGGCATTATGCAACAGCTGCAGCTATAAAAAGTAATATAAATATAAATTAATAATGTCACGAATGACAACAGCAACAACAACAACAACAACAACGGCGAAGAGACAAAACGAGCAATTGCATTAATTGAGCAAACAACAAAGTGGGAAATGCAATGCGTCTGGACAACGGAAAACCCAACAACATTGGAGGCACATGAATATGGATGAGTCTGCTCTGGACTCCAATGCCAATGCACTTTCCATGCAACAAATGCATTTCGTTGCGCCAGCAAAATTAAAAAAAAAAAGCACAGAATAAAACGAGGAGCGGGAATTATCAACTGTCGCTTGATTAATTTGAATTAACCAAATTAAAAATGGAAACACAAGTCAATCAGCGAGTGCAACACCCAGAAGCGATGAGTTTGGGGAAAACGAAGGGGGTTTGCAGATGAGGAGAATATAGTAAAGTCATATTTTGTCATTTGGATTTTACTGGAAATTCAAATTATTGAAGGGTTTATTTAAACAAGAGCAAACAAAAAGATTCAAAATTTTCTAATCTTCCAAAATAAACAATTTAGGAATCAGTCCGGTTCAAAACTTTTTTTATGAAATGAAGTTATGAAATAAACAATGTCTTAGTATCCCAAGGATCTGGCTTTGATTTAATAAAATCATACGTTTGTTAGTTTTGTTAAAGAAGTATTGAATAATTTAAAAAAAAAGAATCTTTCTATTGTAAGAATTAAATGATTTTTTGTTATAATGATCAGATAATTATACAAAATTTTATGTCATTTGCTGAAATTTCTTCGCTATAAATCAGATATTTTTGTGAAACATTTTTGAGCTCAAACCTTTTGAAGGTCGGACTAACAGCTGACCACCGACGACCTCCTTTTGTTCAGGGGCAGCTGGACTAATGGATTTATCGGTCGCTTGAATCTCGGTTCGCCAAATCGCCACTAAACGAGTCGAGCTGAGATACAGATTCGCAAGAGTGTAGTGCACACTGGAAAGTGGCATAATTCGCAGCCAGACCAGACTGCACACTGCACTGTATGCTATATGGTATCGTTTGGGTATCGTAGTATCCATGGGCATATCCACGTGCGCATCCCTGCTCCAAAACCCCGTCCCGCTGGCGTTAGAGCCACTTAAACGCATTTGCGAAATTGCCTACCGCCCACCCACACACTCGTTTAGAGCTCTCTCTCTGTCTAGTTTTCCTAGTTTCTAGTTTTTTGTTTGCCCCAAACCGAAAGCGCGATAATTTCCCACTGAGGTGAGATGATATGGAAATTGGGGGGCCGGCCAGCAGGAGGAGGTGGCAGGAAAACGCTCGGCCAGCGATGAGGTTATCACTTTTGCCACCGAAGTAAAGTGCATCCGTTTTTAGAACTGTCCGTCTGTCCGTCCGTTTGTCCGTCCGCCTGTCCGGCATAATCAAACTAAACTGGCGCAGTCTGCCACTGATGATCCAACTTGGAGTGGGCTTTGATATGAGTACGTTGGAAACAGTGAAGCCTCTGTGAGCAGAAAGGATTTTTAGCTTTCTTAGATTAATATAATATTTTTTAAAATCTTTATTCAGAATTTCTTTGTAAAATGTTGACATTCTTATCTTTTACAATTTAAGAGATCTCGAAAGTGGAAAATCCTATACAAATTGTCATTACTGTCCAGTCAAACTATTTGCATATGCGCCCCATCTAAGTATCCCTCTTGATTGCAGTTTTGGTCGAGCGTTTTCTTTTTTTTTGATTTTTTGCTGGTTTTGTTTTTGTCTCGCGGCGCATTAAGCGAATTTGTGAGGTTCGAATTTGATTGTGTCAATTGGCTCGCGCCTAGAATCAGGGAATCAGAGCCTCAGCGTAAATCAGACCGAAATGATGCCGTGGCATTTGTGTGCAGAGAGCCACCCACCAACAAATCAGCGCCTGAAAATTGCACTGCAAAAAATTTACGTAAATTAAATTAGCAAGCCATGATGCACCCCCGCCAGTTTTTCGTGACCAAGTGTCGCCAATTTACCCAAAACTCGAAAGCAAAACAGCAAAACCGATTTCGAAAGCAAACCCTTCAATTTGTGTGGCATGCATATGTGATATATATATATGTTTATGATATATACCAGTCTTCGGGGCGCCCGCATGGGGAGGAAAATCTGTTGATCACCCCTGCCCACTTGGTTTTGTTGTTTTTTAAATATTTTGATTGAATTTTCTGTTTAATTAAAGCAAATTGTTTTGTGCATTTCATTTGGGTTAGGGGACGAGAGGTGTTGGTACAGAGCTTTGCGGGGGGTCGTCAAGTGGTTGAGAAACATAAGGGAGAACATTAATTTGGATAGGGAATTTCCAAGAGAACGTTGACAAACTTGCATGAGAATAAAAAAAATTTGGAAAAAGTACTGATCATTAATTTGCATTTTATTTTTTAATTAAATTATTCTCAACAAATTAAGTCAATAAAATATTTTCACAATTGATTGTTTCCCAATTTTTATAGTTCGATAACTCTACGATATATTTGGTATTTAATTTACTTTACAAAATTTGAATATTTAATATATTTTACTGATTATAAGGAAAATTTATTTCATTAAAATATCTTCTCAAAATTCCTAATCCTGATATATGTCTAATTTGCACATTGAATGCCCCTATGTGAGTGAGTGGGCCCCAATCTATCCATCAATTTGGCCCATTTACCAATTCGATGTTCAATTCAATCAAGCAATCAATAAACATGGCCGAACTAACCTCCTTCAGACTAACGTTCTCTACGATAATTCCATTTGCTAATTTAAATATACGAAATTGTATTTTATTTGTATGCGCTCCTATATTCCACAGCTCCTGTTTAGCCCCCTTTCAGCACCCATTTCACCGCATTTGGACCCCCCTTTCTCCCCACTTTCCCCACCATGCATGTTTCCCTAATTGAGTTGAACGAATCGAACAAAACTTGGCGACGAATGGAAAAATCGTTCGTCAACTCCAATTGACTCCTCTGTGGATCCAGTACTCGCCCCTCGTAGCCCCGACCCTGTCTACCACCCACAGGCCCCATTTTTGTGGGCGTGGCATCCAGTGGAGCGTTGAACGTTTGCATGGCTGCCAATTAATTTGCGGTTGATCAATTTAATTTGAAACTTCGTTTTCTCCCCGCTTTTTTTTTTGGTTCGCTCTTTGGCGAATTATTTGCCATTGATTTTGTACCCTTGTTCCCTCTCTTTCCCGCACACGGCGTCCATGAGCTGTCTCCGCTTTTTTTCCTCTCTTAATTATCATCAATTATTCAAACTGCATTTGCGGAGTGATCAACTTTTGGTCTGTCTTCAATTAAGCGGCGAGTTTTTACCCCGAAATCCCCCTTTCCTTTGCGAATGGAGGCCATATCCACTTGGATCCTTGTTGCCGAATCCATTATGCATACTCCAATTTGGGTTTTAATTCTTTTTCGCCACCGAATCCTTGGTTTTTTCTCATTTGCGCCTCAAGTGTTCACGGGTTTTGTGCGATTTCTCACAGGAAAGGCATCGGTACAAACACTTTTGCCAGACACTCGCACAAAAACTCAGACATGAGCCAGGAAACTTCAGGATTCGGGACACTCAAAAGTCGAGATTTTTATCACATTGGAACTCATTAGGAACTCGTTCCTTAATGCAAATTAAAAGCGTCTAAATAAATTATAAGCATAATGTGGTGTGTTGTGAATGTGAATTTAAGGATTTTCTTTTGAAATCAGTCTGGGTTTTGAAGGGATTCAAACACATCATTTCTTATCCTCAATTATAATTTAATTTAATGTGAATACCTTTATAAATAATTGTGAATGAATTATATTATAACTTTTTTTTATACCATCTCTCTTCAAATTAAGAAATTATAGAACTTTCAAGATAACATATAGTTATAAATCTGTAATCGTAACTTATAATTATCCAGGCTAAAATGTTTCGAAATTTTCATATCCCTTAGCTCAACTTACCTTATTACCGTCCGTGAAAATTTTGGCAGCAATACTTCAAGCGTGTCCCAGAAGAAAATCCCTTGTCGCTGCTGGTTTTGTTTTTTAGCCTTTTAGCTCTGTTTGAGTTAAACTTTTTCGCAATTTTCACAGCACGAACTCGCGTAAGACAAAGGTGCGAAAGTTTTCTCGAGCGTCTAAACACTTGGCAGGAAGTTTTGGCCAAAAAGTTCTCAGCGAGGATGTGTGCGAAGGAATCACAAAGGATGTCGGCGAAAGTTTAAGATTCCACTGCAAATTACACACTCAATCTGAGAGGTAATAGGCCGCAAAAAAGTAGTTAGATTTGGGTTGGGAACACACACTGGGATGAATCTTGAAGTCTTAGAGAGGGATTTATTGTTAAGGATCTCGAGTTTTTCAGGATCTTGATGTTTTCAGGGTTTTCGTCAACACCGATTTGCCGACGGAAAAGTTTCCTTTTCAGATATCAAAGTGTCATTTAATCCAATTTCGGTATTACGTATTTTTTCGGGGACTTTACTATCGTCTATATGGTGATATATTATAGGATCGTATCGAACCGACCGCGTGGAACGTCAGAATGCGAATGATCTAACGGTGCTTGTGGCAGTCGCAACGTCGACAGCGCAGTCGGCTGCAAATTAGATCCGCGTCGGCAGAAAGATGGCTGCGGGTGGGAAAGAGAGAGGGTGAGCGAGTGAGAGAGGAGATGGGTGAGGGCGAAGGGAGGATTTGTTTTTGCCCCTAAGCGCCGCCTTTGCCATTTCCCGTTATTTTTGCCCGCGCAGGCGCCTCGCAGTCAGCAAACCAAAGCACAGTTATTTCGAGACACGTATACCCATCTCGCTCGCCCACTATACCTCTCTCACCCTCTCTTTTGCACTTTCTCCTGGTATGTAAGACAATTTTCTCGCGCATTTTCATTGTGGAAATTGAATTTTCGGCATGGAGAGCTGCTGCAGGAACAACAACACAAAACGTTGAAGGGGCTCTCGTGTTCCTAATATCCCTATCTACTCTTATCCCTATCTACTTTATTTTATTACACTTTATTTAGGTGTGTGCGAGCGAGAGAGACGGGGCTAGGCCCCAAGGGGGGAAAGAGAGCGCAAACAACTGAGGCAGCCTTAAATTGGATTTTCATCGTTAAGTGTGGTGAATGTGTGTGGGGGCAAAAGGAAAGGAAAGACGCCACAAGAAGAAACGGGGAGAAGACGAAGCTTTTGTGCTCTGGGTGTTCTTCGCAGGAAGAGGAAGAGAGCATCTACAGCAGTAACAATAAGAAAACGATTACGCACCGTTGGTATTTATTTGGCATATCATTTTTTATACCCTACCCCTCGCTCTATTTTTTCTCCTCTCGTTTTTGCCCCATTTGACAACTCAATTTATTTAGATTAATTTCTCATCTTGTCGAGGGAAAAAATAAATAACTAAGTGAATTTCAGTTAATTTATTATGGGGCATTATTGTTATTCCGCATCCTCCCCCAAAAATACACCCCGTATAATCGCAATTCCCAATCCCAGTGACGCCATCTTGGATCCCATTTATTATTGTTTGCCTGAATGGGCTCCTCTAACTGTCCTTCACCCCCTCGACCGCAGGACTCCCTCTATCTCTATCCACCCCCCTTTTCACCCCTTGACGCGTTGGCCACAATTACGAAATGAATTTGTTGCCTCCTGCAGTCCCTATTCTGCCCCTTTTGCACTGCTCTAAAAAACGTTAAAAACATTGAGAAGAAGAATTTAAATATAATTTTTATTTCCAGAACAAGATTAAAAATATTTTCTTATTACAAAACGAAATAGAATAGATATTTCTATCTTAAATATCCGTTTTTCCGCGATAAAGGACTGCAACTTTTAGCTTATACCTATAGGTATCTATAGATTCAGATGGTTTTAAGAAAGTTGGATGTTAAAAAATGTTTAGAGACACAATTCGACTTTTATGTAGATATTACCATTTATTATAACTCAAAAGTTTTTATTGAATTTTATATCAAGAATTTTTTTCTTTTTACGAGACTATTTTCTTTAGTGTTCCTTTCTTGTCTCCCTAGATTTGGCATTTTGGGTGAACTGGATAACTATTCAGTTTCTTTTGGCTCCCCCAGCATCCTCCCCCTGGATTCCCGCTCCTTTCTTTCGGGGGAAGCCTGTCCTGTCAGGCCTGCAAATTGGCGCCCTGATTTATGACTCTGTCTATTGTTAGCTTACTTCCTCCTGACTTCCCGCCCACAACCTCCTGGCTTCCGCCTCCCACCCACCTCATTCCACCATCATTAGTTTGTATTTTAGTTTCATTTCCAATCCGAATTTCATTTCATTTTGCGCTTAAATTTTGTTTTGTCCTCTTTGATTGTATTTATTTTCCACTCCCTCTTCATTTTTCGGGGGCTTTTCTTGGTTGGTTCGTTTTAGTGGAATTACTTGCTTCATAATAGATGAGTCTGGGATTCGTTTTGGACGCCAGAGAGAAGGCGTGGCACTTTGCTCCTAACGCCTTTTCCTTTGGCAGGTGAGGGCCTGCGATTCGGCGAGGAAAAGAGATTTTTCCTGCAACTGAAACTACTTTCTGTTCTTAGGTTGCATTTTTTATTTCAGGGTGAGGTTTTCCTGTGCCACAAAGCTGTCAGTAATCGGTTGCATTAATTAAATAAGGTGGTTTACATTTTAAATAATGTTAAAAATTTATTTATTATAATTTTTAATGAATTTTAATAAAATTATTATAAAACCATATCTTGTTTTATATAATTTCCTTTCTGATTTATCGAAACTTTTAAAGTGGTATTTAGCCTTTATTAAAAACTTACGCGAATGGCCAACCGAAGCGTTCTTCCTCTTCTAAGAATTTTCTACATTTTCTACTAAAGTACTTATTTATTATCCCTTTTCCACCATTTTCTTGGTGCCCGGCAGTTCCTGGGTGAAATTTATGTAATTTATATGGGCACTTGACTGTCTAAATTGCCTGCAGAACTGAGCCCCACCCCCGGGAGAAAACCGCCTCAATAACACTGCCGCCTCCACTTTTCCCAACCATTTTCCACCCATTTGCCCCTGCTCTTCTGCCCGTTTTCCACCGCCACACCCCCTTTTCCCCTGTTGGAGCACGCTTTGCTGCCACTTTTTATATCATCTACTTAGCCTTAATGGCAAATAATTAATTTCCAGCTTCCGCGCAGCCAGTTCTAGCCTGCCACGCCCCCACGCCCACCGCCCACATAGTAAATGGCCGCATGTAACTGCAATTTCCCCCGAAAACCCCCTGCTATCTTGCTCCTGGAACGACCATTTTCAATTTACAAATTGCTTATTTTTCGAAAACCAAATTGCGAGTGCCTCGGACTCTTGCCAGGAGTGAAAACCCGTAACTGTAACCGGATCCGGTTCGTATCCTGATCCTGATCCGGGACCAGGACGAGGCCAGAAGCAGCAGTTAATGCATTTTACGTGCGGCCAGTTGGGTGGCAAAAAATGGGCAAGGGTAAATGTTCTGCTGCGGCGAAGGCATCTCAATTACGTTTATAAATTTTCCAAGCCCAAATGGCGCAGCCTCCGAAAATGAATAGCCGCCTGAAAGGGACAACGCGAAATTGAGGGAGCGAGATGGCAGGCAGCAGGGACGTAGAAGGTGGATTTTTGGTATTGAAAGTCCACTTCAGAGTCAACCTATCGTAAGATAAAGAAAATACATCTTATTATATTAATTCAATCCCTTCTCTTAAGAGATAGATATAAAAATTTATAAATTTCTTTATACAAAATGTATTAAAATTATTATAATTATATCACTTGACATTTTAAAAACTGAATTATTATTATTTATTTTCTGAAATCCCTATTATATTTTTAGTACGCCCTCGGCTTTTTACTTATACCGCTCTTCCGGGGAACCACATGAAAAATCCACTGAAGTTGCCCTCCCTTCGATCGAAATTTTATTAACTTCTTTTAGGCCAAATTGCATTGCGGTTTATTTGAAGGCCAGCTTCCCATCCTTTAAAACCATCCCTTACCACTTATACCTCAGCCTCCCAACCCCTTCATCGCCTAACTCCTGAAAACGATTCCCGTTTATTTATGATGCGACATTTCAACTCGAGATCGTAGGCATGAAAAGAGCTCCGACAATTTATTGGCGCCATCAAAAATTGTTTCATGCACAAAAGAAAATATTTTATGGTTTCATGTTTTTAAAACTTTAGGAACAATATAGAAAAATAAGTTAGAGCTTTTACAATTTGGTTATTTTTACATACTAACAAATTATTGTTATACATTTATATTTACCTTTTTTATATAAATAAGAAGTAAGTAAGTATCACCATATTTGAAACAACATTTCTTCGTTTTCGCCAGTGTATATTTATTATTTCAGTCGATGGAGTGGGTGATGGGCAGTAGCCACGCCCATCGCCTAAGCAAATGGCCAAGACTCCATCGTTGCCCTCTCGGTTTTATGGCCTACGCATCATTTGGCTAAAAGAGGATAAAAAAAATAAAATTGGGAATAGGCGGTGTGGCATGGTAATCGTTCTATGAAATGCCTAAATAAAATAAATGGCTAAACAGAATTAGAGTGAAAGGAGCTGCGGCTTAAAAGGATATGGAATGGAGCTTATCCAAAGTTATATATTCGGAAATGTGCGGAGTGGAGTGAATGGCATCGCATTTATGGTATTTTATTTATTCGTACGTCTCTTTATAAGTGGCGAATTTTTTATTTACGACAGGCTGGCTTTTATTGCAAGGGCTTTTCGCGAATTGCCATTATTTTGTTGAAAAATTTATTGAAATCAATTTTGTTATGGTTTAAGATAAATATATTTTTATTAAATTGTAATGGTTCAGGAAATACCGAAAAATAAAGAAAAAAGACTTTTGGTTATCTTTTAAAAATCAAATCGGTTAAGTTTTTATAATTATTTTTATTATTTTAATAGATTTTTTTAACTAAAATAATAAGAAAAACATGCATTATATTAAAAACGCAACCATAGATGTTCTTCTCAAAACTTTGAACGTACATAACATCTATTTTAATTATAATTTAAAATATTCTCAAGATCTTTAGATCA